GAATCAATAGGCGTCATTTGGCTATTGCAAGGCGAGTTTATATGAAACTCTCGGAGACTCGGTAGAGAGCACAAAAAGTGAAAGAAAAAAGACATTTTTTTCTCAATTCTCGAACACCACTAAATGGTCAACTAGAAAAATCACTAATCAATCAAGAAAAAGGTGAAAAAAAATCTCAATCATAAATTGAGTTATAATAATACTCAATCAAGAAAAAAAGTGAAAATAAAAATCGATCATAAATTGTGTTTGACTTTTATTTTCAATTTTTTTCTTGATCGACTTTTATTTTCACTTTTTTCCTTGATTGAGTATTATTTTCATAACACTTTATGATTGAGATTTTTTTCAACTTTCTACCATTATCTACTTTTATTCTAAGCGGTTCATTTTTAAGCCATTCTTAAACGTATATACACCTAGGGGGCAGACACGTGGAATAGGATTAGACTTTTAGTGTAAAGATTCGAGAAATTGCAATGAAATAGCAACGCCTGTGGCTGGATTAGTAATTTATATAGTGGATTCGGAATTTATTCTTGGTGTCTCCCCCCCTAGATATACACTGAAATTTACCTAGTGCCGATGCTCTCAATCCATATACTTTCAAGACATAATTCCGGTATAATCGGTTTTGATGGTTTTGCATAACCGACCTTGGGGACGTCTTCAACAAACGAATTATGGACATCAGACGATGACTGGAGGCGATCATATGGCGATTGCATTTGTGATTTACTGTTTTTTTGAAAAATGGAAAGTATTCATGTATAGTTCTTGTTAAATCGCTAAACACAAGATGCACTCACTCAAAGGAAATGCCAAGTTTCGAAAGCATCGAAGGTGCATTTGGTGTCATATTTAACAATTTTGATGTGTGCAGCGACGACGCATCCAAACTGGAACGATTTGGAGTAGGGGAATGTTTTTGTTTGAAACTCAAACTGGAGCCATCGAAACGAACGGAGCTCGTACATAACACATCCACATTTGTTGAGTTTAGTTCCGACGAAAAAATGTCGTTTTCGCTGAGAACTGTAGAATTTTTTTTTTATTTTTTCTTCTTCAATTGATTTTTTTCTCAGAACGACCGTATTTTCCAATTAGAAAAAAAAAATAGAAACCACTTACCTCCAACCTTCTGCTTTTCATCTAGCGTCGCCTTTCGTAATTTACACAAAATGTGTTTGCCAATTTTACCATCATGAATCATAACCAAATTGTTTTCAATGATAGTGAATGCAACGGTGACACGTGCATCGGTCACGAAGCTGATATGACCATTCAGCGTTTTCAATAGAATCGGGCAAATATCATTTAAAGGATGGCTCAATGAATAAAGACGTGGCATGGCCAATGAATGGACATCATCCACTTGAACCGTCGATGCATTCTTTTCCAATATCAATCCATATTTGCTTTGCATAACATTCGAAATGGGAAACGGAAAACTGGTCCGAAAATCTTCACCGCACAGCGAATAAACACGTAACACTTCCGAATCAATGATACAAATTCCAATTTTCGACGAATCTTTGCTGACTTTATTGTCAAAATCTAAGTATGTTTTACGTTTGTTTCCTTCCCGTTTATCCGGATTGGGCGATTTAAAAAATGTACTCGGACAAAAGAATGCAAATCGAATGGGCGACTGAACGGTAAAACTTGTTATTGGCATTTTACACTTAGTGCTCGTTTCATATGCACCTTTTGTCCAAACAGCTACACAACCTTTTACATACAATTCATGCTCTTCATCACTTTTATAAATTTCCTCATCAACCTGTGCCGTCGATTGAATACATTCATCGGCTTTGGTAACATCGTAATTAACATCCTCTAAACACCAAAACTCAGTTGGCGATGAACTGTCCGATGATAAATTCACATTTTTCATTCGATTCAATAGTAAATGTTCAGCCGAAAATTGTGTCGGTTTTTTTATATTGGCACGTTCTGGATGTTCTGCAGCCGCCTGACGACCACGCGGAATAAATTCCTACAATCAAAAATTACGGATTTAAAAAAAAAATAGTAGAAAGAATCGGTGATTTTTTTATTTTCTACCAGAGGTGCAGATACGGCGGCAATCATTTCTCTAAATTCATCCAGATTGAATCCAAAATATCTGTCGATAACTAAACAACACTTATCTTATGTATCCGTTTTTGCGGCTCACTAATATAATGCCAAACAATAAAATTGCCGCACAGTGACAATTTCACGATAGTCAGTTTATTCGTAGTAAACAACATTCAAAGCATTCTGACAGCTGACACACCAAAATGACATATCATGCTGACATAAAGGCGGGAAATAACTTCGGAACAAACAACGACATCTATTGACCAGTTATTGAATAAAGCTATTGTTCAGTTAAATATAAGGTGATTTCATTGCTAATTTAAGCAATTTTAAGAATAACTATTGCATTGAAATAATCTGAATAAGTGAAGTCAATCTAAAATCAGTGAATAAAATCTGAAAAACAACGAACAAAAAAAATTATATTTGAAAAAACTTGATTGTCTTAATAAAGCTTACATATGTGATCCGATAAAAACTAATTATTCGATTCTCATTAGAATGCATCTTATACCATGTTCCGTAAAAGCATGATAAAAGAATATATTTTGCGCATTATCTGTGTTTGATGATCATATAATAAAAAATGAAAAAACATGATATTGCAAATATTGTATCACTTACCAGAGCAAATAACGACACATCAAGTTTTGTGCTGCTCACTTTCATGAATCTGGCTTTCTGCGCAACATTGACCATGAATTTGAAATCATGTTGCCATTCCAAACGTAACAAATATTACTTTGTCTGAAGTACGGCATATTCAAGTCGATCATTCTATAATATGTTGTATTCAAGAGGAAGAAAATCGAGTACTTCCGTTTAAATTTTGTTCAATCGAATAGAGTAGAATAACATACAGATATTTCGACGACCGTGCCCATTGCACAGAATAATAATATTTGAAATATGAGACAAACGGACAAAAAGTGAGCTGGATACCATGACATCGAGAATGAAATAAATGCTCGACAATAAAGTTCTTTGAATAGAAAAATCATGAAAGTTTGAAATCATTTTAAATTATTACCGTCATCGCAACGTAAACAATGAGCGTCACACAAAGTGAAGTGGTCATTATTTGGATGAATATCACAAAGAAATAAATTTGATTGATCAAGTCCACATATCTAAAAAATGAGTTACCATTAAATCATATTATTTCATTGTTAACTTTCAGATGGTCATACTTTTCCATTTCTTGATGCATCAAAAAAAAATTCACCATTCGACTACGAATCTTGGATTCGGATGGTTTGGCTGCGCTTAATTCTTCGTCGAGCATTGAAAGTTGGTTGCCTTGCAATTCAGTCATCGTATAAATATTGAAAACCAAATTGAAAAACAGGGAATCAGAGAATTAAAAACCAAGACCAGCCACATAAAGGATAATGTAATGATAAATTGATGTTACAACAAATCCTTCTTTCGTATTTATGTCCAGACCAGGCACAAATAATGGTAACCAGGGCTCTTTCATTTGAAGTATTGCATAAGCCATTACCGGATACAAGTAAAATATAAACACGCAAATAAAATACAATCCAAATAGACATGCGGTTGTGTATAAATTGTATGTAGAACATTCTTCCATGATGTACTTATTTTTCGCTGAAACTTTTGCATCATTTATAATATAAATTCTCTCTAAAAACGATGCCTGAAATATAGATTTCTTCTAGGTAGCCACACTTTTAGTTTTAAATCTAATAAAATACATTTCTCACCAGAAACAAAATTTTTGGACGGTAATTCAACACAGTATAGATTTTGGCTGTGGCCTACAAATTGTTTTAAAAATATATTGTTTCGAGAATGTTTTTTTAAATTAATACCTGTAATCCAAGGCCCAACACTGATCCTGCTTTTAAAAACATTTCCATGTCGAATGCAATCATTGTATAAATTGAAAACAAGTCAATTGTTAGTACCAGTGTAAAGAAAAAAACTGTATGGAGTCTAACTGAAAAGTCTTCATCCAAAATGAGAACCGAAACCATTTTTCGAAAATAGTTTTGACCCGCTGATGAGGCGTCATACTTAAATATTTTTCCATTTTGAACTGATTAGATATATTGGAATTCGAGAGGATTTAAATCAGTTTCACCGCTCAATTATCTAATTAGAAGTGCAATTAATTTTAATTCTTGGCTATAATGTCTAGGCTAATGTTTTGGGGGACAAAGACAAGTGGGCAATCTCAAAGAATAGTTGGGAATAGTAACATCGGGAAAATGAAATGCACATTTTTTAAAGAACAAAGTTTTCCAAATGTTAAATTTAATGATCAAAAGTGTTGTGTCCATCGCTTGAATTGAAATGTCAAATTTTAATCGGATATTTTAACGATATTTTTTCTATGAAGGCGATTTTAATCGCACTTATGCATACATATGCATTGACTAATGTTCTCATCATACGACGGACTGAGTGAATATAAAACACTAAATTACCCCTGTGAAAAATTACTGACTGACAAATCAGTTAACTAATTTGGGACGAAAGCCAACTGAGATTGAAGTTGTTTTAAGTTGATTTGAAAAATAGAACTTAATTCAACTTCAATCGCAACAAAAACGTCCCAAATTAGTCATCTGTTTAAATATACATACATAGACGACTAAAGTCGACTGGGTAGACGACTTCAGTTAACAAAATTCAATTTCAGTTGATTTCAGCTAACCAGTCAGTCAGTCACTTTTTTTCCTCACGGGTATATCTTAATTTGAAATCTTTATCCAAAATATTTAAACCATCTGGAATCGATGTGAATCGAAACCATTTGTCGAAAAAAATGAAATTAAATGCATCGAAAACGGATTGCACCACTCAATTATCCAGTTAGAAAAGGAAATGATATTGATCGAATTTATGTCGTATTTTGATTGATCAATTAAAATGTAATTATGTTCCTTAATTGCATTCGAATAAAATACTCAGATAATTACCAATATTTGTCTGTAATGTATAATGGGTAAAACTTATTAATAATAAATGGAAATACTAAATAAAATTGAATTTCAAAATGCATTTCGTGAAAAAAGCAACAAATTCTTCGTGGAAATTTGGCGCTTATTTATTTTTAGTACATGAACTTGCAGACGTTCTTCTCTAGAGATCTAAGATCTTATTATAACATTGAAGGACAAAAACAAATTCCACTGGTTGGAATTAACATATTATACATTGGGTAAAAATAAATCCATAATTCATCACTTTATGTGTCTTTTAAAATAACCTTTTATTATAACTCCAATAATACATCATAATTTTGAGACAAATCGAGTATGTGCTACTAGACCTTTTAATTTTATGCTCAATCGTGAAGATCTGTGCCATTTTTGGCCAAAGACCGAGTTATCGTATCGTAACTTTATTTCCAAAAAGTCACTTCTAAGAATTATTGGTTTTGAGATAAACTGAAATAAGTGATGCTAATCCAAAAAGAAAAGTATAAAAATTACTCGAATGTGATAACAAATGCATAACCAACTAAAGCTTACATCTGATAATGTAACTTATTTTATTCCCTCGTGTTCAAAAACATAATAAACGCATAGATTTTACGCATTACCTGATTGAAAACAGAAAGAAATTGAGATATCCGAAAATATATTGTATCGCCTTTTTCTTACCAAAACAAATAGTGTCACATCAAGCTTTGTGCTGCCCACTTTCAAGAATCTGGCTTTCTGAGCAACATTGATTATGAATTTGAAATCGTGTTGCGATTCAACACGTAACAAATAGTACTTTGTCTGAAGTACTGCATATTCAAGGCGATCGTTCTATAATATTTATTAATACAAAGAGGGGAAAAAGATTAATTTCGATGTAAATTTGATATTTGAACTTTTCATTAGTAGAATAACGTACAGCTATTTCAACAACTGTGCCCAGAGCACAAAACAAAAACATTTGAAATATGAGACAAACGGCCAAAAAGTAAGCAGGATACCAGGACATCTATTTACGAATAAAATTAATTGTTTGCAAAGAAATTAACGAAAGCACATTACCGTCATAATAATATAAGCAATGAGCGTCGTACAAAGTGATGTGGTCATTATTTGAACGAAGATCATGAGGAAATAAGACTCATTAATCAACTCAATATATCTATGCAAAAAAAAGATCATTAAAATTGATATAATTTCATGTTCACCTTTTAGACAGTCATACTTTTCCATTTCTTGATGCATCAAGAAAAAATTTGTCAATCGAACGCGAATCATAGACTCGGATGGTTTAACTGCACTCATTTCTTCATCGAGCATTGCAAGTTGGTTGCCTTGCAATTCGGACATCGTATAAATATTGAAAACCAAATTAAAAAACAGGGAATCACAGAATCCGAAACCAACACCAGCCAAATAAAGAACAACACAATGGTATATTGATGTTGCGACAAATCCTTCTTTCGTATTTATGTCCAGACCGGGCACAAATAATGGTAACCAAGGCTCTTTCATTTCAAATACTGCATAAGCAATTACCGGATACAAGTAAAATATAAACACGCAAAATAGATACATCACATATAGAGTGGCTGTTGTGAATAAGTTGTATGTAGAACATTCTTCCATGATATTTCTGGTTTTAGGGGGTACTTTAGTGTCATTTTTGCTATAGATGCTCTCTAAAAACGATGCCTGAAATAATTTTGTTGGAATTTGAATTACAATTTTCAGTGAAAAAAATGCTGACATTTCTTACCAAAAATAAAATTTGCGGGCGGTTGTATAAAACAGTATACACTTTAACTGCAGCCTAAACATGTTTCCAATGGAAAAAATTTCAAAAATATTATTTTATTCTTCTTTATTTCTGCCACTTTTAATAAACCACAACCTATTCGGTTTGGTTTGGTATAAAAGTACCTGCGATCCAAGACTTAAACATGTTGCTGCTTTCCAAAACATTTCCGTGTCGAATGCAAACATTGTATAAATGGCCAACAGATCGACTGACGACACCATCGCAATAATAAACAGGTTTTGAATTTTAAAAGTGAAGTCTTTATCCAAAATATTTAAACCAATTGATATCGATGTGAATCGAATCCATTTTTCGAATATTACTTTGAACTTCTGATAAGGAGTTATGCTTACAGCTTGTCCCATTTTGAACTGATTAAAAATTCTTCGATTCGAGCGGATTTAAATACTTTGCACTTTACTCAATTATCCAATTAGAAATGGCAATGATATATGACCGAATTGAACGTTTTTTAATGTTAATTGATCAATTAAAAGATAATTGAGGAATATCTCGATCTCAAACATGCATATAATTTTAATGCTATTTTGACGATTTTTTTTTCACTTTTGTTTTTTAATTCAAGAAAAGTCTATAAAATCAAAGTTCAAAATGCACTTTTTCTTTACATCTCAAATCAAGCAAATAGTAAGTCCAATTCCATTAATTTTATCCAAAATAATATAAAAAACAACAAAGTCTTCCTTAATGTTGTTTTCTTTCTATTATTACAAAATCAATGTTATTGAAGTATCCAATTTAAAGGTCATTGTTCAAATAATTTTACCATCTCCATAGTAAGATATGTTCTACTTATAAAAATTATTGATTAAACATAAAAGTGGGAAAGATCCACGCTGCGCCTTTGAACTCATGCATTCGTCAACTAATGTTAATATGTCCCGAAAAATATTTTGTGCCAAAGAATTTTTATTGTTTTAATGGTGGCATTTCCTCAGCAAAATATGTGTTATATATAAGGAGCAAAAGTTGATGCATAATATCGTAGCCCATTAGTAATTTTCCTTGAAAACCAGGCCCAGTAACCTTCGGTCTTCAGTTTTGGTAGATTTTCTGGCCAAATAATTCGTTGGTATGGTGCATCAAATGACCCAGATTGAACATTCAAGTATTCTTCAGCGTTTAGTTCGATGTTTTCTTTATCGTCATAGTTATCTTCTGTCGGTTTTCTAGGCTTACTGGCATTCACCTAATTTAAGGAAAAACAATAAAATAAATTTATTTTTTTATTCATTGAACTTCTTTTACCTCGCATTTAAAAAGTCCACTTGCGTCACTGGAAATATCATTCATGCAGTACAATTGATTACTAGAGTGTCCAATCTGTAAAATTATGCACACAGAGAATTTTAGCAAACATTTTCATTTTAAAGTTTTTTTTCGATTGAATTGAAAGTGATAAGACGTGACGAAAAACTGTTGCCAGCAAAATTATAATACTACTTACTACATTTTTTCAACTTTGATTAAGTCTCACATAAAACAGAATAAGCAATATTCCGCATCAAAGGAATGATTTGCGATTGTGTTACAATGTACATAGTATGCCGGACACCATTTATATATTGATATATTGCTGTTCCTGTTTTGTGTGAGTTATCTCTGTACTCTTATCAACTGTTAACTTATTAAATTATTAGTAATGTTATTTTCGAACTGTTTTTCAGTTTTGCTGTAACAAAAGCATTTCTGAATGAACATATCGAGTCCCAACATTGATTTACATTTGAATGAAGGTCTGAGGAAATTTTGCTTTATAAAATAAGCAAAAAATTATACTTGCATCGATGGTGAATTCGGAAAAATTCTTATGAATCCATTTTAGGGGATCGCCTTCTTCTGCATTATAATAGCTATAAGCCAACTCATCATTGCGATACCAATTAACACTTTCTAAAAATTCTGAATCACCAACGGTAAAAACACATTCCAAACATGTAGATTTTCTTCCAAACAAGTGCCCAACAGGTGCATGCATTTTAATTCCATAGATTTGTGCGGATAATGATTCTAAAAATAAATAAGCAAAACATTCAATTGCTAAAAACATGGCACAAACAGAAATAAAATTACACTCATTATACCAGAGCATGAAATCGCATTTATGAAGTAATGCGTCTGCTTAGCAAACGCAGTGCTTCAAGAGAGCGTAGTGTACTTGCCAGGAGCCACTCCTGAGTACGTTATTAGATACCAATAACTCTAACAGCTATGAGGGGCTACCAGCAAGAGTGCGCTTCTTGAGTTACATTTTTATGCTCTGGTTTATGCAAACAATTGATATAATTTTATTCGGTTTCAATCTTTTTTTATAAAATCTTTATTTTGCGTCACATCTATCGAATAATAAATCTAAAGACTATTATAAACACAAGCACACACACACATAATTCAATCTCTTTCCCGTTGCTTCCGGAATATTTAAACAATTTTCATCAATATTTTACTTGATAAGATATAAATTTAGCACTAGCATAAGAAAATTGTGCTCACCATTTAAAAATAACACCAACAAAGTAATAAATAGATTATTATTGCCCATTTTGTTTGGAAGCGAATTTCCAAATTGATGATTAGTGTTCGACAGATGAATCCATTGTAAACGAATAATCATTGCAAACAAGCTATATATAAAGTACATAAAATGCTTGAATATTTTATGTGTATTAGTTATGTATATCGTACACCGTAATCGAAGGCGATTGTGTGAAATCTATTTTTGGCTATTCGTGTTGACGTTTGTTAATGGAACACAGATCTTGCAATTTTTTTTTTAAATGTGTTTGGATTGTTCAAAAATATTCTTTGAGATCTGGGTCATTTAAAAACGTCGAATTTTCAAGCTCTTTTGGTATTGAAATTATATATCGGTTAACGAACGGTCTCTTTCCATTCGGTACTGAAATAATTTATAAAACGTAGTTAGACAATGATCTCAATGTAAAGAATCATTTAAATTGACCAACAGTAATGCGGCGAGACGTGGTTTTTCTAGCGATTCTTGGCTTTTTATCGTCACTTTACATGTACAAACACCACTTCCTTCCATTTCAATCTCTTCAAGAACAACAGCACTTGTATTTGACTTGTCAGACTACAATAAAAAAGAAGCGTAGCAGTATTTTGCAAAAATATTGAATAACACTTACATTGACTTCAAATCCGTTATATACATTTCAAACAAACTGTACTGTCGTCTACCACCGGTTCTTTAACATCAATTCTTAAAACTCTCAGGGGGAGTATAAAATCTAAAATTAGCGATTTCGAAATAAGTAAAGAAGATTAATGTTCACTGTAATTCGTCTCAAGTTAGATTAATGTTCATTTAAAATAGTCATACCACCGAAGAATATAAGTATCGACAAAATTGAGCGGTTGTGCTTCATTGTGCCCAGTTAAATGCTCAATTTATGTTTTCGATTTAAATGATATATACTTTTCAATGTAATACACAAGTCGGATTTTGCGTCGTTTTAATTTTATGGCGAAATGGTTTTTGGTAGTTTTTTTTTTTAATTTTTTAAGTTTTTCAAAAAAAGAGAAAAGTGGCCTCCAAAAAACTATTTGGCATCAAAACGTTAAAAAAATGGAAAAAGTCATCGAAAAAATAGAAATGACCTCCAAAAAAATTAAAGTGTCACCAAAAAATACAAATGGTCTCTAAAAAATGGTAAAATGGTCTCCAAAAAATCCAGGTTGATCCAAAAGAAATGTAATTGACTCCGATTTAAATAGAAATGTTACCAAAATGAAGGAAATGGTCACCAGAAAGAGTAAATGGTCAACAACATAAAAACGAACTTATTCAACAAAAACTTAAATCATAATTTGATTTTATAAGATTATTGGTCAGCCTCAATATTGAAAATTATTGTATATTTCGTGTTTTTCAGAGCACTATATTGTCACTCAAGACAAGAGAGCAGCTCCACTGTAGAAGTATGATCTCAAGCACCATAATAGCCAAACGTATAGAAAATTACAAAATTGCGTCCATCCCCAAAAGGTATTAATGAATTTGTCGACTTAAGTGTGTCATATCCTCCGTTGAATTATCAATGTTTACACTTGTTCGGTGACACAGCAGGAGCATGTTTATGATTGTTTTAACATCATAATTTTACGACAAATATTTACATCAATTATTAATCTCATGTGGTGAAAATACACGAATTTCAACTATAAATTAAATCTTGTTCTTCTTTAACCAATCAAAGCAGAACTTTTGAAAGCACATCAAATTTCACATTTATAATTTAACTCGATTTAACTTCAAACGGGCGATTTAGTCTTGTGAAGCTTGTTTCGGTACCAATGAATAATAGAAAACCTGAAACAATATTTTCAACCATTGGAATTTATAATTGAATATGGATTAAGTGGGTGAACTTCCATAGATGATTTTCATTTCACAGAACAAATAGCTTATGCTAAGAATATTCATCAGCCAGCACAGTTAATTGATCAGCTTCAATTCTGGGAAATTCACAGATAATCTTCATCCTACTGAAGCACTTTAATTATACCAAATGGAATGTATTGTTTTCTGCAATAATTTGCTACTATTGGAATCTGATCAAATTTGGCATAGATTAAATCATACCAAACCACGCTAAAGTGTATTTGAGCCCATTGTGTCTGTATTAAATTTACTGACCTTTACATATTAACTGAACAATCACTGATACTTATATAACCATAGCTTTGACATATCGATTTTGCAATCATATTTTCCGGTCCATTGATTTCCAGTAATCGATTAATCATATTACTTATTACCAACAATGGTTACCAACTCAATAAAATCATGAAATTTTTATTTATTCGTAATTTATTTTTTGTATGCAGTATGGTGGTTAAGGAGATATATACGTATTAAACAGTGTCTGTTTTCTATTTCGAACAATCATTCCATTAATGGGGCACGTTATTTTGTTCTAAGCCTGAATAATATATGCCATGTGATGTAAGTACGGTTTGTAAGGATTTTCATAAAGATTTTCACTGACTGACTGGATCATTATTTATTTACCAAGTTAATTGCTGGACCGTTTCTGACCTATCCAAAATGTAGGTAAGGTCGCCAATGTCGTGCTGTATTCATTGACGAGCAATCTTTAGGTATTTGTTTTGGTGTGACACATAAAGAGAAGATAACAATCAAATCGGAACAAATCGTTTTTCCCTCCGTTTTTTTTTTCTGTTCATCGTCGCGATATGACCTACAAACAACAAAGCATCAATGCTTTCATCAGAAGCGGATAATAAAAACAGAACCCCAGCTGATACTTCACATTGATAAGTTTCAGCACTTAACAAATCAACACAGATGAGCGTAATATTAACTTTACGGTGTTCAGATCCTGAAGGTAATCCATTCAATAGAAAACTTTTTGATTTTCGTTCTTTTTTCTTACGGCTAGTATTTTACCTTTTTTTATGTATATAAGTATGAACGTTCATTCATTCAACTTGGGCTCGCATCAATATCTATTCTAGTCGTTTCACAAATAGATCCACATAGATTGAGGAAGCTTTCACTCGACTTTAAAATGATGCGAGAAAAACATGGCCTTATTATACTTGAGTGAGTAAAACTCATCCTATACACAACTTATAATTGCACTTTAAGCATTCTGCGGAATCACAAGAATATAGTTCAACACATTGAAATCACACGGGTATGAGTCACTTTACTTGTAGAATTGTATTTATTCCAATCAGAATGGAGGGCTACTGATTATTTTTTACATTCATGAAACTGCAGTTCAGACGAATAATAAAAAAAACTACAGGTTCTGGAGGCGATTGCATCCACTAGTAAATTAATTAGCATTCTTAGTAAGTGCTGGTTGCATGTAGCTACAAGTTATATTTATATTTTTGTACCATGAATATCGCCACATTGCATTCAAATGTAATACAAAGTGATAAAAATCAATATGAAATATTTCTAAACTGCATTTCTGTCATCTTTGGTTGAAAAATAATTCATTTTTGATTGATTCTTCATTCCAAATGCCTTTTTTAATTATAAATTCATTAGGTTTCAATTGATTGTTAAATCATCACTTAATAACAAAGCTGCATTAGAATCAATTATACGTCATATTGATTGACAGTCAATTTTTTTGTTTTAAATTTCAAAACAAAAACAAAAAAAACGGAGCCAATTGGCAACATTTTATTTTACATTTCTTACAAATATGTATTCTTTTAATACTTTCGAAATTTTTATTACCATCCAAAGAATGGGTAAATCTGTCATTGAAAAAACTGGTCATCGAAGTAATGTATGAATTATGCAGAAACCGAATGTTCCAAGTCAATCAAATAGAATATCTGACTCAATTAAACGCCACTCAATCGAAACGAATGAGGTACTTGGCTCACTCAATGAACCCGTGCATTTTTCGATTTCTGTATGGCTTTTATGAATTCTTTACAAGTTCATTTTCTACTCAACTCATCGTTATTTTTTTCACTCACACAACGCCCTCTATGAGCCGTCGCCGTTCCAACGTGAAATTTTCATTTGAGTAAGAAAATATACGCGTGATTCAACTGAAAGTGTGCTCAAAGCAATATCCACCCCATTTGTGTGTTTAGCTGAAAACAAACCAACTGATTAATCAACATTCAAGTCAAACATAAAGTGAAAATGAAACACATTTCTCGTTTGTTTGGTTTTTTTTTCTTCATCTTCAAAATTGTTAATATTGCTAAGTTAAAATGGCGTTTGTTTGTTTTTTTATTAAGAGAAAAAAATATGATATTTAATTGTTTAATTGACAATTGTTGTTAATGATTAATAATATGTAAATGTATAACATTTTGTAAAAAGCGATATTGTTGATATTAGGATGATAAATGCTGACGACGGTTTTGCTGCGATTGAGTTGTTGGCCGCTTGAAAATTAGAAAGTTTAATTTCTATAGATTAGTGAAATTAATGAGACTGTTACATTGTAATCGCACACAAAAAAATTCCAACCAAATCAATTGAATTGTAAATGTATACCTCTAACGCGATCAGCTCGTGAGGTGTGTGAACCGGGATAGGTTGATTCACGTGGACGCAGCGGTTGATGTTTGAGCCTTTCACCTTCAACACTTTCCTCATTTGATTTCCAGTAAACCGTTGCAATCGATGCCAAACACTGTTTGCGCAGTAGAATAAAATCGAGAGTCGAGAAAAAAGAAACCAAATAAAAGAAAGACCGCAAAAAAAAATCAGCGAAGTGTTCGATATAAATTAATTGAATTAATTTATGGTAGAAAAAAACAAAGTAGTTCGAATCGTTTGGTTTTTATCGCATTTTGTATTTACCTTCAGTTTCATGTTTCCATGTCGAAAGGAGCTCCGGCTTTGATAGACGAACAAAGAGAAAAGTAAGAATAAGAGGGAAAAAACGAGATAAATGAACAACAAAAAGCAGCGAACATGTAGAGCATTACGTAAAACTTTGTTTTTAATGTGCGGTGTGAATATTGCGTTGGTGTTCACTCCGTTCAACTTACTTGACTTTAAAATTCAATCCAAGCGTAGTTGTTTCTAAACCCTCACGACCAGTGATAAGAATATTATAGTATTTTAGAAGACTTGCATCGGCTGGTTCACCATTAATGAACCAAGTTAGATGGGTGGCAGGCTTACTTCTACCCGAAGTGCAATTGACGTTAACGTCATCACCAATTTGATATCTGGGCTTTCCTCCCGTTATTTTAGGCCCTTGCTCTGGTAGTACTATAAATAAAATAAATTTTTATATCAAACTTCTCTCTATCTTTTCTCTTGATTTTGCACATTTGATGAATAAAAATGTGCGCATTTCAATGAGATAATCAATTTTGTGGACTTTAATGTCTTTCCGGACGGTTTTTCGCATGAATAAAAATATTTTGGGTTCCTTTTTTTGGATCGTTGTCCATATCCGTCCGTTCGTTATAATAATAAAAACTTACCAACAACAATCATATCACCATGATCAGAGACTAAATATGGGGCGAGAGAGAGCGTATGGGAAAAATGGATGTATTTAAAATTTTCTGTTTGTTGGAATCGTCAAATCAATAGTGTGCTCTTTTTATATGTGTGGGTGCTTTGATCAAAATCCTACCTGTTTCAAAAGATGGAGCTTCAGCGGATACTTCGCATCGATACCGTCCGGTACTTGACAAATTGACATATTTCAGAACAACAATGTTATCTGTCGAATTATGGATCTGCAAATATTTACCGAATAGATTTTTTGTTCGTATTGTGTTGCCAGTGTTTTTTTTTATGAAATAAAAGAAAAAAACAATGGGGTAAACCGAATAGCAAACAGCACTCGCCAATATAAAGAAAAAAACCTTTTTTTATCATTTCAAAAAAGGTAAACAAGTATCAATCAAATGGTGTCCATAAACATGGACTGATACACAAAGATATGAGAAAAGTAAGAGAAATGACTAATCCGACTTTAATTTTGCCACCCAAACACTCTTCGATAAAAACATATAAAACTACTCACGTCAACATTTATTCCGGGCAACTCGAATACTAGTGCTGGTGGCATACTACGTGGTATATACCGATAAAATTCATGTCCATCTTTGTACCATTTGACAGAGTACAGCTCTTCACCATCCATATCATAGTGGCATTCTAAGCGAGCCGTACTATTTCGCACTGTATGATTTGGAATACGAACTTCGGTTAGACGAAGAGCATTTGCTAAGGACGATGTTAAATCTGAAAATGGGCAATTACAAAAATCCCAATTACATAATTTTCGTTTTTGAAATGGCATTTTAGTTTAGCTTTTATTTGATAAAGTATGCTTGAGCTTTTTGTTTTTTTTGCTCCTCCTCTCTCTCTCTTTCTGCATTTATATTTTTTTCTGTTCATTCTTCTGGTATGAAAAAGAGCAAAGCTTCGAAAATGTTAATTACCAAAAAAAAGAAAAAAAAACAACATTAAAAAGTAGAGGGAAAAAATTGATAAAATATTATGTGCGTATATTTGGTTGGCTGAAAAGGTTAAGCAGTTATGGTTAATCAAATCAGAACCGTAACACAATCAAATGTTTGCCGCACCAACTGATTATACATAGATTGAAATAGGCATGCGATACACTAATAAATTTGCTTAAAGGCGTTGTAAATGTTGTAAATGCTCTCCGTGATGCTACCATGATAACAATACCAACAAAACAAAACCGATTGCGTTTTTAGTGTTTTCGAAACGGGCGACAGAACAAAACAAAACGATAGAATGCGTTGAGCTAGCAAGCTAACGGAGCGAATGAGCTGTAGCGAAGCAGGGTTTCAAATGTTTGTTTTCGGGAAGGGCGAATAGAGAAAAAAAGAGGCACCACCATTCCACTCGAGAATTTTTTTATGGAAAAAACATAATCCCTTCTATACACACCAAACTGAAACGGTTAACAAAAAAAAAGACAAGCAAAGTGCGGTGCCGATGGTCCATTTCATCAACTCAAATTCAACTATTTGATTCTTTTTCGGTCAATTGATTACAAAATCAAGTCCGACCGACAAGAGAGTATAGAGTAGCGCGCGCCCTCGGCGCAGAAAATTTATATTGCGATGGGAATGGGTGAGAGATATAGAGCGAAAAAGAGTGGAGAAAAGAATAAGCACAACAAACAAATGCAACCGCAGTCATGTATAACGATACCCACTATTGAAATACATAAAAGATAAAAAGTCGTTGTGATGAAACTTTTATGACAGTGTTTGCCTTGGTTCGCATGAATATGCGCACCTTACCATAGAATTTTAGGAATATAAAAAAAAAAATACGAAAAAAAGCGAACAAACACAAAAAAATTGGAAAAGAGGAAGATGAAAAAATAACCAGCCACATTGAGAGTAAAAGCATCATACAACAACAACAGCAACAGCAATGACAGCATAAGCAGCAGCGACTCTTTTATATGAAACAGTGGTGCGTTCTATCTCTTTATGATGCCGTAAACTTTACAATTTATCTCATATCATATATATGGTATACGCTGTACCGTGTATTCAAACAAATGAACGACGAAAATGAACATGGTTATACACGGTAAGCGAGAGAAAGCCAGAGAGATAAAGTAAGAGAAGTGTAATATAAAAAATGGAACCCAATTTTTTACGGCTACTCCCGAACTGCTCGCAAAAATATCGAATAAAATAAAACAAATAACGCACTCGAATCAGCATCGCCACATAGCCAGAGTGCACGCACGCACCATCTAAGCGCGCCAAACCACACCAAATAACCAAAAACCAAAAAACGAAAGCGAAAATTAACAGGGGAGCTAAACGAACAACAGCAAAGAGAGAAAGCGAAAAATAAAATTAAAAAATAAAATGTATACTCTATAGATATAAAAAACAAACATGTGAACACGGGGGAAATAAAGAGCACATGCTTAAAAATGTAGATGGATCAAAAACGGCATATATCCCATTCAAAAACTCGTTAACAAAACCAAACTCACCATTGAGAAAAAGAATCGAAAAAAATAGAAGAAGAATGATGTGGTGGTGTTTCATTGTTGATTGTGTGTCTTGGCAGATATCGAATTTAGTGCACACATCAGCGCATCTGATCGAACCGAACCATTCAAAAGGTGTGAAAATCTTGCATTGGCAACTTTTGGAATTTTTGTTGTTTCGCTTTTTTTTTGGTGTGGTGCTGTTTCGCGAAACAGAATAAAGGTGTTTTGTCGATTTAGCTATTGGTTGAGGGCTATATTAGCTATTGTGTGTGTGTGTATATGTGTGTGTGTGTGCGATATGGGGTTGATGTGATTTTTTGTTGTTGTGTGTGAGCAAACTAGCGATTTGGAGCGGCGCGCGGCAGGGACGATATTTTGATTATTCAGCCGTGATAAATGCAAATTTTTTGCATCACCTACTGACTCTATTCACACTCACGTTTTATCACTTAATTTTCTTTTGTGTTCTATTTTCGAAAAAAAAAAATTAATTTTAAACTTTGAGCTCCACCTCTTCGTGAAAGCGTAATATATATCTATATTCTTTATGGAAATACACGAGAGTAACCAGGCCGTGCGATCTACGAGCTGTAATGATTTTATATGCGATGACTTTTGTACGTTGTTGTCAATCACTTTTGTTTTATGTTTCTTCTTTATTTTAATGCGCTGTTTATCTCGCGCGAATCAATGTCACTTGAACAGTTCATCATCATCGTGTAAATGATACTCATTTTTTTTCTTTTTGTTCTCTCGGTCTTGGTTTCACGTTGGCGAGCTTTCGTTTGGCATCAATACGATAAAGCAAAACATCAAAATACATTACACATTTAACCGATTACACAATATACATCACTATTCAAGTCATCAATATACTCGATACGCAAACAATGGGCAAGTTCACTGTTCCACCAATTCATTGTTCATTTGCAATAACATTGCTGGTTATGTGTGGCTGTGGTGTTATGTTCCATGCTTGAAAACAGCAGCACTAACGGCAACAATAGCAATAACGAGGCGTAGTATGTATATGTCTATTTTGACATCCATTCATATCAGAGTGTTTTAACATTACTGATGAGAAATTATGAGATGGGGTTGTGTTTTTTTCCACTTTCATTTGCTTGTGTCGAGGTTGTATTATATTTTATGTTGTTGTTGTTATTGCTGCTTTCACTTCGTCTTCGCTTGCCACTTTTATTTTATTTGCTTCTGTTATGTTCACTCTCTCGCTCTCTGTTCTCTATAAAATCCCTTTGCATTGCTAACACTCTCGTATATGCTACTGTTTTTTTGCACTATACCACACATTCACTCTCTTTTTCTCGGTATCTTTCGGTTCACTACTGTTTTTGCAACACACTTACGGTGAGGCCACGCACGGAGAACTTCACTCGGTCGGTTGGCCTGACTACATACATCCACTATGACTCTGAATAAGTATAATTTCATGCACTCTCCTCGTTCGCAATGAAGAAGCACACGACGAACAGATGAAGAGCACGAACAACAGCAGGAACAAAAATACAACAAATTTTATATATAAATGGAGAATGAGAGAAATACACAAACCCGAATTCAAATGAATAAAATACGACACGTATCGGTATGCAAGTGCATGCGCCGTTCGGTTTGAGTGCAATTTTTCTCGAATGTCTGTGTGTATGCTTTTATACACCCGTAATAATATCAATTATTTATGCGAATAAACACACAGCGAATGTATGGAATGTTGAAAATGCACAGGAAATCTTAAATTGACTAATGGCAAAACGAACGAATTTCTTTTTTTTCTTTGGTTTATTTTTGTTCGGTTTTTCTTTTTACTTTTGCGGTTTTGTTTTATCGCCTTTCCGTTTACTTAAGCTTTACTTAGAAATTTTCTTCTATTTTTTCTTTCGGTCACAATTTGACATAAATACAACGTTTAAGAGCAAAATGCGTGTATATAACTACTACTAAATATATATAAATTAATCAACAAAAATAAAAACAATTTTTTCTCTCAAAATTTTTTTTGTCACTTTGTTTTGTTTGTTTTGATGATGTTTGCGTTTTAAATATTTCGGGGATAAAATTCTCTTGTTTTTTTTTAAATTTAAATGAATTTTCGGTTTGCTTAAAATCTAATGATATTTTTTCGATGGACAGAATTGAAAAATGTATAATTTATATATATAGAATTTTATGTTTTTGCGGGAGCTTTGAAAAAGCTGATGTGACTGCGTGCGTGCGTATCGCACAATCACGTTCGTTCTCTTCGTCGACTATACGTTGACTAATCAGAGACTATCTTCATGTACGAATAAAAAAGTGCTGAAAAGTGCTACGTTCCTCGCATTGCGAGGCAACGATGGGCTGCTGTTCGGCTGCTGCTGCTGCTGCTGTTACTATTGTTGTTGTCCTTGCTGGTGTTTTGCTTTGCCGCTTACGCAGCAAAAGTTGGAAAGTATCTGTGTGGAATGAATCGAAATGGCATTCCTCTTTTTTTTCTTCGTTTCTTCCCGTACGGTATGTGTGTTCTCTCCAGAGTTCTACTCTTGCTTAAATGGTGGTGTGCTCGATGTGCACACAGTGCACCATTCAAACGAAGCATTGGACACACGAGAGAAAGCATGGGACCCGATGAGAAGGAACACAACGCAATACACACCAAATACACTAAACAAACATTGGGTCGATGGCAAAAGCAAAGCAAAAGGAAATATACATGTAATTTTGCACAACACGCGATGCTCATCACATGCAATTGAAACGAGACAAAGCCATTGCGCAATAAAGTAAAAGGGGAAACGTGCGCTCGCAAATTTTCCCGTGCCCAGATAAAACCAAAGTGCTTTGCCACTATTAAATTATGTATGCTGTGTTCGCTGTGTGTATATGTGTTCTATATGCAAAAAAAAGAAGAGAAATATTCTGTTCATTGCTGCTGGTGGTGCTGCTGTTGATGGTATTCTTGTCTCTTCGTTTGGTGATGGCATTGTTGTTGCTGTTACTTTTCTCGCCACACACACACACACACAGTGCGGCTATCCAATTTCACTTTGGTCGCTTAGAATACCACTTGGCAAGCTTACGGTGTGTATGCTCCAGCTCACACTATGTTTATAGATATGTTGGATCGTACGTTAGGGTACGTCGTCTTTTGATGCCGACATGAAAGCGAACAAAAAAGAAACAAATATTCCGAAAATAAGAACAAAACAGAATATCATTATCACGGGCAGCATCATCGCCTTTGTTGTTTAACCCGGAATTATAAAAGTTTTGTCATTTAATTGAAAAGTGGTCTTTATTCTTTGTATTATAGGATTTTAAATTTTCTACGCGAGATGAAAAAGTTTCTATTTTCATCATAGCCAAGCAAATTGGCTTTTTCAGCCTTTTTTTCGAAACGAAGAAGAAAAAACGGAAAGAAATCGATGGCATGTAGATTTCGTTCGTTGCCGTAGTGCAGTCGGGTAGATTCAAAGAATGCGATCCATCCTAATGTGCTGATTTGATTGTATGCGAATGGATGGTGTGTACATTTAGTGTACTCTCTGTGCAGTGTTCAGTTCACAGGGGATCGAGACGATATAAATGTGAAATCAGTGTTTTATTTTCAATTTGATATTATCTTTGGGTTTCAAACGGAATATAGACACCAAACGAAGCGCGAACGAACGAACCGAATGTGAGCTAGCAACATGAGATGGAATAAGCGGACAATATCAAGTTCAATTGAACTAAAGTGAGATAGGTAGATAGGGAGTGATATAACGAGCTCCATGGTAAGCTTTATTGTGTTTGCCTCGTCATCCGAAATTGGATACTGTTTACTTTACGGTATTGCTGCTTCAGTGTCTCTCTCTTTCTCTTTCACCATCTATGTATCTATCCATCTATATCTCTCTCGATGTGTTCATGGATATGTATAAATATATAATGTGCTCCAACACTCTGCATCTTCCATATCTCACCATCGTCATCATGAGCTAACAGCGCTTGATCTGCTTTTCGCTGATGTCGCTCATCGCTTCACCCGCTTGCTGCCAGATCTGTTCTGCATTTCTCTCTCTCCCTCTCCTCTGCATACGCACGTACAGCATCAAGCAATATTGTAAAGTTATCTAAGTTCAAATAGCAAAACACACATTAAAAATAATTGCGTAAAATTTACTTGCGGAGACGACCCTTCGACATTTCATGTGGCAAATTTTACGAAAATTCGACATGACTTCTGTTCATCATCATTTTCATTTTCACATCACACGCATATTTTCCCGTTTTGACACGTGTAAATGGATTTTGTGTGTGTGAGTATGATTGCATGTGCGTAACATGTATCGCGCCTTTCTCAACTTTTTTTTTGCCACTTTTCAGTTTGTTTTTTCATTGTTCAAAAACTTTGTCGGTGTTATTCTTTTACTCTTGTAACTTGTCATATATATATGTATAATATATTTATTCATGCTCACGAGGTTTTCTTTTGGTATTTCTTTTTTTCTGGTTTGGTTGACAATCGCAAAACAAATATACATATATTAATTTATGAATGAAAAATTTCGTGCATGAATTTTTTATTACTACATTTGCCAATCATTTTCGGCACAATGGCACAAAAGGAAGAGATGAAGCGAACGAACAAAGCAAAGAAAAAATAAATAGAATTGTAAAATAAAACAAAAAGCTCTTTCGCGTCCTGTGTAAAACTAAAATAGTATGTACAATGTATTTCGATTGTATTTCCTGAAGTCCACGCCTAATGAAAGGAAGTTCGCCTTTTTCGCTTGCATCGTATTCCGTACGTGTTTCAACTTCATTATCAGACTTCTATAATTTTTTTTCCTTTGAAAACAATTCATCGCTCGGATCATGACGAACTCGCCATGAACAAGTGGCTTTAGCGGATGGGCATAAAATAAAGTTGCTTTTCTTATTCTTTTCGTCGACAATTAAATGAAATTATGCTTGAATTTACTAAATTAAAAGCCAACGAAAAGTGGGCGAATAAAAATGAAGAATAAAGAAAAAAATAGCATTTCTCTTGCGCTTCGAGTTTCGACTTTTAAATTTTCACTCACTTATTTCGTTTTTCGCCCCATAAAATTAAAGGAATAAATTCAATTGGTTTTTTTTCTATTTCTCGTGTGTTTTATTATATACACATTTACAAAATAAAGAATGATTGACGATTACGATTAAAATTGTAAACAGTTCATTTTTTTATATTCCTTTAAACTCATTTTTTTCACCCTTTATTTTCTATTAGTTGAATAATAGTAAATTGAGTGTAAAAAAAAAGAATTCTTATGATAAAAGTCGCGTGAGCAGGTTGGAGCTTTCGTGCATTTTTTTCCATTTATCCATGTTCACTTTAACAGACGGGATTATTTCGTCTGATGTCTTGCCTAAACCATAGTAATCAATGAACTCTCCATTTGGATCCACTAAATACAAAATTATCGTATGATCCACCTAAAACCGAAAAAAAAAGAGATAAAGAACATCACAAATTAGAGAGTATAATCAACCTTTTTTCGCATTGTAAAGTGTACGACGATGGATTGACAAAATCCCTTGTGTTGTTTGAACGACTTACAATATAATCATCGGATTTATCTTTGGGTCCAGCTTTGAAATAAACATGATATGCGTGACAAACTTTTTTTATTTCGTCCATCGCCCCCGTAAGACCGATAATTTTGTCCGAAAATTCTTTTACATATTTTCCAACCACTTCTTTCGTATCTCGGTCTGGATCGATTGTGATGAAAATCGGTTGTAATTCGATATTTTCCTTTTCTAAAAAGATGAGTTGAGTGGGGGTGTGTGTGTATGTAAATATTTACAATATTTGAAGGCATAGTAGACACAATTTAATCACAGCATTTCTATAGAAATGATTTAATTTTTCATCGATTCTCTTACCTAATCCTTTCACAACGTTTGTCATTTTTTCCATTTCGTCGGGGCAAATGTCTGAAATACACCGTTTAATCGACGTTCAAAGAAATTGCCCAAAAATTCAATCATGATTTTTTTCTTTATCGATTTTTACCTGGACAATGTGTGAAGCCAAAATAAATCATGCACCATTTTCCCTTGAAATTATCAGATGACACCGCATTTCCATTCGGATCAATCAATTCCCATTTTCCGCCAATGCCGGCTTTTTTAAGCGCTTTCTGTCGCTCTTTCATCAGAGCTAAAATCAGATAAGAATTTATCAACAAAACTGTCACTCCAAAAGAGAGCATCAACATCAAATTTGATACTGAATCAATTATATCCATCACTCTCAAGAGGTTCTATTGAAATTCTTTACCATATTCTCTCTCTTTGTGCACATAATAACTGAACGCAATTACACTGGCACCCAAAAAGGCTGTGTATATGTACTTTTTCTTTCGGCTAATCGTCGGCTCGGCAATGCTTTGCTGTGAATATTTACATTTTGGATAAAGAAATTGTGTTCGTAAACTGCCACTGAATTGCCGGAATAATTGACACTGAGATCGAACTAACCACGACATTTTTTTCTTTTAATTTCGATGATTTAATTCACTTGGCAAACGAAATTGTTAAATTCAAAGTGCTCTGCGATACTTTTTCCAGCAGTAACTAAAATTTGAGGTTATGTCATTCTTTTGTTTTGACATTTCTGCCATTCACACATCCGTACACCAAAAAAAAAAACAAGCAAAACACTCAATTCATTTGAGACCAATTGAAACACATTAGATAAGAGTTAAACGAACTGTTTATGCAACTTTTTTTCCTGCCTCTTTCAAACTTGATGGATTCAATGAATAAAACAATCTTTTACATTTGAATCAATTTTATTGCTAAAGAATCTTTAAATAAACATTATTTTCTTGAAATATTTATTTGATTTTTTTTTTTCCATTGTATTTGGCGACAGTGACCAAAATTTCATCAGTCACTTCAGCACGTTTCTTATTCTGTCCGAAATAGTCGACAAATTCACCCTTTGGATTTATCAAATACAAAACTATTGTATGATCGACCTGAAATTGAAAACAAACAATGGCTATCGTTATTTAAAAAAAAAAAAAACAAGAAAAAAGTTTTAGATTTACAATGTAATCGTTATCCTTGTCTTTTGGACCAGCACTAAAGTATACTCGGAATTTCTTGCATACTGCACCTATTTGCTCTTTGGTTCCAGTCAAACCAAGCAATTTCGATGAAAACTCTTTAATGTACTTTTCAAGCACGTCTTTTGTATCACGTTCCGGATCAACAGTTATGAATAGCGGTTGGACTTGAATTTTTTTCTTTTCTATTGATAAAATAAAAAAAATCATGTATCAATTAACTTTAAAATAAATAGTAAAGAAGAATTTGGTGTGTCTCACCTAAATCATCAATAACGCCAGCCATTTTCTCTAATTCATCCGGGCACACATCGGGACAGTGTGTGAATCCAAAATAAATCAATACCCATTTACCATGAAAATCAGACGACTTTTTCACTTCACCGGTGGTTGTCATCAATTCCCATGGTCCACCAATAGCCGCCTTTCCAATTGATTTCCTTCGCTCTTTTTCTATCTCTGAATTTACCAACACACAATATTTTAGTTTTTTATTCACTCCTTCTTCATCTTTCATCTCCAATTTCCACTTTACCTGCATCCTTTTTAGCTTCCATATATTTCAAAATACCAAACATAACAGCAGCACAAACAGCAGTATATTTGAGAGATTTCCATGTGAGTGGCCCTTTACCTTCGCCAGGCCTTTTTATTCTTGGTAATTCGGCATAATTTCGTTGTTGATTTTGCAAAACCAAACACAGTGGACTTATAGTTTTTGGTTTTAGCTGGTTACTACAACCTAACCTGCAAACTGGTAACAAGCGGCTTAATCGATTCATCATTTCAATTCACTATTTATTGATTTTACAGATTGAAATGCACGATTTTTAAATGCGATTCGAATAAATGTGATCAATACCGGTACACGTAAAATGCGTCACAAACTACATTAACTAGATTTTGATGAAAAAAACATTGGTGCAAATGTTTATATTCAATCAAGTTTTACTTGGTATTCAAGTAGAAACCATATGACAGTTGTCAAATGTCATCCAATGGAATGTTTTCACCGCAATTGTCAAATAAGATTGAGCCCGGTTCACATACGCATGTGCTCACTCGTTTCGGTCACGTTTGCATCGCTTCACATTTGAAAAATAAAAAAATCGACAAAACGGAGAGAGAATAAGCTATTTACGATTTGATGGAACTTGAATACAATCAGATATAAGAATTTTACTTGATTTCGAGATTTAAAATAGAGAATCATAAAAAAATGAGCCAATAAAATTCTAATGAGGTTTTAAGCTGCTTGAGAGAGGCAATAATATGACGCTTTTTTTGAGTATATATGATGAGCACGATTATATCAAGTGAATTTTGTAAAACAAATGCGTCAATTAAAAGAAGAGCGATAAAATTGACGACTGAAACCAACGAAAAAACTCGGCTATAAATAAATGAATTATCTTCTAATTTCAGCTGACATTGATTTGCGTAGAATCATTATCTCCCCCACCAATTAAACAACATTGTAACCTTTGTTGCAAGCCGGTGTACACTATGCACTGAATGTCAATATCAAATACTTTCATTTTCATAGAAAAAATGTGTTATGATTGCGAATATATCTTATGACCCGGTTTCCCTGGCATGCCTGCGATCCAATACTCCAAATTGAAGAGCAATTTCGAAATGTTGGATCAGCAGAAAAACAACAATGTGTTTACTTCAAAAAGTTATTTACACGCCTTACGCAGTGCAAAAATATATCGCATCTGCTTGAGACGGGCAACAGCCGCAAGAGAGAACAAGATAAAAAAGAAAAGAAACCGCATGTGTATACAGTTATTGAAAAAGTTTAGTGCTTAGTTCAGTCGTCTGTTCCGCAAGATTTGCCAGTCTGTGTTTTGCCATTTGCCTGCACTCTGTGTGATGTGTGCACTGCAAAAACTTGAGCGCGAATTATAATCGAAAGCAAGAGAAAAGACAAGTGAAGCATACAAAAAAAGTCGAAAGAAACACAAAAGTACCGGCAAACGAAAGAAAAAAGCACTTTCTATATCGATCTATATATAACGTATAGAACATTGCGTGCCGAAATTGCAATAAATCAAATTGTGTGTACAAGTAAGTATATTCGATCCTGACGCTTATAAATATTCAATTTGTAATGTATACTGCCAAATGGCGTACACTCAACATTCAAACTTATTTATTGATTACTCTAACGAAAGCAGCACAAAAGTCACAATTAATTAAGAGGCCTCTGTGTTTTAAACACAAAATAAACGTCGATTTGCGAAAAAAATCGATTGTTTTACATTTTGACCGGTTTCGCTCATTCTCCCAAAAAGAGAACATTTTGAATTTAAAATTTTATGCGAAAATTGTTTGAATTTTACATTGATTTTTCTTTCATTCAATCGGAAATTCATATTTCTAGACAGTTCTATTATTACATGTTGACTATCATGCCGAACATTTTGCAATATGTACATGTAAAAGAGAATAAAACGTGCATATATAACGAATTATGCAGCCGTAATTTTTTTTTTTCGAATAAAACATACGCAATCGTGCTAAGACACATTGCAGTTCGCTAATCTTCGTCAATCCGTGCGTCGTATCGGTTTACATTTTGGCATTTGTCACGTCATACGTGTCTCAACAAAAAACATCATGTGCGATTCGCACCGAGTAATTTCATGCACGAGTTTCGGTGATTTCATTGTTATTAACAGCTCGAACAACAAAAAAAAATCGATGTTTACCATATGACAACGTTTGTTTATGTGTACCAAGTTTATTGATTCGCAATATACATATTTCAAGCACATATTCAAATTTCATTTGAGTTCCTGCACCGACACACATACGATTTATCGAATCGTTTTGCTTTTCTTTGAAAATCGAAATAATATTAAATAATTTTATCACTTGCAATTATTTCCAGACAGAATTTTATGCATACTTTCCTTGATAATTATTGCTATATTTACTTCTGGTTCATTAGCATTACAGAGAATTCATTTTAAATTCACTTTTTGACGCCGTCGCCTCTTAAGTAAACACGTGAATTATATGGGCCGATCACATTTCATTAAGTAACGAATTTATAATGTGCGATTGGACGCGTATGAAACTTAAATAGAAACAATCGAATTGTGTAATATTTTTTTGTTGAATGATTTGTATCTGAACGAAAGCTTGTTCAATTCAGGTCAAATGCTACTAGGTCAAGATTTTTTGGTCAAATACAATTCGATTCAGAATGTTTGATTCGACCGATTCTGATAACTTTGAGAAAATAGCGCATTCTGTATTTTTGAAAGCACTAGTATTGTCGCGAAATTTTTGAAGACGGAAAACCTTCGTCGAATGCACAAAACGTGTGAAGTATAGTGAAAATGACGCAACGCAAGGCATAAATTTGGGATTTGCTCCCAAAAATCACCATACATTCAATTCTCTCGAAGTTCAATCGAAAGTTTGTTTTCAGTTCCAAGTCCTATCGATAGTGTTTCGTTTTTAAAATATTTAATGTGGAAAAAATGAATATATTAGAGGTTTTCGTTGCATACAAAAATGACCTATACCTGCTGGTATTTGGTAATATCAAATTGGTATTACTGGTATTCCCAGTACGGTCATTCGTTCCTGGATGAAATAGCAAGTTGTGATATTTTCTTTGCATTCTTTGACATTCATATTGACTTTACTTTGTGCATATTTTATTCTTAATTGGAACGATTTCATGTAAAATCGTCTTTTTTCTTATTTCAAACAATAAATATCAACGGTTACGGTCTTAAAATAACTTGATTTCACAAATAAATTGACACTTTTTGATAATATTTTTTACACGTTTTTGCTCATGCAATTTTTTGTTTTTCGAATAATTGAAAAAAATAATCAAAATTTTAATTTAATTTCTTAATTAAGGTCACTGAGTCAGCTCTTTAATCACATGTTTCTAATTGCATCGAAAGATTACAAAGGTTATGATTTATGCAAATCTTCGCCAGACATTCGATAATTCAGCTTATCAAGCTAAAAATAGAATATTCTACCAAAAAAAAAAAAAACGAAGGACGATGCTATACATATAATTTCATTTTTTTCTTCCATTTTCGATGAATATTCCATAATCGCCTCATTATGAGGCTATAGACTCGTACGACTCACTTCATTTATGATGTTATAAATCGAACCATATTCCCAAATATTAGCAAATGCAGTACATTTGCTGTATCGCACAAACAATGTTGCCATTTAGTCCACTGTATAAATTGAATAGGATGCGACAGACATTTCGACTCGCTTCGACTGCGGAGCTTCTTTCCATTTTTGGTAAATTGTAACATGTATATTTAGAAAGTGCTATGATTTCGATTGTATGATAAAAAGCAATTCAATGAAAAGAATGTGAATTGATGATTAAACAGCATCAAGATTATTCCGTATGATAATGCGTGTTAACATTGTTTGGCTACCGGAGGCAAACCAATTCAGTACAACACAACAAAAAGCATTACGCGAACGTGACAAAATGACCCGGAACGTAAACAATTAAACTGGTGTGTCCCCGAATAAACGCGATTTGCGATAATAAAAATAATAAATTTGACGTTATGAAAACAATTCACAAATACTGAATATTGCTACAAAAATTAAATTATCCACGCTTGGCATGAGCCGCAACAATAAAATGTTGCGGAAAATGTGCTGTTCTCTGCATTTTTGATACGATGACGCGATGTGCGATCTAAGTGACAATACTGAATTCAGGGAATATATAAAAAAACATATTACCACTATATGGTGGTCGCCGAAAATACACGCAAAAACAAGGCAGACACACATTTTTGCGGTTTTGAAAACAAATTTTCAATTACGATAATAATAATGTTATTCAAAACATTCACAATAATAAAATGGCAATAATTATTATTTGTTATCTGTATACATCAAACGTTAAAATACGCATTCATACACAAAAACGAGTTAATTTTTGTATGCTGAATATATATCGGCGCTCATCGAGTGGTGATTAAGTACATGACATGCCATTTATTTTACGTGCATGAAAATTCACGTCGTTGGTAGCGGATATCGTCCGATTTTCCACCATAATCGATTTATTTATGCTTATAAAACCGGAGATAAGTGAGTTACGCTCAAACTAAGCCCCGTACCAAAATGATTAATTGTTTACTCTCGACAAGGGTACTCTGTGATACATGCAAAACAACTTCAAAAATTAGCGCCAATTATCCGAAAAACAACTTTTCGCCCCAAAACTTTGCGTAATTGACTGACAGAATATTACCAATTCTATAATTAGAATGTTGATGCTACGCCGAAAAGTGCTCGAACAAAATCGAATAAAAAAAAACTTTTGCCAATTTGGCATGAATCTGCATAAATAGACACATGTGATTTAAACGTTTTCCAGCCGATAAAATACATTAAAAACAAATCACAGAGGCTGTGAACAAATTACACACCGATCATCGTTTATTATCCTAGCCATTTCAAAGCTTGAATTTTTTAGATTAACACATTCGATAAACGATAAGAGAAAGAGCGGGATCACATACAAACATCAAGTGGTTGTGAACGGTGTGTGTGCGCACATATGGTGTGAATGTTTTGTTGTTATCATGAATTTACTGCCTGTTGAATATTGTCGATTGTTTTGTTGTATCGTATGCACATTTATTATTCCTTTGAGTACAATTTCAAGTCTATATGACGACCCAACCGAAACGTACCACAAAACAGTATCACAAAAGACACACGGCTGTATAGACGCCGAAAATTGACAGTGCGACCACACATACTTGTTACACATATTATATTTCAACAAAATTGGGTGAAAACACAACACCGACAACTCGGCAGACAAACCGAAAGTTAATGTGAGTGTAAGTTTGAAAATAGCCACAACGACCGCGACATTGAAACAATTTAACGTACGTTCTTTTGTCTTGGAAATGACTTTCTTTCGGTTTATTATTGCATCTAAAAATACACATGTGTATGTGGTTTTGGATGTATACAAGAAATAGAATTAAATAAATTTCTTCCGGAAAATCGTGGCAAAAACAATTTCAACTGCAATATTCAAAACGTTCTTTTGAAAGTGGTTTCCGTGCAAAATTCGTGCGTGCAAACATTCATGCAGCAAGCAGAAGATGTAAACATAGGAAAAATACCGCAGTTTTTTTTCCTGTGCCAATTCCAAATGGATGTGTGCTGTGCATCAAAACACTTCTTTTTTTTGTATTTTGAGACGTGGCACGATAGAACGTGAAATTCAGATATGATATAATAGACATTACCACTATATTCATAAACTGTCTATAAATTTATTTGGGTCTCACGAGACAACCGTACAAAGTTGCAATATGCTTTTCTGGTTGTTGTGTTTGCTCCCCCGATTTCAAGTCAAACAAATCAAAACCAGTGATATTTTCACAGAACCAGAACAAATGCAAATATTTGCTTTGATTTAGAAATATCCAAAGGCGGAAATGGAACATCATTTTCTTCTGACTTCGAAGAATTGATGCTTTTAAAAACGGCAATTTCTTTACGACTCAAAGATTGAGGGATTTTGAAAGATTTTAATACAGATTGCAAACAGCAGCGAATAGAGAGATTTTTTTTTAAATTTGAGTGAAATGCACGACAGTCAACAAAAATAAACGAGTACTGTCATTGGGGGTTTTTGCACACATTTTTTTTTACAAAATATCATTTCATCTAAAAAGGTTGAAGTTTGTACATTTTCAATGAATTCCAATGGAAACGACCTTATTATGACATAATATTTTTCAACGTCATTCGGAAAATTGAGAGAGCTTGCATTTTCAATGATTTTAAAAAAGTTCTCGCCAAAAGAAAAAAGTTGACATTTTAATAAGATCCTGTCGAATGAATTTAATTTGACATTTAAACTTTCATTTTTCGCTTTATAAATAGAAAGTATATTCATGATTTCAATATGCTCCAGTTTATAATAGAATCCGAATAGGTTTGCATATCGATTTATGAATTAGCCATAAATGTCTAACGACTAAGCGACAAAACTTCATCAATTTATAAAATGATAAAAAATTATCAGCAATTTGTAGCACTTTAAAAGTAATAAAATGACACGTTTTCCACCGAGCCAATTGAACTGATTGTAATATTCACTTGCAAAAAAATAATGTATTTCTATTTTGTGTCTTTCAGAGATATGTAGCACGCGTACCATTAAAATTGATAGTTTCGCGCACACGTTTATCAATTTGAATAATCTTTGTTTTAACCAAATTGGATTGTCTTTTCAATGTCAAAACAACCATATTCAATTGTTTTATTACAACTCCATTTTATTGATGGTGTTCTGTATTCAAGTTGTGAATATTTAATTATGTCAATCATGTAATCACAATCACGTTTTTCGTTGTGGCTATTTATTTTCTGTTCATTTGTTTTGTTTTCTGTTTACATTCTATCAGTTTGACTTATTCGTAAATTGAACACTGATAAATCACAATATTCAATAAAATGACGGTCAACGACGTCTATTTTAGTTAATGACAATTTAAATAGATTCCAATATTGGCTCTATATCAATCCAAAAATTTATTCAATAAACACATGCTGTTTAGAGAGACGGGAAGCGAAACGAAAAATCAAATATGGATTGCACAAGTTCAACTGCAATACGGAATTAATTTGTGAGTCTCGTGATTTTTTTAAATATACCAGCAACAGTTTCGCTAGGCATTTGATAATGATGATATATGTGTTTGTATAGATCGTTATTAAATTACGATGATTTTCCACTGAAAACGTGTTCTCGTAAAAGGTGTTGTGATATTGTAAAATACAGTTTATGATAAAATGAATTGAAGTTTTCATTATTCGGGTTCTGGCAATAATTCAGATTAGCTAAAGCAACATCGTAAACTTTAATTCGGCAGTTTTTGTAAATTACCCGCATTGCCAGTTGCCAAGGGATTTGATTCGAAGAGCAAATATTTAACAACGATTCAAACTTTTGATTTCGATAAGAACATGATCACGCGATATGTATTCGTGTCTCATGGTAATAATCATAAATTATAAATAATAATAATTGTTATAACCAATAAATCTCACCACATTCTAGAACATATACTATGCTATGTTTAGTAATCACCCGATTGTTTAAACAAAATGTTGAAAAGTGAGAGAAGTTTTGCCAATTGCACAAATAATCGTAAATTGGACAAAAGCAGTGTTGCCGACCAACTGTCGATCGGGTGTTTATTAAACAAAAAGATAGTAGAATGTGCAGTTTTATCAGTGTATGCCAGTGCTTTGATATTTAAACAAAAATCAATGATTGTGTGCTAGTTTTTTTGTACAAGTGTTTTAAGGTAATTGAATATTTCAAGCAAAAATTAAATTAAAAATAAATTGAATCAAAGTATTTCGAGCAAGGCAATTGATTTTTTAAAAGAACGTATTTTTTGCTTTCATTGCGAATAGGAAAAAAGTAACAAAATGTCATCTGGAGAAAAAGATCTAACGTGTGTCATTTGTGGAATCAACGATACCTACGTACTGAACTGCAGAAAACTGTACAAATCATTTGTTTTGTGGTATAAGTCATACCGTTTTAAAAGTTTTCTACATTCAACGTTCAATTGTATTCTCATTGATTGATTGGATTTAAATACTTTCCAGTTACTTTTAACGAATGGTGTGCAACGAGGTGACGACGATACCAAATTTGCTGGTTTTCTTGTGAAAGACGTCCTCGATCTGGTCAATCTACACAAGAAAACTCAATGTGTCTACTGTAAAAAGACGAAAGCATCTGTTCCTTACTAAGTGTAAGGAATGGATGTTTGAATATATTCGATAATGATAAATTCCCATCCTTCTGCGATAGACACGTCGTGATCAACGAAAAATATGACAAACATGGTGTTGGCTGGCAGTGTCAAATTTGTCACGATCCAATGGGAGAATATACTCAAATTACGAGCATCCCATCGTGCTGTGAGCAAGGTTATTTCCACAAAGAATGCATGCAAGCTCACGCAAGAATGGCTGGCTTAGTAGCAAAATCTCCATGTTGCGGATATGCCAAAGTGAATGGAGTGAAATATCGAGATTTTTTGCGACGTCGTGGTAATTATTGTCCTGATGAAGATGCAGGTGAGCGATATTGATTAAACATTCTCTAGAATATGGATAAAAAATATGTTCGAATATAAAATTTAATGGAATTTTGTAGATTGGAAAGAGCCTGGTGCGTTCGCGGATATTGAGGTTCTGAACTATAAATGCGTTGCCGTAGAATGCAAATGTCCCAATGGCCGCAATTATTGCGATGAAACAGGAAAATGGCTGAATGACAGGTGCTATTTTTGTGGCGATAATGGTATTCATTTCGGCTGTCGCAATTCTAAGCAGAGTGACTTATTTAAATGTTTTGTTTGCCATCGAAAAACCAACTGGTGCGTATAGTGATATTGATATCCTGGTTGATATCTATAAGAATGCACCCTTTGAGCGTTCTGATTGTCGTGAAAAAACACCAGACTCTCACAATCATACGGATGCTCGAAGTGGTGTTAGCAAGAGAACAACAGAAACAACACACTCACAACGCACTTATGTGATTGCAACTGATTTGAATATCATTTGTGTTGATGACACCAACTATGCACCAAAAACAACACACACACAACACCCTCACAATCACACATCTAGCAATGGCACACCAGAAACGAAAATTCAGCACCAACAACCAGCAAATGAATTGGATAATAATATAAATGTCGTTTGGAAATTGGTCAAAACCGATTATCTTTCGCACCGAAATACGTCTCTTATGTTGATAAACTTGAGTGATAATGTTCAGATCGATCCACCAAGCAATGATCAAGAAGAAGAAATGAGACAGGTTCGTCTGAAATTGTTCTTCGAAAAAGCTGACTTTTCATCAATACCAAAACCATGCAGTTTTTGAACCGTGATTTTGTCATGTCTAATTTCAAAAAAAAAAATATTGCATTGAGATATAGGAATAAAAACAATTGATTTAAAAAAAACAAAAACGGAATCCTCCTCATGTTACTTATTTAAATTGTGTGATGTTTATCAGCTACTCTTTTGAAGCTGAATCAGATTGATCAATTGTGTTGTTGGGAAAGACAAGTGAATTTAAAAAGAAACAAGCAACATTTTCCATGGATATTCGATTCGCTCTTCCAGAGCGACACTTTTTCCAATGCTGCTTTAATATATGAATATGGATGAAATTCGCATGTTTGTGAAAAAAAACTATGTTTGATTACGAATTTACAATTTTAATGTGCTCACCGTCGAATTGAGCATTTGCCGATGTTTTAGATAAATGATTTCATGATGAAATTGAGTGACAATATTGTATTCTATTCCAATCTATAGATTCGCTGTCAGTGTCAGATAAAGTAGTTTCGCTAACAATCTCATCTGACTATGATTTGAACGTATTTAGTTGTCAATTTACACTGAAACTTACATCATATTTTGCGCGTGTGTTCGTATTTGCCTCACCGCTTACTTCGCCCATGTCAGTGCTCAAGAGCATCAAGAGATTTGGTATAATTTGATTAAAAAAAAAATGTTTATTCATTTTATTTCATTTCGTTTTAGTAATTATTATAAAATTCCATTTGAAATATTCGTTCGAACCGAAATTATAAATAAATACAGAATTATACGGATGTTTTGTGCATCGTATACGCATCGAGAATATTTTGTTGCATTGATGATGAGCGCAGACTGAATTAATGAAATTCCATTTCGACTGGAATTTAATGTGCATAAATTCACTTTGATTTTGCTAAAAATTTATGTTTACATATTTTGTTGGAAATTATTCGCTTCATTTTTGTCACTCATTCGCTCCACTTATTTTTTTTTTTTTTTTAATTAAAAAACTAAAGTTGTGTAATCTCTGAATTTTATATCAGTTTTCATGGTTACTGCAAATACAGTTTGGAGATGACCGTATTTAATGTAAGACCAGTCTCAAAATACTTATTGAATTTCAAAGTTATAGACATAGTAACAAGAAATGCAATAAAAATTCGATCAACGAATTGTTGGAATAATTGCATTTTCATATTTTGACTTGACACACTTGACACAAAAATCGTTCCATTTATTGTTGAACATCCAGTAACAAAAAAGAAAAAAACAATATGGATTTTGTGTCAATAAAAGTAATAAAAATAAAGTGACTTCGTTAAAGTCTGGTATTAAGTCTGGTTCACGTGATGTAGCACGTTTCATTCATATAACGGAGTGCGGAAACAAAGCAACGAAATTACGGAGTAGTAATATGACACGTTAATTTGAACATTCATATTTCAATTTCGTTGATTGCTTGTCGTAGAATTTATCACATAACTGTTTGGTTGATAAAAATTTCTTTTTTTTTTTTGTTCAAATGAGATTTAGAACTTTATTTGTTCGCTTCGTGTGGTGCGAAAGTGTGGAAATTGCTTATCATAAATATTTTCTTACAAATAAATAATATTTTCTGTTCGTTTGAATGACGTGAGACATTATCGCTGCTTGAGATTCTTTACGACGCACATTGACTGTGATTGATTTATGATGATTATTTTCAAGTGTTTTGCTTACAAACAAGCCTCTAAAATATTACGTTTTCCTCATTTTAGTTGTATTTCAATTGAGACTAGTTAAATAGGACTAAAGTGCGAAAACATGAAATTGCCACGGTTGTCACATGTTCAATCAATCAGTGGAAAAGTTGAGGCAGCAACAAAGACCAAAGATACTGGACGGTGGCGTGATTTAACTGCTTACTGGATACTCGGACTTTGCAATAACTATGGATATGTGGTAATGCTTAGCGCAGCGCACGACATCATTGCAAATCCAGGAAATGTAAGTAAATGGCTGCATGTATATACATTAAAAATACCTAACATCAAAACATCTGCAGAAAATGTCTTTTCGATATTTGACATTTTTCCCCAACTCATTTTCCTCAACTTTCTATTTACTTTCGAAAACTTTTCAATTCAATTTTGTGGTGGTATCTGCGCCACTATTTGTGCTAACCTTTCAATTTTTTTTATTTCTGTGACTTTTTGTTGTTATTTTACAGTCGGCCGAAAAGCATGTGGAAGAAAAACCAGAAAATGAAAGATATTGTCACATCATCAGCACTGGTGCTATTTTGTTGGCTGATGTAAGAAAACTCTTTTCCGCTTTCATGATTTGAATATTTTATGAGGCATATTTCTCCCCCTTGATTTCCATATTTAACTCGTTTTTTTTTTTTTCATTTTAAATCAGATTTTGCCATCGTTGTTTATCAAATCAGTGTGCCCGTTCTTGCCGTTCTACATAAAGTTAGTAATTTAAAAGCAATGTGTGCTAATAATATTTTTGAGCATTAATTCATGCCATAATATTTTATAATATTAATTAATTTTTGCTCTTGGTCTTCATTATCAGCGTTCGAATATTCCTGGCATGTTTTATGCAATGCGCTGGATTTTTGCTGGTAGCTTATGCCGATTCATATTTCATGTCTGTCTCTGGCGTTGTATTAACATCGCTCAGTTCTGGTCTTGGCGAAGCATCACTTTTGTCATATTCGTCAAAGTTCCATAAGTAAGTTATTTTGAGCTACAAATGTGTTTTCAATTATTCATTCCAAATATTATTATTTTTTATAATATTCGTTCATTCAAACACGAAGAAATGTGATATCGACGTGGTCCAGTGGCACAGGCGGTGCAGGTATCTTTGGAAGCTTTTCATATGCAGCTTTAATTTCGATGGGTGTGACTCCAGTCAATACAATATTAATAATGCTCAGTGTGCCTTTGATTGAGGGTGCAGCTTTTTGGTTTTTATTGCGTGATCCACGTTCGATTCCAAAACGAGATTCGGAAACTGAGTTCAGTGCGGCAGTCGATGACCAAGAGACCGGCGTTGAAAATAAGAAAGAAACACTTTCGCTCGGCGACAAGATCCGCTACTTACCTTCATTGTTAAAGTATATGATTCCAATTTCGCTGGTATATTTATTCGAATATTTCATCAATCAAGGATTGGTCAGTAACTTTTTCTTTTCATTTCAAATATTTGACATAATTTATCAAAAACTTGGTTTTTATTTTTAGTTTGAATTGGTTTACTTCAAAAATATTTGGCTTGACCAACCAGCACAATACCGTTGGCTTCAAGTTGATTATCAAATCGGTGTTTTCGTATCGCGAAGTTCAGTGAATCTCGTTACAATCAATAAAATTTGGCTAATGTCAGTCTTTCAATTCATAAACGTCGCAATTTTCTTGCTTGAAGTGATAATATTCTTTTCACCGTCAATTTGGCTCGTCTTTGGAATTGTATTCTGGGAAGGTTTGCTCGGTGGCGGGGCTTATGTCAATACATTCTATCGGATGTCGAAAGAAGTGCCAGAAGATAAGCGTAATTTTGCATTGGTCAGTACCTTTCTCTTTTCATTTCAAATATTTGACAATTAATCAAAAACTTGTTGCTTATTTTCAGGGCGTAACAAGTTTGGCCGATGCCATTGGAATTGCGCTTGCCGGCGTTTTCGCAATACCGGTGCACAATGAATTGTGCCGATTGCCAATGCCATCCAGAGGATAAATCAAATTAATATATTGTTTTGAATGTACATAAATAGCGTTTTTCCCCTGTTTTTTTATCATACAAGTGGATCGTAATGTAGCCATAAGTTTTATTAGAAAATATTTGTTCTATACGTATATGTAGAGTGTAGACAAAACAAGACTTTATTTCTTTTTTCCATTCTATATTCGAATGTGTATTTAATGTAATGAATGATCGAATTTAATCGCTCAGTAGTTTTAGTCGCGAGAGTATTTTTTAATAAGTCAAATGACTATTGTCGAGTAATTATAAATAGACCTGATAAAAAAGACGCACATTCTTATCAATAATTCAATTGAAACGAGTTTTCTTTTTAATTCAAATACGTATTACGAATGCAATACTTCCATCCTGAGCACACTTTGTACCGTTTAAATAAAATCAAAACTATATATATCTCGATGACAGTATGAAAAATTGCATTCGATTCATTCGAACACCACACAGTAGTACATTAAGTGTTATTTTTGTTTCATGATAATAAATTTATTTGAAGTAATGTCTTTATCAGTTTTCTTTATCATTTCGAGCAATAAAATCAAAGTGTAAATCATTTAGCTATGGCAAATATGGTGATAATTAGTCATGTAATTAAAATGCACTAATGCCGATGTATCAGAAGTATTAAATCTGATTTTAATTAATTTCTAAAAAATGAAAATTCATTATCTGATAAAGTGCCTTAAAAATCCTATTCAAAATTAAAATATTGTAATTTTTAATAAAATTTGATGGTATTAGAAAAAAGTCTTTAAGGCCGTGATACATAAGTGCCAACGAGTTCAATGTTGAATTCGAAAATGTCATAAGTGAATCAAGATTTTCAAAATAGCAATTTAACAATTTACCACAAAATAGTTGAACATTATACAAAAATTAACTAAATTATTAAAAATAAAATACAAACAATAGAATTTTTTCAATTTTGGATGTTTTTTTTTTCAGAATTTTTGACAGGTGTATGTGTAGAGTCAAGTGTAGAGTTCAAAGTCCTTTATTCGAAAAGACTAAAAGAACGACAGTTGAAGTGTCACTGCTTATTTACTGTTGATCTTTGAAACAGTGAACAGCTAATGCATTTCAGCAACTTTGAATGCTAATATTTTTTTTGGTGTACTATTTTGAAAGTTCGAATAAAAGCAGAAAAAATAATTTTTATGTGTTTTTCAAAAAAAAAGAGAATAAAAGTCGTTTGGATGATGTAAATTTTTAACATTTATTTTAATACAAAAAGACAAAAACTATAACCAATTCAATGTTACAATATCCAGCCATTGACGGTTCTCATTAATAATATGCTCAGGAACATCGACTCTACCACCATCCGGCAGAATTGTGAGTTTAATATTGACCCGATTCTTGGCAAAGCGCAAAACTGATTTATAATTTTCCAAATCAATATTAAGTCCACCAATCTTACATTGAATTTGTGCCAGATTTTTGCCATATTTCAATATTTTTTTAATCATCGTCATCGTTCCCATCCCATAACAATTGACATCAATTGTTTCCAGAGCTGTTTGTGATTTGATCACTTTGATGAGCAAATTATCGAAAATATTGTGATTTGAAATTAAAACAAATTCCAAATGTTTGAGTGTCTTCAAAGTCAACATATTTTCATCGGCAAGTCCAAGATATTTCTCATATGTATTTATTGACAATCGCTCAACTGGCATATTATTTTCAGCTAATGTGTTAATTATCGTGGTAAGTGAGATATTATGCTTCGGCAAGAGTAAATATAAATGTTTCAATTTCTTGAAAGTGCGTAAAGAATTCAACATTTCAGTTATTACAGATTCCGAAAAGGTGGCGTGAAGATTATAGAAACCCAGCTCCACGAGACATGGTGATAAATGTGCAAAAATCGATGGTGTTAAATGCCTACAAGACCCAAGATGAATTCGCTGTACTTGTGGATTCAATGATAGAAAATGCGCAAGCATTTCGTCTGTCACATGTTTAACGCTGTTGATGTGAAGCTCTTCCAGTTGTGGCATTTTTTGCAAGAACCACGAAGGTGAAGGTAGCAGTATTAATTGTTCCAGTGATAAAATTTTCAACGATGATTCCGGTTGAAAATGCTGCGGTGACGCTCGATTCAAGTACAAATATTCCAATGCTTCGAAATGCATATACTCGAAATTTGGATTACAATCATAAATACTGAGGTCTTTTAATGTTCTGCCACAGTAATTTGATATCGTTTCAAATATGTAGTCATTATGTTCTGTATGAAAGGTCGACTCAAATGACAGTGCCTGTATCATTGGACCAAATAAACGAACACATTCCAATACTCGTTCTGGCCGCAAATTATTCGGTGCCTTTTCATTATGATTGATTGAGACCCCTTTGAATTGAAAACGAAAACGACGTTTACCACTAACTGAAAAGCGTTGACACACTCCGGACGCGCTTAGAAAATCGTCTAAGATCGTTAATCTCCGAAATATTTCGTCGATGCAATCGTCATTAAGAGCGTTTAGAATATGTTTTGGTGAATCGGGCGATGGTAAAATATCCATTTTGAACGTTTCACTTTGCGTACACAATAAACACGATGTCTAAATAACCACTTATGTTGAATAGTTTGAAATTAAAATGTTTACGTTTTTGAATACTGGTTGTTTGTTTGAAATATTCAAATTGCAAGAGAACTAAATTGCAAACACTATGTTTGATGCACGAGTGCAAACAGAAGAATGACATACTTCCTTAAAAATTGGAACTTTAAATGGTCAAAACTTGAAAAAAAATTCAAAATTCACAAAACGATAACGATGATAATGAAGAATTTGTGGGCGTCTTATTCTTTGATATTTACACTACGATGTAAAGAACATATTGTATGCAAAAAGACGAAGTGTATGAAAACATTAACTTTTTCTTTTACAAGCTCTTGAGGACCAGGTACAAAAAAAATAGTGTCTTGGAATGGCTTCTTTGTACATCGTTCAAATAAACAATATTCTTAAACATAAATGAATAAATCTTAAAAATTTGTACTTTGACCTGGTATATTGCTATGACTAATTACTCCCAAAAAGTCATTAGGGACTCGGTGAAATACAGTGATAACATTTACAAAATCCATCATTATCTATATTTGTTTGATAAACTGAGCACAAGTGGGAACCCGTGCACTTGAAAAAATACTTTTTAAAAAAGATATTCGGACTATATATTTGAGAAACGAGGTAACAAAAATGTATGAGCGTCAATTTGGAGACTATTTCATAGTAACGAAGCAAATTTCATAGTTTTGATGGCATTTTTGCCACATAAACATGTAAATAAATTGAACTGAACAAATTTTTAAGTTGGAAAGATGAAAGTGTAATATACTCGCCATGTGAGTGTATGAAAAGTGGTAATTTGTGTTAAATTTATTTTTGACAGCGGATGTATATTCAAAACACTTATATTTTTGACGGCAGCTCCCTGATTTTTAACAAATGTTTTTTTTTTTTTTTCAACTAAATTGTCTTTTTTTCATAAATTATTCGGTTTTTCTACTCACCTCTTGAACTCATTCAATGATGAATGACTGGTCGTATGCTGAAATTTTTCAAAATAAAAAATCAATAGTTTTGGTTTCGCTAATAGTATGGAGTTTTTATTTGCTCATTTTAAAAGAAAACGATAGATTTGTTCGAATTGTTTTGTCTTCTGTCAAAGTAATGCATGAATTATTTAAAAAAAAAATGTTTTCAAAACAAAAGTATAAATGAAGAGAAACGAAATTTGTGCGAAAGAATTTGTTTGTATACGTGTGTTCACACGACTATCGGCGACCGTTGAAGAAGCTTACAAACTATTTAAATTATGTTTTTTTTTTCTGTCATTTGGCTGCAAAATAGTGTTAGTTTTAGACCTTGTATCCTTGTTATTCATTAGACGTCTTGGACATTCCACATAAATGCCGAAAGAATCATTTTTTTGGTTTCATTCAGTAATTCCGTCTCAACTGTAAATTGAACGACGTAAAAACAATTAAAATGTGACATTCAACGATTATTGCGAATAAATAATGTTTGGTCTACAGCGTACACAAACTACGACTACGACAATGACAATTATGAGGGGCATTAGTCTAAAAATTTCAATTTTAGTTCAAACATTGGGACAGGGTATAACTACATGCTATTTGTGCGGAGAATATTGTAATATTGAAATTTGATTTCCAAAACCAAAAGTGCCAAATATACGCAAATAAACAAAAAAAAAGAAAATCGTTCAAAAATTCTGCGAATTCACAATATTCTGGCTGGCGTTAATTGATTAGAAATTGTTTTAAAAAAGAAAATCAACTAAATCAAAATACCTATTTGAATTAGGCAATTCAATTACATCCATCTGCTTCCATGTGCTTACATTATAATAATTGTGAGGTTTCAATACACCTTTTCTAAATGTTCTAAATTTTAATCGATTTTACGGCAACAAAACCATCACGTTTTTTTTATATTTGTATAAATATATAAATAAGATTGGATACAATATCATGAAAGCATAATAGCAATTTAAAATAATAGTAAAAAAAATTGTGAATATAAAAAAAGATCTACAAAACGGTAAAAATGGATTAAAAGTGTGCATAGTGCAGATAAAACATGCATAAAATGGATAAAATAATCGGGATCAACCATTTGAATAGAATGGCACGTGTACGGCATGCAGATGAATTGGCCAGACTTACACTTTCAATGCTATTCATTCCGTGTTGGGGATCATTCGCTCGAAGCGCGGCCCGTTTTGCAACAATGTCCAACCTAAAAGAAGAATATATTGTGACTTATTTCAATTTGTATAATTTGGCAATGATGTCTAACATTTCATTTAAAATGGCTCCTTCGGCTGCTACATCCGATGAACTCTTGTCCAATCCTATAATTCAAAAAAAAAAATTACCATTCAAATTAATCATTATTATTAATTTCAGATTTTCTTCAATATTCAAAATGTCTTGTTATGCCACTCACTTCCACAAGAAAGGCGAACATTTAATTGCTCTTTTAGCTGAGCATGACGATATTCCAGTTGCAATTCCTTTTGACGAATTCCCAATTCACCATCGCGTTTTCTATTTAAAAAAAAAAAATGAAGTGCCCAATTTGGTTAAAGCATTTACATATGAAAACATTTTCCCATTTTAACATACTTAAGGTGTGTTATTCTGCTATGAATTTCCATCAATTCCGAGAGTAATTTGTCATCCTTCATGCCAATCACCTCGTTTGAATCCACCCTGTTAATTACAGTGCCATTAGTACCCACAATTTTGGTTGTTAACACACATATAAAGGTGATTTAAGGGAATAAAAACCATGAACACTTACAAGTCCGGCAATTGGTCTTCGCCACGCAATTCCTTTTCAATCATCACACCACGTGCCTCCAAATCGCGCAGTTCAACCTCAATCTCTTCCTGTTCCCGTTGAATTTCTTGAGCGATTCGCAGCCTATTGGGTATTAGGAAAATTATTTTTGGTTTTACTTTTTTTTGGAAAGCCTTTTTATCAAATCACCATGCAATTTACACAACATTTTGTCAACAATTTTGTTATCCCAAAAGTTTCAAAATGAAAAGTAATTCATACGTACCGCTTAAGTTCGGCTTGTCGCGTTGCCTTGTAATGTGCACGTAACTTCTTTTGATCACGATTTTCATTCGACAAATAACTTTCATCTGTTGGTGCAAATAAAATGGTGTTAGCGAAAAAAAAAAGTTTTCATTTCAAATGGATTTGTATATTTCGTGAAAAATGTATCACCATCAAAGTAAAACTTGAAGTTTAGAATAAGAACGAAAGTGTATCGAACCAAAGTAGCCTCAGGGAAGTATGCATATTTTATGCACACGCCTTTAGAACGTCTTATTTTATCCAAATAAGAAAAAAACAATAAAAGAATTATTTAATTTAACGAAAAAAAAAAATTGTGAAAAAAGACGATGAACTGAAGATGTGTGACTACAGCGAAATCATGAGGCGGTTATGTTTTATGAGTGAAATGTAGGAATTGAGATGAATCGAACGTTACAAAATAATACAAACCATCAGAACGTTGATAATTGACTGGTAGAGGAGGAATGGGCGGTGGCGTTAACTCATAGTGGGCACTGTCTGGATAATCGGTTGCTCTGTGTTTGGCGCTTAAACAATTCTCCGATTTACTTAACTCTGCTGACAATTCCATTTTCTCCTTTTTGTTTAACGTTTTTTTTTATTTTAAAATTCAATAAATTAATCGATTATTCCATTCGATATAAATGTAATTTGTTTTTTTATTTATTTACTATTTACATATAAACAAAAGTATTTACAAGTAAAACACACAAATTCACCTTGATTCAAAATGAACACAAAAACATATACATAATAAACTGTATTCTCAAGCCAATAATAATAAACATGCAATATAGAAATTTTCTTAGCGCTTTTTTAAAAAGCATTATTTTATTTATATTCAAAATTAAGTGATAAAAGAGTGATGTAATTTTCAGTGCAAATAGTTTGACATATTTTCTTTTTTTGTAAAGCGTCACAGCGTGTAACTACAACAATGTTGTGTAATATACACCAAAAGTCAGTGCAGATCTAAAATAACTACAATCAAAACAACTCAAATTATTATAAAATTAGAAAAAGGAAAAACACAACTTTATTGAAGAGAGTTTTGGATATTTTTTTTTTGTTTACAAAAGCATAGATAAAGCAATATAGTCGTTATTTCTTTGAAGCTTTGCTCCGTCATTCGTCGTTCGGGTTAATGAAATTTTGATTTGAATCCGTAAAACTCCGTAATATTTAACAATATTTTTAAAAACATATTTACAAATTAGGAGTTTTCAGTTTGGATTTTTTCGTTAGTGTGCTTTGTTCAGAAGACATTCATTTTATGTGCGATAACAAAGTCGGAAATGGTTTGTTTCGTTTAATTTATATGTTTTCTTCGTTTACAACTTACTCGAATTCGCTAAATTTTATAATGTAAAGCAATAAAATTAAATTGAGTAAGTGTCGTTCATAAATGTTATAAGCATCGTTGAATGGCATCTTGTAAGTCATTGTGTACAAAAGTGGTTTTATGTTCATTGCAAACTGCGAATAATGTTTGTTGGTCTGAACTAAGCGTAAGCGCATTCGAAAGTTTGCATTGTTAAAGAGTTTATTTTTCGCTTGGCTGCATCGAATTTATAGCCCTATTATAGTATGCAATTGCGCGCACAAGATTGCCGTATATGCTATGCAATGAATATAAAGACGATGTTTAATATCAGTTACCAATTAAATCTTTCAGTCTAGAACTGAGCATTTGTTAGATTCTATTCTCATCTTTCTTTATATGTGTGTTAGTTACAATTGTGTTTCTTCTCATTGCGGTGAGTATTTACTTAAGAATGTCTTCTTTAAAATGCTATACAATTACCAACTTTGCTTTGCATCATTCGATTTTTCATTGTTTTCACATCGAAATACATAAATGAAAACCAAGCGAATTTTACAAGGGCAAAAATGCCACAAAAGCATTCAGAGGTTTTATTTTATATCTAAATTAACAAAGTGCGAGTGGTAACGATAAAGTGTCCTTTGCAAAAAGGGTCCAATTAGTAAAAAACAAACCGAAAGATATCATTTCAATCAAAACAAACAAAAAATCGTCTCTTTACATTTCTGCGAAAATACTTAATGAATCCAGTTCCACACACAGTACAGCAAAAAAAAAACATACAGATACAAAGCACAATAAATTGTGAGGGAAATAAAAAGGAAAATTCAGACACAATTAAATAAAGCGCATAACGAGCGAGAAAAAAAAATGATGTCCATGTAATTAAGATTATATTATCTTACACCAAAACCCAAATTCCTGAATTCAAAGCATGACTGTGGAGTAGACAATATAGTCAAAGTTTGTAATTAGAATTCACAAACAATATTTAGAAAATAAATAAATAGAATATAAACAAAAGAAAAATAGAAAAGAAAACAAAAACAAGAAAATTACAAAGCATAACTTAAAATTAAAACAAGAAAGAAAGTAAAAAAAAGAAAACTTTTGCCTTAACAAAAATGTAATCAAGAAAAAAAAAGACGACGCTAGTCGATTGTAGTATGTGATGTTGAATGTACCTTGGATTTCGATTTCGGGGAGATACGCAAGCGGCCAAACATGCCTTCGGATTTCTCTTTCGGTGGCGATGATGTTGTGTCTTTGTCACGTTTTTTATAAAAGAAATCGGACACCGCTTGTATGATGCTCTTGCGTCGTTCCGGATCCTTTTGTCGACGCTTTGACGGTGATGTTTTTTGTTCGCCACCCAAATTTGGATTTGATGTAAATTCGGTTGCCTTCTTTCGATGACTGCTTATGCTAATTGGTGCACATTCGATTAGTGAACTATTTGCTGAAATATCATTAACACTTTTCGATGTGATCATTTTCTTTTCGCGCACTTTCATATCATCGGATTTGTTGGGCGTTGCCACATTGTAAGTGGAACATGGAACAGCTGATGCTGTTGTCATTGTATTATCCAAATTGTATCGTTTGCGCAGCAATGCAATTTTCTCCTCTGGACTCAATCCCAAATCTTGATTTGATTTCAATCGAGCACGTAGTCGAGCCTCTTGTCGTAATTTTTCCGTTGTTTGTGCCAATTCTTCGTCGAGTTTCTTGCGTCGCGAAATTACCGGTGTGCTAAATATATTTGCACCATCGGCAAATTGGTATGGTATTGCTGATGAATCGCGAGTGGTGTGAATGCAAAATGATTGTGTTTTACATAATTTTGGTGTTTCAAACACGGTGTATTCTTCAACATTTGCACTGCGTGGTCGTTGACCACCCGATTTTCGGGTACTTTGATTCAATTGATTTACAATCGATAGTTCTTTTGTCGGTGACAATGATAGGGCCTTTGATTTATTGGGCAAACAGTGTCGACGCTCTGGCTCTTGCACTTGATACGTGTACTTTGGACTCATGCTTGACGACGAATGTGAATGTGAATGTGATAATGGCGGTGTTGCAACTGGCGGCAAAATTGATGTATTCGGACTTATGTTCAATGCACTGCTTCGATTGCGACTGCGATTCAAACGTTTCTCAGCATTCGATAGTTTTTTACTTTGTAATTTATCCATCACCAAATCATGAATCAAATCTTTTTGCTTGATTCTTTCTTTACTTATCTCCTCCAATTTTTCCACCACATTTGTCGGCTCATTATTCGGTCGGCCAACATAAATACTTAACGACTTACTATTATTATCTATCACAGAACTCGGGGATGGTTGATGTTGGTGCTGATGCGGTTGTTGTTGTTGTTGCGGCTGTTGATGGTAGTGGTGGTGGTGACTGGAAACGGAATCATTGATGCTATCATTTTTCACATGTTTACGCTTTGTCTTACGAATATCAATTGAATCGCGTGCATTGCTAATCTGGGTAATTTTCATTTGCAATTGACGCACATACTCTTCGTACGTAATGTCATCGGAATTTTTGCGATTCGACGACGACGATGATTCGTGCGTGGTTTGATGCTTCGGCGATTCAATTGTGCTGGAAGATTTCTTATTAGGTGATGCATTACTTAAATTCGAATTAATTTTTACTGAACTAGACGATTCATCGAATCGTGGAGCGGATTCCATTGGACTGGTAACTACGGTTAGGGCATCACTTTCTTCGGTTGTTGTATTACCACATTGTGATGCAATCATAACAAGACTATCGTCCTCAATTTCATGACTGTCGCCATGTAATTTTGGTGAAATTGTTGCCGGACTTTCGTTCATCGGTGTTTTTAAATCATTATCGTTTGAATGTAGCAATGCACCTTGTTCGATATAATAATTATCGCGATGGAATTCATTTGATCGATTCATGCTATTGCTTCTGCCCAATTCAATGCGTGTCGGTTTATTTTGCAAAATATTTTTATTATAATTGTAATAATTGGTTGCCGAATTGTCTGGTTGCGTGTTTATAAATTGCACATAACCGCGATTGCTTAACATTGCGTTATTGGTAGCCGCATATGTTTCCATGTAGCTATCTTCAGAGCCTGTGTCCATAAATTCCAATTCGTCAAAATCCAGATTTTTTGCAATTGGCGCTTGGCCAGTTTGCTTGTCTTTCGACGATGAATGGCTGTCTCTTTTCCTTGCCTTTTTGTTGCGTTTAATTGTGCCTTTGTTTGAATTCATTGCAAATTCCATATCGACAAAATTCTCCGAAACCGCATCGTCGGCCGTCCAGTCAGATAATTCGGTTTCGGTAAGCACCAAATGCGATGTCATTTCAGTTTCTGAATCAGAATGATTCGATTTATCTAAAAGATTGCCCGGATCCGAAGCGGTTGGTGTTTTATCATTGTCGTCCGGTGATTCCGGCACGGTGGCTGTTTTGGGTGAGGTAATTGGTAGCTGATTCGGTTTAGCCGGTTTCTCATTTTCATCCGATAAAATTAATGGAATGTTCTTCAATGTATCGATTTTATTCTCATTTTTCGAGTCGAAACGGAAACCGGGACGTTTGTAAATCGGTTCATATTTATAGGCTTTTGTTTGTTCAGTTTTTGGTTCGATTTTCGGTTCAATTTTCATCGATTCCTGTTTTGGTTCTGGTTTTACGTCAATAACATTCTCTGCGCCCTGAACATGAATAACGGTTTTATTTGTGGCCGTTGACATAGGCGGAAGCGATGCTGTTGTCGTCGTCGTGGTTGTTGCAAAACTTTCGGGCATTTTCATCAGTTTCAAATCCTCTGGATCACCAATGTACTTGCCATCAATCAGCATAAGACTGTCCATTTGCATCAAATCATCAATTTTATTGCTACTCGATTCGCTTGGTGTGGCTTGAGTGTCTGGACTCGTCGAATCCAATATGAAATGTGGAATTTCGGCCGGACTACTTGTGCTCGATGAAAATGTATCCGAATCGGGTCGCTTCGATTGTGCCCAAACGATGCAAGGCATATTAAGAATTGGATCAATACTTTCCATTTCTTGTGATCTTTTCGAAACCGTTGTTAAACTTTTTGGCTTCTCCGCCGATAATGAACTCGAGAAATAATTGCTATCACCTTCTTTTCGATTGTCATAAACTGGCTTGTAATCACCGGAAATCTCTTTGTCCAACGAATGAACATTGTCATTCCCACTGACAATAACTTCACTATGCTTAAATTTGTCCGAGTATTCAAATGAGTTACGTTTATTGTCACTTTTGCTATTTTCAACGGCATTCACACGTTTTCCACTCACATCAGAACCATTACTTTCAATCACTTTTGTGGTCGCATCACGGATATTATTTTCGGCCAAAATGTTCGTCGTTTTCTCTTCACTGTCACCAGTCACCGATTTTGCTGGTTTGACTGTTTCCGTTTTATTGATTTCATTGCGTGTGCTAACAATTTGATCGTAGACATTCTCTTTTTCGTCATTGAGTTTGGTTTTATTTGGAATAACTGTCGCCGGGTTCGTTGTCAATGGTGTTGCTGATGTTGGTTCAACCACATTATCCGAATTGATTAGATTTTTATTTGACACTTTTGTTACCGCACTGTTATCGGGTACGGCTGCATTCAATAATTTTTGGCAATCGCTAATTGTTGAACGGAAATTTTTGAATTTTGAATCCAACATTGACATTGAATCGGATTTCATGATGCCACTTGAACCGGTGTCACCGAGTAAGTAGCGTTTTTTCAATTCTAAACTCTTTTTCGAGGCAATTCCTTCGGTGCTTGCTGTTTGTTTTAGCAAATAATCACCAACCCGTGGATTTTGTAATGGTTCACGATTCGGTATCACAGTTGGATCAACACGTACAAGTGGCTCAAACACATGCACATTATGCTTTGGCTTCTGAGCATGGCTTGCATTTCGCACAGCCGCACGACGAACACTGGTATCGATCATACCTTGTTTCACCTGAAATAAATAAACAAAAAATTCTGTTTAATTGCATTTTTCGCCGGAAATAGTCAGTTGTGTTACCTGAATTCGATTGATTGCTTTCTTATTGTCTTCAGAGTATTGTGGGGTGACTGGATCACGTTCAAATTCCGAGTCAGTAGAAATTTCAGTGGCTGAATTCAATTCCACGGCTGACGATGAATCTGAGTCGCTTTGAACCTAAAATACCATAAGAACACATTAGACCCAATTGCAATTTATTCATGCGGATGCACTCATGCAAGAAACGAAAAAAATACGCAAATGTTACGAGGGGACAAAGACAATAATTAATAATTTTTAATTAAAATTAATAGATTTTTAAAATAAAGAAGATCAACGTCAAAATTGAAAACGGATTAAGAGAAAAAAGAAAAACAATTGTTCCGGCGAAAGGAAAGCGGCGTTAAACTGTTTTAATAAGCTGTTTTAAAAAATGTTGTTTAGTTCAAAAGCCTGAATATAAAGCCTGTGCTTGAAACAACCATATATCGACAGATTAAATAATGATTATTGTTGTTGAACGGTTACGGTCAGTTATAAATGTGTGAATGCTGAGAAAAAGTGGCAAGGCAAAACAACAATTCGTGGCATTTATTACCTTTCTGGACAAACTTTTGCACGTTTTTTGATTTTGTTTGCGGAAGTTTGTGTGCTTTGCCAAGTTTGAAATATTTGGGTGAAAATTGGTGGAAGAAGAGAAAAGAGCATCTAAAAGTGTATTTATTTAAACGTTAAAGAACTAACTCCTGTGATTTGAGAATCTACTTTCATTTTTATTAACCTTTCAAAAACTTTCTCTACAACAATTTAAGATCTAACATCATTCGAACTTTTTTTTTTCTCTAGAGAACTATTATGTGATATGCATACATATATAATGCAAGTGTGTGCTACGTGACCTTTAAGTTGGGAAGCAGTAAATTAAATATATATATATATATATTTGGGGGTAAGATAACACGAACAAATGCCATATAATCTACTCAGTTAATATGTATATTAATATAGATTCAATTGAATCGCTCTAAATCATAAATTTATTACTCAATCGGTGTCAAAAGTATTTATGTGTTTGTGTGACTAGAATATTTTGTGTTGTTGGTATCACTCAGTTGACTTTTTTTTGTTCATCTGTAAAGTTTCTTTACGAAATATTACAACTGTCTTTGTTGGTGCTTGACGTGGGATTTCTAAACATATCCAAAACGCCACGACTGCTCGATGAAGATGCGGATGGCGCTGTTGCACGTGGGCTGTACGATAAGTGTGAATTAGAGACTGTTTTCGAACTTGGCAACGGTCGGCTAATTGAATGTGAATACGGTTGATGGTATTCATAATGACTTGTGCTTGCCAATGGGCTAATACGCGATCGTTCATAGGCCGGTCTGAATCGTGTTTCTTTTTCAATCATTCGTTTTATGTACGGATTTGTTTCCAATTTCTCATTCATAAACTCTTGTTTTTTATAATGTAAATTTTTGCTACGCTCAAGTAGCATGTCGGTTACATTCTTTTTGCGTTCCAAACTTGATATCTTCGGTGATGGTCGACGTTCTTCTGAACGTCTACCAATCACATTATCATAATCACAATATTCACGATCCATTTCGCATGCCGTATCAAATGAACGAGACACATTTCGATCTAATTTTACTTGACGATTATCCGTTGACGGTACATTATCATAATCGCCCGATCCGGACCAACGATGTTCACATTTCTCTTGATATTCGGGTGGATCGAAACGTCTATCATCGTACTCTTTAAATTGTACACCTTTGAGTTTTTCTGTGCCATTATCAAGTTTATTTGCATGATTGCTTTCGACTGGTTCCGAGGCGGGCAGTTCAATGACTTCAATTTCATTTTCAGATCGTACATTGTGCGCATTCAATATACGTGCAATGTCATTTAGTTCAGGTATTTCATTTATATTCGATTCACTTGCTAGTTTATGCAAATTATTCGTTTGTAGTTTGTGCTCGTCTTTCTTTGACACTGAATTTTTTCGAGACGATATTGGCGATGGTTCTTTTTTACGCATATTGACCTGTTCATCATCCGATTTTGATGACTTTCGACGTCGTGCCGGTTTAACAGGCGGCTCATTTTGTGTTTTATCATTGGATGATCTTTCATCAAATTTAACATGATTGTCTATTGAGTCTTTTCGCTTGTCAGAACGTTCGGGTTTGATGGGCACATCAATATTTGAAAAGAATGTCTTGCGTGCATCATTTGTGTCGGGACTTTGTTCAAGATTTGGTGGTAATTTTTGGTCCAAAGAATTTTGAACCGATTTGGTCTCTGCCAAAGGTTTTTTAATCATAAATGACATTAAATCTTTCTTATCAATTTTAACTGTGTTCAACTCTGGCTCCGAAACGTTGGCAACAGAAGTTTGAACTTTGTTTGTTTCTGTAAGTGAAGGCTTTCGTGTGACAACTTCTAATTCTCTCGATGGAGTTCGTTGGGTCACTTGTTTTCTGCGCATTTCCAATGGTGATTGAATTTCTGGTTTTTTAATCTTTTTCGGTTCAATTTCAATTTGATTTTCACGTAATTGAACTTTGGAAACTTCATTGAATGATGCCTGTCGAACTTTGACTAATTCATTATCTTTGGCGGGCGCTTTTTGAGTTAACTCAATTTTACCCGGCTTTGGCTCGAAGCGTTGAGCCTGGCCATTTTCACCGATTGGTGGTTTTTTAACTGTAAATGAAACCAAATCGCTCCGTTCATTTTGAGGCGCTGGTTTGACTATTGATTGCTGAATTTCACCATTCGAGGCCTTACGGTCTCGAGATGGCATTCTTGGCGCTTTTCGATTTTCAATTTCTTTTTTATCATCTTTCAATGAATTCTTTCTTGAAGAGCTCGACTCCCTTTCTTTCGAACGAGCTCTGTGAGAATAATTAACCGAAGCTGTAGGTTCTGGCTCTGGTTTACTTTCCAGTTGGATTGGTTTAGTTTCACGAACTGGACTCGGTGTCCTTCTCACCGTAAATGTAAACACATCCTTTTCAACCGTTGGTGTGCTTTGTATAATTTGAAGTTTTGGTATTTCATGTTCTTGTTTTTTAACGCTTGGAGGCTGAATTTCAGCAACCGACGGCTTTCTTAAAGTGTATGTAACTGGTTCATTTTCGGTCGATGGTATTCTATTTAAAATTGGTTTAGTTTGTGTTTTTTGTTCAATTTCAAAAGTTCTGGGTTTGCATGCAAAATCGACCGTATCTTCTGATTTTTCAGTTTTACGTTTATTTGGCGTTGGTTCCGATGCCGGCTGAACTTTTTTCAAATCTAAATTCGATTCGACCTTTTCATCGGTCTTTGCGTCAGCATATGCAAATGGATTGACAATCGATTTTGAACCTTTCGACGCCTTTGGTAAACTGACATGTGAAATTTTTTTCGGTTTATTTTCCGGAATATCTTCTTTATATGCAACAGAATTGAGAATATCATCGATTGCATTATTTAATTCTTCTTCAGTTCCCAAAAATTCCGTTTCCGCTTCATTGGCCTTGGTGCCTTTCTTTACTTTTTTAATTTTCTTCTCTTCTTTCTCTTTTTTGCCATTTACCGGCGTCGAATCATTCAATTGAAGATGTTGTTCAAGTAATTTAATCTCATTCAATAAATTACTTGAGAGTTTACCAAGAATTTCTGCCTCACGTTTATTTGTTTCTTTAAATGAATCTTTTCGGCACCACTTTGAGGCTGGTGCAAAATCGGATTTGAGTTCAACTTTTTTTATTTCGATGGGTTTCTTTTCGGGTAATTTGCGTATTATTTTTGGCGCTTGTTTTTTCAATGGAACTTTTTCGATTATTTTTCGTTTCGGCAGTGCGTCGGCCGCAACTCGATCGAATAATTCATCGATATTATCAACAGGTGATTTCATGCAATCGAATAATTTTTCACATTCATCACGTTCACCGCTGAGCGGTATACTTTCGTAACCAGAATAAGGAGCTTCGGATTTGTTAGTTTGATTGAAATTTAACTTATCAAGTTTGGGCACCTTTTTTAAACTAACATCGCCATCAAGTTGCTGATCACGCATTGTGAAATCTTCTTTTTTCGGTTCTACTTTTTGTAAATTATCACGTGCGGTACGAAAAAATGATGGTTCATCGCCATTATCATCGGATTTGGATTTTTCAATTTTTTGTAAATTTTCACGAGCCGCACGAAATACGGAGGATTCCTCATTTTGAGCGTCCTCCGATTCGGACTTGTTGAACTTTTGCAAATTATCAATGGCGGTGCGAAGCAAGGTGGTTGTTGGATTATCATCTTTCGATTTTAAATTTGACGGTTTACGCGGTAATTTTGGCGATTGTCCGGGTGATGGTAAACTTTTTAATTCTTGAACCGGACTCGGTAGGAAATATTTTGATAAATCGACATCTTTCAATTCTTTTTGATTTTTATTCACATTTATTGGTTTTGATTTAATTTCTTTTTTCGGAAAATATTTGCTTAAATCACGTTGCGATGAATTCACTGAACTACCCATTGATTCGGACTGCGATCTCAATTGATTTTTGAGTGCATCAACCTTAGACAGTCCTTCGTTTGTATTTTGAAAATCGCGTTCTTGCGACAACCGTGACACATCCTCATCGCTCAATTTCAATTTATCTAGAAAATTTAGCTCATCAAATGACGAACCAGTTGGCCGTTTGCCAAGCCGTCGAGTACGACGGCTATTGTCACTTTCGACATTTACATTTTGCACCGACTGTGATTTAAAATTCGCAAAATTTTTACGCTTCTTTGACAATTCGTTCTCTTTTTTGGTATCGCCTTTGTTCAACGATTGTGTGGAACCGTGGCCAGATTGATTTGCCTTTAAATTTGTGGGCGGTAAACTATTCAAACTGGCCGTACTTCCGTGATTCGAATTTAACCATTGGGATTTTAGCGATAATTTACGTTGTATATCATTCTTAACTAAACTCTCTTTCTTCAGGTCCTCAATATCTTTTGACAATTTTAAGAAATTATTTATCTTATATAAACTTTCATTTAATTTATCGAATTCAGTTGAAAAACCCTTGTCAGTCGTATTCTCAATACGCTTAATTTCATTTCTATTCGCATAATCACTCTCTAAACTATTGCTCTTATCCTTACGAAATTCTGACATTTTCTTTAATTGTGATGACACAGCCTACATTTTATTTTTCATTTAAATAGGTATGTGGTGATGTAAATTAAAGTGTAAAAAAAGAAGAAAAAAATTGAAAGAAAAAAAGAAGAAGAGAATTCATCAATTAACCCACCACCTCGAAAAGATTAATTCATTCTAATTAATTTGAATATTTAGTTTCTTTTGCATTTATTTTAAATGTCGCTGATGAAATGTACATTTATATTCAAATTAACCAACCGAATTATAAAAATGAGAGAAATTTATGTATTTCAAGTGTAAATTTAACAATACATTGTAATACGAACCTCAGTTTCAGTGTCTGTCGGCAAATATTGTACGGGTTTTACTTTAGCCTCTTGCATTCGAATCGCTCTAGCCTTTTCCAATTCTTCACCTTCGGTTTGACTATCGGCTTCATCGTCTGACGTGAAAATAAATGGAATTTCGTTTTTATTTGGCAAATTCATGTGTAAAAGTGGCATTGAAATAAATTTTAAAGAAAAAGAAGAAGAGAAATACGTGTCAATTAAGAAGTCATTCATACCTTCACTAGACGCATAAAACTCATCATCATCACTGTACTGATTTGATGTATAGCGTTGCTTTCCAATCCATTCATTGGCCAATTGAAGTGTTTGTGCTTCTATCGGCGAACCGTTGACGTCCTCATAAATATCTGAATCGCTATCGCTCGACTCATCGGTCGACGAAATGTCCGATTCCGAGTCTTCGCTGGCTGTGCCAAAATTTCGATCGGTCCATTCATTTTCATCGATAATATTACCAATCGACGGTTCGCCATCCGACATCGCGTCAATATTCTCAAATTCAATGCGCTCGGGCGTTTGACCGCGATCGAGTAAATCGATTTGCTTCAGGCTTTCTGCACGGCTAGCCGGTTTTTCGGGTGTCTTATACGGGCTGCTATTTTTCGACGAAGTCATTTCTTTGGCTTCTGGCCGTGGATACTTTCGAATGGCCGCTCGCATTTGTTTCGCTGGCAATCGATAATGTTGTGTACAATAAAATTTCCCTTCTGGATCGTCACGGTCAAATGCATAACCGCCAACTCTTAAGCTCGTATGACAATGGTGGCACTTTAAACAATTTCGATGCAAAACCAAACCTTCAGTTGCCAATTTTTCCATCACATACACTTTTTGCTTACAGAAATGACATATGTCTGTCGTTTTCTGCGTGTTGAACACCAGTGCAGCTTTCGAACTCTGTAATAATCAAATACCATGATTAATTTAAAGAAGAAAAAAACACAATATTGTATGGCGCTTACCGATTTTTGTAATTTTTCTTCGCTATTTGTGTTTGCTTCGTCTTTTTTAATGAAATTACCGGCAATTGAAGCGACTTTATTTTTACCGCGTTCGCCAACGTCACGAAGTGCACCGTCCTTCAATTGTTTCTCAACATGTTTAATGGTTTGATCGATATCTTTGAATCGTTCGTCCACTTCTTGATCGTCTTGTCGCGTGAGTTTATTTTGTCGTTGCAAAAACTGTTCTTTACTCCACTTCGGCACCTTTTCACGACTTTTGCCCACTTCGGTTTTCTTTGATTCTTCAATTTTCTTCTCAATTTGACGCAAATTCCAATCGTTTGACTCGATTTTACCAATGGCCCGTAGTAAGTCTTTTGGCTTCTTGTCGGTGGTGACTTGATTTCGGCCAGCGATTCGCTGTTCCATTGATTTGATGCGATCGTTAAATTGCTCATCGGGTGTACCTTTTGGCAGTGACGAATAAATGCCACGCTCACGATCCTATTCATATTATGAAAATAACATTTCAAAATTATAGTCAATGAGTATAATAAATTTGAGATTGAAAGTATGTAACAGCAACAACAACAAAAACAAGAACATCATGCGATAAGTATGCTAACGAGCTATTCAATTCATTATTTTCAATTTTCCGCTGGTTGAATGAGTTAGTTGGTGTGTGTGTGTTTTTTTTTATAATTCGTTAGTGTAAAATATCTCTCTCATTTTTGCATTCGAATCAAAGTCGAGAAATGTCTCAAGAAATCGTGAGAATGAGGTAGGTAGAGGCAAAATATGTGAATCAGTCAAATCCACGAAGGATGGTGGGTATATTTTTAGCGTGAAATTGCGATTGATTTGCATTATTCAAGGTTATAATAAAGTATTTGTTTGTTTCTTTTTGTTCAAAAAAGCAAAAATTTTGGCGAGTAGCATAACACTTCATAGCAGACACACAGTCTCTGTGCAACACACAAATTCTTACGGGATGAAGAAGTTTTTTTTCGAGATCCTTCACACGACTTGAAAATTCCGGCGCCTGTTGTCGGTACATATAGATCGAATAATCTTCGAATGCATTATTTTCATCATCATCATTTTCATCGCGCAACATTTTGCCCGCTTGCAAAAGTTGCAAACTTTTGTAAAAGTTTTGCGTTTGCTGGGCCCGTTGCATACGACGTTTACTTTGACGCTCATTCCGGTTTGCTTCAATTTCTTGAAGTCTTTTGGCACGTTCTTCCTATCATTTTTCGTTATTGTTCATTGCAAAAGAATGTTCAGTGTATAAAAATAGAAAAAGAAATGAATGAATTTTATATATGTCAGGTAAGAACTTACAATGTTTCCGAATTTATCGTAACTACGACGTTTTCGCGATCGTCGACTTGGTGCATCCGGTGTTGCACGCGGTGTGCTCAACGCTGAATTATCGAATCGACGAGATCGTCGCGGTCGTTCACGATCTGGTTCATCAGACGGTCGTTCGTTTGCATCTTTTGATTGGGATTTTAATTTCAAAAGATTCGAAAAATCAGGCGCTGCTATTTCTCGCTTTGTTTCACGCAATTTTTCCAGATCCAATTTTGGATGTTTTACATGCGGTATCTCACCACGGAACACCTCACACACTTGTTCCAAATAATTTAACCACACTTTTGGATCAACATCTTGCAATGTCACCGATTCAGCAGCGGTCAGTGCTTTTGGTATTCCCATTTCACTTTCAATCACCGAAAACGCAATCTCATTACATTGCTCAACATTTAGACCTTTTAATTTTGTTAGGTCGATCAAATCCGGACGATATCTGGTTAAAACGAAATAATGTTATTTTTTGAGCTTATTCAGATCGAATTACAACCGTTCAATTTATGGAGAAAATTTTTACCGATTTATCAAACAGCAAAAAACTTGACCGTTGGTAAAACATTCAGCAGCATTCTCCAGATTTGTAAGAAATTCATATGAGCTCAGCTGTGATTTGATCCATCGCAGGAGAACAGCAGAAATTGGTGCCACATCTGATATAAAAATGAAGAAAGTTCATTATGAATGTCAACATCAAAACGTCAAGTTAATCAAATAAAAATGGTTGAAAATCAAGCATAAATAAACTCACCTCCTGTGCGTCGTTTTCGGCGCACCAAAGTCTCTGGCACGGCAGTGAGTGCATTCGAATCGACAAACGTTTGTTCGAGTAATGTTGGGTCGTCTGTTTCAAGTAAATGTTTCACTTGATGCGGTCCAACAGCTGTCTTATTCAGATTCGGATACCGTGAGGCCGGTTCAACTGTATAAGATCCAATATCACGATGTAAATTTTCGGGTGTAGTTTGGGCAAGTAGCCGATAAATGCTTTCGCGTTGTGCGAGCACAGCCAATATACTATTCCGTTGATTACTCCACAATTTCATTGCATATGCTGCGTCCATGCTGGAGAGAAAACCACGTGCACAACCCGATCCGGTTGGCCAAAATGGTTCGAGCAAACTGTCACCCACCAAACACTGTAGCAAACGATAATTTTTCTTAACCACCGCACAGCATGACGTTTCTGCTGCAAACATCGATGTAAAATCGAACATCGCAACATCTGGTTTACCATAATGATTGACGGCAAATTCCAAATTTGGCATTTGATGTTTTGTCGAAAATTCGGCGGCTTCTTTCGCATACGCAAGCAATGCTTCTGTATTAACATTGGCCGGCGCTAGTAATTCGGCCGGATCGGAGAAATCTTGAATAATCACACCCTTATCAATTAAACTGTGCTTCTTTGCTGTCATGACAAAATAATGCGTTTCATCCTTATAATATACAATATTTTCCAAATCAATTCCGGTCGTTTCATACAATTCTTTGAAAAAGGCTTGATTGAAAATAAAGGCAACGCCGCTAATTTCTTCAACCTTTGCTTCTGCCCATGTTTTCTTATTGATAAAATTCGCTGTAATTGCAATTGCTAAGCGGCCACGAAATTCTTTTCGTCGAAAACCTTCGAGTGTATTACGTTTTCCATCGGCGCCGACCATAACATTGAATTCATAATGTGACACGGCATGATCCGCTGGACTGATATCAGCACGCCATCCGCATCCGTCCTTTGGTTCCAATATTTTCAAAAATGAAATGCCATCGTGCACTTCGACACCAAGTAAAAGTGCCACTTTCAATAGAATGCACTGTAATTGACGAATTGAAATGTGATCAATTGAACCGGCACAAAATTTACCGTAGAATTTTTTTGCTCCCAAATTTCGAAGATCGGTGATCAAAAAAGGCCATAAATGTAATACATTATTTCGTGAGAATCGATCACGTTTTTCGATTAAAACAACTTTGGCACCAAGCAATTGTGCTTCGATTGCTGTACGCAAACCGCACGGACCAGCTCCAATGACTAATACACGAGTACCATTACACGCCAATCCCTTATTGTACACTTTATGCGATAGACGTGCATCGAATTTTTTCCATAGCGCTTGTGCTTTCCAACTGCGAATTTTTGACTTTAATTTCGGATAGAATTCGTTTATTGGGGCCGGTCGTAACGACACTGTATCGCACATACTGTGATACAAACCGAGTATTTGACGCATCGTTGTCGCCGAACTGAAATGATCGAACAGTTCAGCGGCCAATGCGGCCGATTCATGCTCCATCTTTGAAGGTATCTGTGATTGGTTACGGCTCATGCTGAAAATAATCATAAAAAGAAAACACAATTTTCAATTAGAAAAATCAATTGATCGAAACAAGTTTTTATTAAAAAAAAAAAAAAAATATTTCATAAACGTAAACCATGAGTCACACGAACAACACAGCTTGAATGTCAGGTAGTAGAAAAGCGTACTTTTGATATGAAAAAAAAAATCCCAACAATTTTTCAAATGCGCATATACACTTTCTAACTGACGATTGACTACTGTCTATTAAATCTATTATACTGTTTAATGTGTAGATTGCTCGGGTGTGTATATCTGTGCTTTTTATGGGTCCATGAGTATTTTATTGTACAATCAGTGATAAAAAAAAGTATCAATGCTAAAAATGCGTCAAGTGTCTAGCGTCACAATTTTTTTCTAGCGATAAAACATTATGCAGACATTGACGCTATTCGATTCTATCTCATTCAATCGCTCGCTCGCATTACATGGAATTCTATAAATAATTTATGACACATTTCCTTTTTCAAAACTACTGTACAAATTGCCTTTGTTCGCTCTCTCGATTGATCGCTAACTTGTTTAGTTTTCATTTCTCTACTCTGAAAAACCCATAAAAAAAGAATGTTTCACTCTAACTACATTGTGCTCTCAAAGATTTCTATTCATGCCCTTTCTTTAAAAAATGTGCCTCGGAATTTGGGCAAAAGTATATACAATTTTATTGCAATGAAATTGATTCGAATTTTTTCTCTATGGTAATTATACGAATGGCATTTGCCATGGTGTTAATGTGCGTCGAGTGTGTGTTTGTTTGTTTGCTGGATTTTGATTGACTAACTAAAACACGCAGTGAAAATGCGCGTTGCGCATTCAAGTAATATAGAATGTGAACGCAAATATGTTTGAATGAGTGACCCGAATTTTAATTATAAAACGTGTGAAAAGTTCAGATGATGAGAGGGAGAGAGTATATAATACGATAAAAATAAAAATAGCATTTGAAACTGAAATCGAAAAATAAACACTGAATCGATGTGGAAAAAAACGAATTCGGAGCTTGCATGCATTGTTGCTGCTGTTGATGCTCACACATACACCGTACCACGCGTGTGTGTGTGAATAAGCATGAGCAAACAAGATGTAAAGATGCCGATGTATGGCGACAGTCAGCATTAGATCAGTCATACTCTGTCGAAGATGTACAAATCAGATTCATCATCAACATCATCATCGTCGTTGTCAAATAAATCGCATTTGTCGAGATGTGATTCACATAAACCCAACTAAAATCACACTTATTCACAAAGCGCAACTATTTTGCGATTGAGATTTTTCACGATCGGATTTCACCGCGTTGGCACATTATCCGATTGCTCTACAGACACCTAGTACAAGACACATTGAACGCATTTTGCATTTTTTTTCTTTCTTCACTGAAATCGCAACATGCCCGAAAGGGAATGACGAATTTGTTTTTCTCGACGTTTTTCAACTTTATCTTCTCGTTGATTTTTGTATGAGATTAAGCTATGTTGGCGATGTCCGCTCACCGACACGACTTCAAAAAAAAACTCAACGTTAAATTTGGATTTACATCGAAATGAAGCGTGATGAATAAGTTGTGGCCATAAAAGGAGACACTACTCTTTAAAAGAGTCTCTTTTCGCCTTGCCTTTTGTCTTTTATGATTATATACACACTTCGATTCAATCCATAAAATAAACAAGCTCGTGCTCAAAATGATACAATAAAATAAATTGATTTGACTACATATAAACAATGCAGAAAACGTCATCGAAATCAATCACAGTGTTGTCATGAAATTCGTTTCTTTGTTTCAATTTTTCTTGCGATATATTAAAGTCCTCCTCGTAGCATATCGAAAGTCATTAAACAAAATACACGATGACATTTTAAAGCTGAAATTTTTCGAGCTAGTGATTCTCTCTTTCTCTCTTTCTCTCTTCACTGTGTGCGACTGTGGCTGTGATTTTGTGCGTTGAAATGAAGAAGGAAAAACGACATAATTTCTCTTCATCACTCCACTCCACACACTCACTCGATCCACATAAAAATAGTTTCTGATATCTTTGTTCATGAGCGCGAGCGCAATCGCTCTTTCGTTCGTTCGTTCACTGTGGCTTATTTTCTGTTTTGCTTGAATTCTTTTATTGATTGCGATTCAGTTTACTTGATACAATTTGATAAAAATAGCCAAAATGAAAGAGAAAGAGAATCAAGAAGACGACCACAAAAAAACACACTTAGCAAACTTGAGCAAAAACAACAACACACAATCAGAGAGAGGAACAAAAAATAACAAGCAAGAAATAAAAATCAAACGAAAAACGAATTTTATTTTTGTGTGTTGAATTTACACAAAAGGAAATTATTTTCAGGAACCGAATGGCAATTGAAACGCTGGATAATTACAGGAATTGAAATAAAAACCAAAATTTAAAAGAGAAAAAACCAAATAGAAAGTATATCGAATTTAATAAAAAAGTGAACTGGAACTGAAGTAGACACAAGTTCTTAATTTGATTTCAATGGTTTTGCTCAATGGTTGTTGCTGTATTTTTTTTTCTCTCTCTTGTCTTTTACTATTAGAATTGCACGGTTTGATTAACTAATTCAAATCAAATTTCAGCGAAGACTAAAAAAATGATCACCATTGCGTATCAAGGAACCGTTCTTTTTTTGCTCGTTTCTTTCTTTCTTTCAAGCGCACAAAGAAACGTTTGTGAAAATCATTTCTCATATGAAAGAATCGTTTGTCTCTCAAAATGAGTAATTTTCTTTGTTACAAATAAATAATAACGAACGGTCTTTGTTTTGTGCGTGGATCAATGTCATTGCATCCGAATATATATCGATTTTTATTTTTGCGTGGCACATTGGAATGTGTGTATAATATACACAAAGAGTGTATTAACGCTTAATTCAAATTTAGATAATCCCCAATTGCCCGAAGCGAAATTCAGTATTTGTAAATTATGTTCAGTCATTCGCCAAAAAAAAAAATAACACACACACAAGATTAGCGCACGTCAACCATACAATCGATCGTTTTTGGCTGTCAATTAAAATGTATGCATTGGTCCATTACCAAAATTAATGACGGTTTCCACTTAAGTTCACTCTCATCAATAAATCAATATCTATATATTTTTTCCCCTTTCGTTCACTGTTTCTTTCACAGCATCAGAAGAAGACAATACACATTCTACATTTTACACTTTGGTCACATTTAATCAACTATTCAGTCTTCACATGCCCGAACAAATCGAGTCTAAAGTTGAAATTCTCTCCTACGCTTTTTTATGTGTATGTCTACGCGCACAATATTTTGAACAATTTCAGATGAAACACAAATCGCGTATACTCGAATTCGTTGTGAATTACAGACTGTCGCAGTCAAACTATTGCAAACGAATCGCAAGCACACAACTCTTTCGGCCGGCTCGACAGAAAACACAGTTTGCAATACGAACGGAAAGCGTTAAGAATAAGAAGCAACGAAAATTGTCCACCATTTCAACACCTTTCGAATGACGAAAAATCAAAATAAATAAGTAAATGAACAGAACAGTCACCTAATTAAAACAATAAATGAATGTGACTCGGATCGACGAAGCGCATACCACAAATGTATACAACTAAACACACAAACATTCAGTTTTGCTAAAAAAAAAAAATACAGCGCCACTCGGTACAGCGCACAAACGCAAACAAACACAAATCTAAAGTGAGCGCAAATCTTTAAATGCAAAAATAAAGAAGCATTGATAAATGTTTCATCATTTCAAATGACGAATAGAACAAAGAGAAACATTCGTCAAAATGTAAATATACAATTCGGCAATGATTATGATCGTTATAATCGTTAAGAAATGGTGATTTGTGTGTGACATATGTGTGTGTGTTTGTGTTCCTTTGTGTGTTTGGCCTTTGGAAGTGACAGGCGTTAATCTCTCTCTTCTCTCTCTCTCTCTCTCTCTCTCTCTCTCTCTCCATGTTTGATATTATTGGACTGGATGATTCATTAAATCATATGTACTCATAATTTTATTTAATTTGTTGCGCATTCACTCTTCGCAATAAACGAATGCCATAGTTAAATGGATATATTTGTAATGAATAAATAGCGATCGTGAGTACGCGTACAAATTCTCTCTAGCGAGAATGGCACCATTACGTGAACGAATTGGCGGTGTTGATTGAGCCATGAAATTGCATACATGAAATACAACCAGAAAAAATCAAATCGAAAAAAAATATGAGAACCTGTACGTTTTTTTGCGTGCGTCCGCTCCACGATCGCTCACACCGACACACACACGTTTTGGATTTTGGCATTCACAAAAATAAAAATGAAAAAAAAACTAATAATAATATATGGTCATAGGACGGGTATATAAATATGAACAAAGAGCGCACACACGTCAATCGAACTATTAACAATAACAAAGCAAACGAGAATAAAAAAACACTAATCGCACATTCCCAATCCACAATTCGTTGTATGAAATTGAGATCGACAAATAAAATTCAAATGACATTATAAACAACAACTGAACTGACACAACAACGATATGAACACGAAAAAAATACAGTCCAAGTACAACAAATAACAAACAAATTAGTTGGAATAAAGTAATTGTTTCAACTGTACCGAAAGCAGAGTACATGAGAAAAAGTGAAGTCGAAGAGAATAACATTGAAGGCGACCGAAGGAAAGAAAGAGAAAAAAGAAACACAAATGAACTCTGAATAATAAGATAATGAACTGTCACTGACCAAAAGCAATTATTGTAATAATCGACTGCAAACGGTCGTTTCGCTCTTAATTTTTATTCTACATTGTGATGATTATATTCCCTGAAGCATTTCTTGTTTGACTCGATGTTCGACTTGACTGGAATATGAGTAATGCGAATAAAAAGAAGCAACGAATAAAAAGAAACAAAAAACATACACACACACACACACGAATAAAAATGATAATTCCCCTCAAACAATAACAAACGCTAAACATGCTTGATTCGACACGATCATATATTTTGTATATAAGCGCACGTTTATGACATGTCATTCAAAAAGTCAATGTGATAACTCCGTTTAAATTATCGTTGTTGTTGGTGTTGTGTGTGTGTGTTTGTATTTTTGCGACATCATCATCTGTAGCCTTTCATTTGTTTACATTCAAACAAGATTTATGAGAGATAGAGTGATATGCTTTCCTTTATCAAAGTGAAAGACTCGGGTGCAAGACGTGTGCACACACATCCGTTGAAACATTTCAGATATGCCATTGGCAGGTACGATGTCAAAAGTCCAAGTAGCAGTTTAAAGTGAAAATTGCAACATTCATTTGAAAAATAACAACAACAACAAAAACGGTGTGTAATTGATTTGAAGGTTGTCTCTTTCACTCGTTCGCTCACTTGCTTTCACGTTTCCTTTCGATTCTCGCGCGCCAGAGAAAAAATTATAATGAATAAGTGCATTTTAAATGTATGAACGAAAAAAAACCCACAACAGCAAACAACATAGTAATTTTGAATGGAATGCGCGCGATTGGACCACGCAAAGTGTGTGAGTGAATGTTGTACACACATTGATTGTTGTGTGTGCTTTGAAATGCATTCGATGTACAGGTATTATGTGCTTGCCAAACAGTAATTCTATTGACTGTTTAACGTTCGCGCATAGGTAGATGAGCATTGGCAAGAGCGGATGAGCGCAAACGAATATGTGAACATACATATATATTTACCGTATGCAGTGAGTGTGTGGCTCAAAATGTCTATCTTGTCTATTTGTTTTAATGTTCCACACCGCATTAAACAATGTTTTATATATCTATGTTATAACATTGTGTGCTGTCGTCTCTGCCTCATGTGTTCAACAATGTTCCTCATTGTATCCACACTCTATACAGCACGTAAAAGGTATGAATATAAAACCTCTGGACTTGAAATTGTTCAATACATTAAATAGTTAGAGTACATGCATATCCGAGCCAACGAATATGAAAATGAAAAACGGCACTTTTATTACTTTGATTATTATTATTGTTTCGTTTGTCGGATGAATACACGGTGTGTGTGTGTCTACGTGTAGAATTCAAAGAGAAATGTGTACGCGCCATTATGAATGCGCTTATTTACAAATGTAGTTGTAAAAGGTATGGTATTGGATGATGGAAAGCGATGAGCACACGATGAGAGTACAAAATACAAAAGAGTCGAACAGTAGACGAACAAAAAAAAAAACAACAACCAACGATGAGACGTTTTAACATTTGATATGATGTATTTAGTTGCTAGCTTATTTGTTCAATTCAAAAGAGACAGTACAAAATACATCAATAAAAATATACGGCATGCATTTTTACGTTACGTTTCGTTTTTCGAGTTTTTTGTTACACATTATTCGTTCGTCTGGTAGTGCTGCTTCTAATTTTATTTTATTTTAGTTGTTTTCTTCATTCGCCTCATGCAACAAAATGATAATCAAATAGGTCTTCGTCTACCTCCATATCTAACGTTGGTGTAATGTGTCGGCTCGTGCACAGTGCGATGGCAGCAATATTTGAATGAATCAAAGAAAGGGGAAAAGAGAGAGAGAGAACGAACATACGCTCGGTTTTTGCATTCAAAGCGGCAATTTTTTTTCTTAATGAGTTTAAATAAAACCGCGCTCATTTGCTCATCGCAAAAATGTTTTTATCTGATTCGTAATTAAAAGCATGCTGCTTTAGCAGTCACTATAGTTTATCACTATGGTCAGGCGAATATCGCATAAATTCTCATAACGAACGCAAAGCATTCTTAACAATTTTACGTCGTAAATGTGTCAATAATATCTATCACTAACTATTTGTTGACCCGCACACACCCGAATATTCGAGTGAAACTATTTTCAATTCTTATGTATGCATGACTAATTCAATTTCATGGTTTTCGTATTTACTGTTTTTTTTTCGCAATGCAAATGTCCTGTAAAGAAACGGCAATATAAAAACGAACTACGTCTAGCAAAATTTCCATAAATAGCTTACATGATGTCCTTCTCATTTCATGCCATAAATGTGATGATTTGGTGAAAAACCACGATGAATTTTCCGCGTGTTGCTAACACACCAATACAATCGCCTCTCTTTCACACACACACTGACACACGTACTGTTCGCCCCACAGACGGTGCAAAGAAAAACACAGATGCGACGAGTGAGAAAACTGACGACGTTGCCGATGTTTGTCGTCGACGTCGTTGTTGTTGTTGTTTCTCGTTGAATGAACGGCAAAATATACACAGCAATTTTGTATATGCGATTATATAGTAGAGACTTTCCTATTTCTGCATTATTGAATCGCAAATATGGAAAATATGAAAATCGGCCATAAATGGGCAACTACTTTTTTTTTTGGTTTGGTTCAAATCGATTTCCGCAGCCGCCGCAGATGTTTTCTCGCCGCCAAAGTGCCGTGAACAAAAAGTGTTGTTGCACAGTCGATTGTTTTCCGTCTCTCTTTCGTTTGCCCTTCAATTTGAATGATTATTATAAGATGACGATGTCAATCGCAATGGAGCCCACTACAAGCTGATAAAAATCACTCAAAACAAATTAAAAACGCAATTTATTATACGCTCTTTTTTTCACTCTTCGCTTTTCGATTAGATTTTTTTCTTTTTGCGTGTGTATTATGTGTTGTTATTTAATTTCCTTTTTTTATATGTTGTATTAGAAAGAAATAATATTTGTAGACACAAAAAATGGCACTATTGGATTTTAAAGCACTTTCCCATTGAAATGATTCCGATATTATTTCCACCGTGACTGTTGATACATATATAGTATAATATATCGCCTGTTTTTTTATGAGACCGATTATGCTGTTGGTATTTTGATGATTTTAAATCGATTCTTTGATTCCCACATACACTCATACATGCACGCACATACCATGCACGATGGCAAATCGCGTATATGCTGATGTTGAAAGAGAGAAAAAAAATAACACACAAATTACACCCAATCACATATCAAATCAACGCTCTCAACCACACTTTGCCTTTTTTAAGAATAAAACTACTTTTTTTTTTGCTTTGCGTTTTTCTTTATATTCGACAATTCAATTCGATTTTATTTTATTACAATTCAATTGATGTTGTGTTCGTTTCGATGGTCCCGAATGTGTTCACACTATATACAATTATGTTTTCTGTGTTTATTGTTTTTATTTGGTTTGAAAAATAGATTTTTGTCTATATGTTACACACTTCTCTACGCGGACACATTCGTCGACGATCTAAAAATGAAGACGAATCGCTTGCGAATGACTATAAATCTATGTCATTGGCGTTTCGATCAAAATGAAAAATTACGTACGAAATGAACCAAACCAATGGCGCACACATATAAACATTCACACCAACACCGATATGCGAATGCGTTAAATTCTGGAGAAAATCGTAAATACAACCGTTTTGACAGTGACAACTAGCAGTGCCGATTTTTTAATAAAACATGGATTTTTCATGGTTTAACGTTGAAAACATTTGAAATTTTCAAAATATTCACCATTTTTGCTGGAAATCAATTCAATTTTGACTGTTTATTAAATAGGATTCTTCGATTTTCTGTACGACAATCGAATGCGTTTTATTGAACGTTTGCGTTTTGAACGTTATCACCCTAGCTCATATTGTCATTCATACTGTCAAACGTCATTGGCTTCACCAGAGACAAACGTACACAGTAAATAACAACAGCGGCAAAAGTTATTGAAACATCAGCAAAAAAAAAACCAGAATCTTTTTTCCGAAAAAAGTGTAAACTATTTTGTCGGCAAATTTTAAGCTTGTTTTTTTTTTGAAAAATAATTTTCGACTTCAATCAAAATGGTAGGTTCAATTATTGTTTATTTATTTAGTGTTGAATCGGAAGATGCTAAAATAAAACATAACCACAATTTTTCGGATGCTTATCAAGTTTTTTTTTCTTTTTTTTTGAATTTGTTGTTTTTAGTATTCGTTGTCGCATAAAGAGGAATATGCTCACGAAGAGAGTATTTGGTGTGTGGCATGGGGTCGTACCAAAGAAGAAAAATCCGATTCGGAAATGAAAGATGTCGACGACGAAGATTCACAAGAGCGAAAAAATGATGGTGAATTGAACGATTTTATTGTAACTGGTTCGTTGGATGACACAGTCAAAATATGGGATGTCAAAGACAAACGGTTGCGATTTCAAAAAGAATTGGCCGGACATTCGTTGGGTGTTGTTTCGGTTGCCGTGAGCGGCGATGGAAAAACAATCGCAAGTAGTTCACTTGATTCGGGTCTATTCATTTGGAAAACGGAAACCGGACAAAAGTTGAATACAACCGAACTTGGACCGGTTGATTTATGGACGGTAGCGTTCTCACCCGATGATAAGTATGTTATCTCTGGCTCACACGAGGGTAAAATAACATTGTATTCCGTGGAAACAGGCAAACCCGAACAAGTTTTGGATCCACAAAACGGCAAATTTACCTTAAGCATAGCATATGTAATTATAATCAATTTTGTATTAACAAAGAAGTCATTTGTTTAATTCAAGTATTTTATGAAATTTAGAGCCCGGATGGAAAGTACATCGCTAGTGGCGCAATCGATGGAATTATCAATATTTTTGATGTGGCCGCTGGAAAAGTTGCTCTATCGCTCGAAGGTCACGCCATGTCGGTGCGAAGTTTATGCTTTTCACCCGATTCACAGATGCTTTTGACTGCCTCCGACGATGGACACATGAAACTTTATGATGTGTAAGTACATACATTTTCAACGAACCTTTCAATTAAATTTTTTAATTTCAAACATTATTCTCTGTATATTACAGCGCGCATTCAGATATAGCCGGTACTCTATCGGGACATGCATCTTGGGTATTAAGCGTGTCTTTCTCTGAAGATGGCAAGCACTTTACGTCATCGTCCAGTGATAAAACGGTGAAGATTTGGGATGTTGCCGAACGAAAATGTATGCACACATTCAATGAGCATTTGGATCAAGTATGGGGCGTAAAATACAGTCCGGACAACAACAAAGTGGTCTCAGTCTCTGAAGATCGAAGCATTAACTTATACGATTGCCCAGCAAATATCAAACAATCCCAATAAAAAAAAACCATTTATTAAGTCTAATTCTTGTACGAAACAAAAAAAACGACATTGTTTATAATTTCATTTTAATTCAAATTGATTCTACAACGTGTTAATGAATATTGCCAATTGGATTCACCACGGTAAGTGCTTCCATTCTTTTTCGAAATCTTCTTTTGTTTTCCATTTCTTTTCTTGTCCAGCCGTTATCATATCCTCCATTTCCAATACGGGTGTATTTCCTTTTGGTTTCCTTACCGGTTCTTCGCGTTGAAGATATTTATCCGACTCAGATGGACGACTTGAATAGAAAGTGTGCAAACAACTATAATACTTCACCAATTTTTCTATAATTACAATTGAAAAAAAAAAGAATAAACATTTTTCTGTCTTGAAAATAATATATCCAGCAGTCAACATTTACCAGCATTCTCTTTTGAAATATCATATTTCTCGACGATGTAGTCGAGCGTCCACTTTTTGGGATCACTTTTGTGATTTCCAAGCATAGTCTTTATTTCGTCTACAAACAACATATTTGGTTTTCGTTCTTCTGTTCTTTGAGTGTGCGGCATTCGTGAGTATGGTGTATTTCTTTCGATTGGCATTGCATGATTTTTCGGAAAATTCATGTCCGGATTCTGAATTTGAAATTTTAACAAAAATATTGTGACATTTTTGTATTACAGAAAAAGAACTATCGATTTATGTAACTTACATCGTTTTTGGAGGTCACGAAAACTTGCTTTAATCGATCATTGAAAGATTTATCGAACGTGTTTACTTTCTTCAAATAATCAGCGTCTGGCGTGAATGGTAACGGTGCAGCTGAAAGTGTAAATCAATTTGAAAAAAATTACATTTGCTTCCATGTAAAAATGAGTACAAATACCTTTGGGGACGATTTGTTGGTTAGATTTTGGCAGAACTTTTGTGTCCTGGACCACTTGTGTGATTGCATTTCGATTCACCTGCTTGGCCGTGGACATTGATTTTCCCATTGTAAATAAAATTGAATTTTTCCCTCAGAAATCATTAAAATAAAGATTTCTGACGACTATAGAAATTACCTAAATGTTAAATAACAATGTGCAAATGATGTTTATCGAAATGTCAATGTGACGGCGTTTAACGCACTAATACGCTTCCAATTTGCGAACGTTCACCGTTTTATGAAAGCAGTAAAACGGCCGAAGTATATTTAGAATTCGTTTTTTTATTATTTCAAGTTTTTTTTTTTGTAAATATACAATACACAGTGTTCTATGTAAATCTAAATCTGATTCGGTTTTGGATCTTATAACAATCTGTCAATGTTCTTCAGTATCACTCATTCCGTTGAGCTCTTGCCGCCGCCAAGTAATTTTAAATTGTCTTGCAGCATTTTTTGCTCTTTTGGTGTAATGTTCTTGGACATATGCACTTCAAACGATCTAAAATACTCTAAAATGTCACCTGTTCAACGGATAGATAAAAATTCATATAAATTATACGAAATAAATATTAAATTTTGGTATCGACGTACTTGCAACATCGGGTTTAATTTTATTCTCTTCTGCTATTCTTTCGACCGTCCATTCTTTGGGGTCTTGTTGATGCTTTGTTATGAAATTAATGGCTTGCAATAATGACACACGGCCGGGTGGAACTCGTTCTGATTCTTTATAGCCTAATTCAAAGCGTTCACTGAATCGTGATAGAGGCAATGGCTTATCTGATTTGATATTCTCCGTCTGCAATAAAGATAATTTCAATAACATTACCAAATTAGTATGTACGAAATCAGAAGAGAAAATGGTTTCATATCGAAATATCATATTACCAATCCTTTTGAAGTAACATACACATCTTTTAGATGAAGATCAAGTTTTGGGTCGACAACTGTTGTTTTATCCAAATAATCTTTGTTTTCTGTAATTTGATTAAAAAAAAAAAAACAGAAGAAAATAATCAAAACTTTGTCTTCTGAACGTTGAAAAAATGAAGTCGGCTAGAATTATCAGTTCGATATGCTCACCTTGTAGCGATTTGTGATAATCAATGATTCCTGCTTCATGTTTTGGTGCTATCACTGGTTTTTTAGCTTGTTTGTCAAGTTCCTTAGAAACCCGACTTTCTATGTTATACTTGCTGACCAACCGTTTAGCTGATAGGTAGAGTGTGTTGTTCGACATATAATTGCCCATTTTCACATTTATTCGATTGTTTTCATTCACGACAATATTAATACATAATGATATTTTGAAAAGCCTTCACAGAGTGATTCTAACCTAACACCTGAACTGACAGCTGTCAATCAAATACTTTGTATAGAGTGCGTTATGGTGCGTTTGTTTTTAGTTTGAAGTCAATGCCATCACTCCACTTTTCATAATCATAGTAAAATAAAACAAATACAAACTCTTACTCATTACTCAATTAAAAACGAAACGAAATTAATATCAATCGCCAAATTTATCTTATTCATGTACAAAAAAGCTGTAATTTAATTCAAGTTCAACACACTCCACTCAAACAAGACTGAGTTTGAGTGAAACTATTTAATTTTTTTTTTTGTAAATAACAATGTTCTTTGTTTATAGTTTTGCGAAACAGCTGTTTTGATAGACTTTTTTTTTTGAATGAAAATGCGAAAAGTGTGATAAGAAAATTGAAAAACTTTTGAATAAGATCAATAATCCGTTACATTTTTAATGGAATAACTTTGAAGAGATTTTGTAATTCAGTGCATTTATCAGTAAAAAAAGACACAGGGTAAAGGTCACAACATTTTCACATCACGAGTTTTAACATGCAATAATAATCTTTTAATATCACCTATATAGAACGTAATTTCATTTGATGTCGATCATCAATTGTATCAATATCCACGTACCGTAAAGGAAGAATCCATGTACCATGTCGAATGAAATCGAAACTCTGCCAGAGATCTTAACAAATGCCATAAATGCCCTTCACGACAGACGACAACCAAATCAATCCAACCCAAACACTGCCAATGGATTGAATCAGACCATCAATGATGTTCACAAATGGCGAAACATACTCTCATTTTGGATACTCGGACTCTGCAATAATTATGGATTTGTGGTGATGCTTAGCGCTGCATACGATATTATCAAACGTTTTAATGGAATCTCGGTATAATACGTGATTTTCTATCAAGGTCAATGGTGATTACTAAATATTTTAATTTCATTTTAATAGATTGATAATGATGTATACACGGATCCATTGGCGTTGGCCGTATCAAGAGAATGTATCATTATGTCAACCGGAGTTCTACTGTTAGCTGATACAATACCGTCATTGAGTGTCAATTTGGTGGCACCATTTTTACCATTTTATATTAGGTATACACACTTTCAATTAACACATGTCCAAGTTATAGTGGAAATTGTTTACTTCTTGCTGACAAACAATATTCGCAGCACTTTATTCAATTTTATGTCTTCGACAAAGTTAATATGCTAGTTTCCGCTTGAAAAAACTAATAATTCTGAGCCGCTCTTATATAATATGGATTTATTTCTTTATTTTTGATTTCATGAACACGTTCAGTGCGCGAATGGTATTGGTGTGTTTGTTGAGCGCAAGTGGTTTTATTGTCGTTGCATCAGCTCAAAACGAATGGCAAGCAATTGTTGGTATAATTTTAACGTCGTTCAGCGGCGGACTGGGTGAAAATTCAATGTTAGCGTACACTGCGAAATTCAACAGGTAAATCTCATCTTCAATATAGTGTAGTCATTCACACATGCATGTGTATACACACCACAAACATGATGTAATAACATAATAAATATTTGATCATCGTTTGTCTCTTTATCTCATTTTTCGTAAATAGAAGCGTTATATCGGCGTGGGTAAGTATGATTCAGTGTTATTATGAAATAAAGAATAATAATTTCATTTTCACTTTTTCCATTCAAAGGCTTCGGGAACTGGCATGGCAGGTATCATCATATATTTATTATTGGCAAGATATTAAGTTATCACCTCTACTGTATTTACTTACAATTTTCGATTTATTGTAGGTGTAGGAGGTTCGTTGACTTATGTAGCATTACTTAAGATTGGTTTCTCGCCGAAAGCGACAATGCTATTAATGCTGATCGTTCCATTGATTCAATTGATAATGTTTTCCGTGGTTTTAAAAGAGCCAAATCGAAGCATTTTTTCGATGTCTGGTGCATCGTCGACCACATCGCTTATCGATCATTCGATTATCTATGAAGAGATTACAATTGCACCACCACCATTGACTTTCCAAGAAAAAATTAAATTTTTTCCAAAAATGCTCAAGTATGTCTTCCCTTTGTTCGCTGTTTATCTCTGCGAGTATTTAATTAATCAAGGTTTGGTAAGTGCATTTTTGCAGTCGTTCTTCTTTTTTCCCCTCATTCTGACAGACTTTATCGATTCAAGTGGACTTTATTGAGCCGCAATTGATAATACAAATGATTTTATTGAATGAAAAATCTAATCGACGAACAAGTATTTTTCTAGACTGCATGATTAATCACAAATTTTCCATTCAAATTCATTTTATAGTTGGAACTGATATATTTTCCCCATATTTGGTTGAACCATGAGGAACAATATCGATGGCTACAGGTGGATTATCAAGTGGGCGTGTTCATTTCGCGATCATCACTCAGTTTCTTCGAAACGAATCAGATATGGATTATGTCGATTCTTCAATTTGTTAATGTCATCTACTTCACATTGCAAGCGATATTTATGACTGTGCCGTCGATTTGGATCATTTTTATAATTGTTTTTTGGGAAGGCTTGCTCGGTGGCTGTTGTTATGTCAATACATTTAATCGCATTTCAAAAGAGTTGCCCATGCGGTACAAAGGCTTTGGCATGGGAATGACAACAATCGGTCAATCGTGCGGTGTGGTTCTGGCAGGCTTATTGGCAATACCAATGCATAATATTATATGTAAAATGCCTGCACCCGTTGTTCTGAATTAGTAATAGCGAAATGAAAATGTGATGAGATTGGTGCTATATTTATTTTTATAGTGCATGTAAATTGTTAACTATGTGTTTGAACAAAAAAAAGACTCGAATATTTTTGTCACAGATGTTTTTTTCCAAATAAACTGTATATTTACTTATTTTTGTATAGATATTTACAAAATTCGTGATTCATGTCAAAATTATGAAATTCAATTACAATCAAACTGTTTTTTAAAGTAAACATGTTTACCGAGTATCGTACTTTTTTTTTATTTCCACTTCATTGATAAAGATTTTTTTTTCTTGATTTTATCATATAATATCATATCGCAAAACAGCTGTTCATAACGAAAATATAAACACAAATGTTATTTTGACGATTATCATGCTTGCAGTAATGGCCGGTGCAAACAGGAAATTTCTTGGCAATTATCATAATGGTATATCAGAAGAAAAATGAACTCACTCATAAAAGGTAGCTCTTCCCAAACTTACTATTTCTAAAGCAAAAACGAAAAGACCGCTGCTGAAAAAATGACATAAATATTTAAGTTTATTGGTTTTGTCTAAGCATATTAAATCTCTACTTGACAACGTGTTATGCATATATCAATGGTTTAGAACATGTTTTATTTGCCGGTTTACGAAAAACACGTAATTCACGCAAATATTCAAAAGTTTTACGTTTTTTTGTAGCACAAAAAAAAGTTTGCGATTATGAAATCACATATTCTGAGTTCTGGTGTGTCTTATTTTTTTCTTTTCTGCCACTTTTATCATGAAACGGCTCATTTACACAATGACATTTTTTGCATAAGATTTGCAGTTTAATTCTATTGATGATTTAGTATGAAATTTACCGCAAACCACTTGGGTTTACCCAAGAAGATAAAATTAAACAGCAATTAACCCATATGATATTCACTAACTCATTTTTGTTGTTCTTTGCACTTTTTCTTCTTTCTTGGACTGTCAATGCATATGATATAATAAGTTAAGTCGAATAATTCAATTTATTTTTAACCTGATTTTCGTGGCACCACCCGTCAATTAAATATCATAATGTTTGTATTCGATTTATCATCGTCATTGTTTACCTAAACAAAAATATTCTCTACAATTCAATCACCATAAATAACACTGTCGTGGTGCAAAACAAAACTGCAAAATAGTGGCCAAACCCAAACGTTTTGTCCGAAAATGATGTTCACAGGTCAAATGTCTGCTATAAACTGTTCGTTGACTTAAAAAAAAGACCAAGGTGTCTATTAATCGTTCTAAAGGTCCAAAATCAGATGACTAAATAGGTAATAAATGTAGTTGTGATAATAGACTAAAGTAATGCAAAGAAGGCCATTTAAGTCAAAATAAAATCTGTAAATGGGACTGGTTTAATGTTGCGGATGCAAACTAATGTCCATATGATTGTTTTGCAATGTTTTTCAGGTTCACCACTCATCACTAGGAAATAAATGGTTTCAATAAAATAATACGGAACATCTTCGCTTGATGATTTGCACAACGAAAACACACTACTACATCTATCATTAGGAGTGTAACGATGCCGTTGAATGTGTTATGGGTTAACTATGGCTTATGATTGTGCCGTATTCAACGAAACTTTTAACATATCGTGTAACGAACTTGTTTCGTCTCTCTTTTTTGTTTCATTTCATTATTAAATGAGTAAATATTTAAAGAAAAAAGAACTGCGAATACCTGTCGACTTACAACGACGATATCGGATCGAAACACTTTCAGTGATAAAAGAGCTTTTGCGCTGAACAGAAACCGGAGTTAGAATTTGTATTTCAACGAAACAACATCGCATATGCTTATCTCTCGGGTTTTTTGTGTCGTTTTTAAAATCACATATTCGAAAGAATAATCTAATAATTTAAAACGTTGGTTTTGCTTGAAAATTTATGGGGTTTTATTGGAAAATTTGTATTTATCGGCGAAAAAATTTAGTGATCGATTTCAGAAACGAATTTTTTAGAACTGCATTTCTTGGATATTTCAAAAGAAAAAAAATTAACGCATCGTCAAAATGCAAATGTTATTTGATAAATTTTTTAAAATTTGTTGTGCAAAACGAATCAAACCGAACGCCAATGAAATAAATGATCCAGCAAAGAAAAGTAGCGATAAAGTGTGGCGTGATGTTCTTGCATATTGGATTCTAGGACTGGGCACTGAATTCGGATATGTCGTTATGATTTGTGCTGCAAGCGACATTTTGCACAATTTCGGTTCAAGTGTAATTACATTTGCGTGTTTTTTTTTTATGGCTATTTATAGTCCATTGTGTTATAGTTTCAATGTGGTTTTATTTTTAAATTATTTGATATCAATGAAATTCATCGATATAATTAGATCATTTTTCACCTTCAGACCGATAATAGAAATGCAACCGATTCCCATAAAACAACCGTTGATGACGATGATGCGGCAAGCATTAGGCAAACCGTTTGTAACACACCCTCGACGGGCGTTTTATTGATTGCTGATATCGTACCTTCAATGCTCATGAATATTTCATTGCCATTTTTACCGTTGGTTAAAAAGTGAGTTTCAATTTGCATATTTGCTACGAGTCATTTGTGAAGTGATGTGACATGTTACATGTTTTAATGCATCAATAAGAAGAAACAAAAAAAAATATTCAAACCAGTTGAACCGATAAAAATTCGCCTAAAGTGACCGAAGTTTTCGGCGAAAACATGTCTTAATTTACTCTTGATCTTTACCTTTTTTGCATTTATCATGATGAATTTGCGAATTTTTTTTTCATTAGAACTTCAAAGCATTAGTAATTTGTTCTTGTTTTCTGTAGTTTCCGAATGATGCTGGTTATCGCACTAAACGTTTCCAGTTTTTTATTAATTGCTAACACGGATTCGGATTTTTTGGCAATTGTCGGTGTTGTATTTACATCAATGGCCTTAGGAATTGGTGAGGTGACGCTGCTATCTTATTCGGCAAAATTTAACAAGTTCAGTAGCTAAATTTACCTTGAAAGGTAAACATATGATTTTCGTCATTTTTAAATCAATTGAACGTCTTTCTTTCATTGATACTTTAGGAAAGTGATAACCGCATGGTCTTCAGGTAATAACTTATCATTTTTATGGAGTTGCGACTCCACACGCGACATCGTTCTCATTCAATATTGAAAACTTCAATGAAATAAATGTCATTTCAGGAACCGGATCGGCCGGCATTATAGGTTCATTGTGCTGGGCTGGTTTAATTGCACTAGGATTAAGTCCACATGATGTGTTGCATCTCATGCTTATTGTGCCAGCTATACAAGCCGTTACATTCTGGTTTCTCTTACGTTCACCGCAAAAACACCGGCAAAAGAATGATGTAAAAACGATTGATATCACAACCATTGAATCGAGTGCAGCCGATTGTGTTGAACCAACGCTTGATATAAAATTGAGCGGTTTAAAAGCGAAAATAAAATTCGTACCGAAGTTGGTTAGTTTCATTGCACCAATGGTCATTGTGTTTATATTCGAGTATATTTGCGTGTCTGGATTGGTAAGATAACAGTATTTCACAAAGACTGTTCGTTTTTATTTATTGGACGTAATTCTTATTTCAGTTTGAAATGATCTATGTGCGAAATCTGCCGTTTGGATTGAAGCTCAATTCAGAGGCACAGTATCGATGGTTCCTTGTAACTTATCAAATTGGCGTATTCAGCGCAAGATCGTTGGGTGCATTTTTGAAACCGCGTCCTACATGGTGGGCAACCGTAGTACAATTCCTTAACTTCTTGTTCTTTATGTACACAACGTCAATGGCTCAAGCATCAAATCCCTGGCTCATATTTACGTTTGTATTTTTGCTTGGCGTTGTTGGTGGCCTATGTTTTGTGAACACCTTTCATCGGCTGATCAACGAATTGCCAGCAAATCAACACAAATTTTCGCTAGGGATGATAACAATCGCCGAGTCATTTGGAATAGCTGTAGGAGGCTCGACAGCTATACTAATTCATAATATTTTATGTGGAAAGTTCGTAGTGTTTAAGTAGTGTCTGCCAAACAATAGATATAGATAATTTATGTAGTTGTATGTATGTCGCCAAATCGATTGAAATTGACGGCGAATGGAAATATTTTTGAATAGCTTTATCGTGATAATTTAATATTAATATTTACACAATGTAGAAAATTGCACTTGAAATACATATGATTATTGATTAAAATCGGTTCTTTCTTCACTTGAAATCAGAATTTAATCATCCCACCTTTTTACTTTTCCGCACACACCTAGTGTGAAAGGGGAAAGTATTGCAATAGGTCAAAATTTACGAAACTTCAAAAACATGTTTTCTGGACGTTTCTGAGGTCAGAGAACCCGAATCAGGCCGTTTTTTGCATGGTTGTTGTGGGTCTGTTCCACGTCGTACGTCGTACGTCGTACGTCGTACGTCGTACGTCGTACGTCGTACGTCGTACGTTGTCCGCCGTACGCAAAATTTGTCCATCGATTTTCTCACCACCCAGAAAAGTTATTTGAAATCTGACTTCACGGGATGATTGGGGGTCCCCAGGAATAGAAATCATCAGATTTTGAGCGACTTTGGTTGATGGAAAAAAATTCCATGCCTGGAGTGATACCTATGAAAAAGAGTCCAATTTTCGTCCAAAACTCATACTTAATGTAGACTTAAACACTCAAAAATATGTATTGGGGGGTTTTTTGACACGAGAAAACCGAATCCGAGGTTATTTTTGAGATACAATCAATTTTTGATACAGTTTCCTTGAAAAAATCTCAAAAAATTGAATTTTTGTATGGGATGCCTGTATGCTACCTTAATGACGTGAAACTTTGCACAGACTATTTTTTACACAAAAAAATAACATTCTGAAAGTTTGAAGAGATTTGAATTAAAATTAGGGGTACCTCCCATACAAAATTTTCAATTTTCGGCTCAAAAACGAATATTTTGTATGGGAGGTACTTTTAATTTTGGTTGAAATTTCTCCAAACCCTCCAAATGTTATTTTTTTGTGAAAAAATAACCTGTACAAATTTTCACGCCATTAAGGTAGTATAGTTAGTTATGAAAAGTGTTTCAAAAATAATTTTTATGGCAAAATTAACGTCAGACATATTTTTTTATAGTGTTTTGTTAAAAAATGAAATACTTTCAAATGTCGTACAAATGGGTTCATCATGAAAGTGTGAAAAATCTTTTCTCGAGTACTTCTGTTATTAAATAAAAGAATATTTCGATGCCAAAGTTGAGTTTTTTTGGTCTCGAACTTTACGCCGCTTGAAAGGCTTGAAAAATCGAACAAATATTATTTTGAACTTGCTTAATAAAATACGCAAATACCACCGTGCGGAAAAGTTCGTCTTACTCCTGTAAGACTCTTTATTTTAAACTGGACTTTGAACGAAACGCAAATAAAATTCGGCCAACATTGTGAATAATATGTATTGCATGATTTTAAATTCGTTGTCTAATGATATCATTGTTTTTTCCACCGGTTGTCATTGTTCATATTGAAGTATTTGATTTATTTACAATGGGCACTTAGAACGAAAGTGCGATGTATTGATTTGTAGAAAAAAAAACAGACATAAAAATGTGTCATTTCCTCTTCTCCAGTCTGTCATTCAATCTACCTGCTTAGAGATGTAATCTTTGTTTTGGAAAAAAAGGAGATAACACATGTTCCCACATATCGGTTGGATCATATATTGGAAATTTCCTTGAGTTTGTTAGACTTTCTGAGCAAATAAACAGAAGTAAATAAACAACTCAACTGAATTGCTGCCATGTTCACAGAAAAGGTGTCTTATCTTATTACATGCGTCTTGTAAGGGCTATTCAACTGTTTTCCTATATGAAAATAGTATAGATAAGTTCAGAGTAAATGCTATCTATCAATGGAATTGTGCGAGAGGCAGTGAGAAAATAATGTTGAAATTTATATTGTGGGGAATGTCAATCGTTAATATTCATTTTGACCGACTTAGATCATAAATCATCATAGCATGCAATGTATAAGCTTTAATATCAATGCACGTGTGATTTAAAACATTGCTTTCGACATTTTTATATTTCAGATTTCTTCAGCACTTGATAAAAAAATGTGTTCAAAATAATTTTGTCATTGAACTAATTGTGTTCTACTCTATCTAGCTAAACTATTTCCATCTACTTAACAAACAATATTTCCTTCGGTACACAATTTCCTGATAAGAAATCCTTCAATTCTTTTGGTTTAATCGGAATGATATTGTCTCCGTTTTATATTCACTTGAGTTATAAATACTGTTGTTATTTAAACAATGATAACAACGATTGAATTTCGATTCCTGGAATAGGCCGCGATATCGTTTAATATATTCGTTGTCACTCATGAATATTCTACGACTTGAAAATGTAACAAGAATAAAAAAAAATCAAACAAACACACAAGCAAATACCCTTTCAATATAAAGTAATAACAATAATTTTTTTTTAGTTTCGTCGATTCGCATATAGTCGCAGTGGACAAGGCGATTGTACTGTCGTCGGGTCGAATTTAGATACAGTCGAAATTGTCGTTAATTTTGGCATTGATTTCATTTAAGTGAAACACAAACAGAAAGTGAAATTTGTTCTCGTAATTATATGATTATTAGGTGCATATTATGTATACCTAAAATCGAACGTTAACTCGGACCAGGATATACATATGTGACGCGCGCGTAATATCCCATGTGTGTGCGGTTGGAAGTTTCACCTTGGCCTGCTTTTGAACTTTACTTTTTTTGCATTGAAAATTGTTTTTTTTTTTTCTGCGTACCTCAAATTTCTCCTACTAACTAGCCTATGTGCCGATGAAGTAATCGTTAGTTTCGTGCAGACTTTTCATTGATTACGTTGTATTTACGGCTTTCGTCGAACAACATTGGTGGTTATATTTAATTTTTGAATATTTTTTTGTCTAACATTGAAAATATTTCTTACAGTCATTGGTTTTTTTTTTGTTTGCAAAAAAAGAGGAAGAAAATGCGAGTAGAAAATTTAAAAAAGTCCTTGATGGGCATTATTTTATTGACTTTGGTGATGTGTGCACCTTTTAGTGAATCGGTTGATCAACGTAAGTTAATGTTTAATTTTTTTCTCGAGCTCAAAAGACAAACGTTTAAAGTGAAGTAGAAATTTTTAGTTTAAATCCAATACAAGTTGAAAAGAAAAAAATTGGATTGTGATTAAAGAAAAAAAAGTTTCAAGAAATGTTCAAAAAAAAAAAAATTGAAAAAATATATTTTTTCTGTAATCTAATTGAAAAAATAAGCAAAATAATGCAAAAATGATCGGAAATTTAATTTCCTTAAAATAATTTAGAAAAAAGTGTGAATGTTACGATGTGCTATTTGATTTTAAAATGTTCCAAACACATGGAATAAATCCATTTGCATAAACTTAACCTTTTAAAAAGTTTTCAAATTCAAGTTCACACTTGTTTGTTCTTGCATGAATAATAATGTTTCTAATTACAAAATTAATTTATTCCCAAAAGCAACGAAATTCGACGATGAACTTTTAAAGTGCTGTACAACTGGCGAGACACATGCCGAACAACATGGCAATTGTAAAGGATATCAAATGCCTGCCGTTGCCAATGAATTGATATCGTCGTGTTTTTTCTCATCGGAAATTTGTTGCAACGGAAAACTTCGAATCGAACAGTGCAAAATCGGTGTACAGGCTGCCAAAGATGGCAAAGATTGTCACGTCGAAGGTAATCATACTGGTACGGAATTTTACAAGAATTGTTGCGAAGCATGTAAGGTAGGTTTAGTGGTCGGATCAATGCAAGAGGAGTGTTCGATGGGCGTTTTATATGGCATACCATTTGATGATTCATACAATTATTGCTGCAACGAAATGAAAACGACAGACACTTTTGTACTGACCGATGATGAAAGTGAGTGAATACATTTCGATACTTAATCGACCACCAAATACTTATTTGTTGTTGTGCTTTTTAGATATTTGCACAAAATTCCAAAATCTTTGCTCCCAGATATGTGAAGCAACCGATGACTCTTATGTGTGCAAATGTGAAAGTGGTTATAAATTGGCGGATGACAAAAAAACATGCATCAATGAAAATGACGATGATGACTCATCGCCTGAAAAATCAAACGAAGTACCTGTTAATGCAACAGAGTAAGGAGTTTTATACACTCATGTGGGTACAACAAATACATGTTGGCATATTTTCAGTGATTGTCCGGTGGGTTATACGAAGAATGAACTGAGTGGCAAATGCGAGGATGTAAATGAATGTGAAGGGCCCGATTTTAGCTGTGAAAATGATCAAGTTTGTTACAATGTGCCAGGAAGCTACAAGTGCTTGGATGTTTTACCAGTTACACCGTGTCCAAATGGTTTCAAATTTGAGCCAAAAATCAAACAGTGCATTGGTAAATAGAATTAAAGAACGTCACAATTTCTTCTTCGTTCTTTTCGCTGAAAAAATGAAAAAAATTTCAGTTTCAAAATTCACTTTCAAATATAAAATCAAAAATCTTTCCTCATAGATATCAATGAATGCGAGCTTAGCATTGGTAAATGCCCTGGAAATAAAGAATGCATTAACATTCCTGGAGGATATGATTGTGGTGAGAAAAAGATCTTATCTCATCAGTAAGTTTCAAAAGGTTTCCATTTTTTTTTAGTTTTTTTTTATGAAAACTGAAAATTTTCCAATTTCTTGTAGAGCTGAATCACTGCCATTTTCACCACAGAAAAAGAATTTAACATGTTCGAAGGGATACAGACAACATTTCGATAAATGCGTCGGTAATATATGATAACCTATTTTTTAAAATATCTTTTTCCATTAATGACCAAACATGCGTCTTTTTTGTGTAAAATAGATATCGATGAGTGCACGGTGGACAAAACAGCTTGTGATAGTAATCAGAACTGCATAAATACGTTGGGTTCATTTAGATGTGAATGTAAAATAGGGTTCACAATGGACAAAGTGGTGAATGCATGTGTTGGTAAGTAGAATTTCTTATCGAAAACAAATGGAACATATGCATTTTTGTTTTAAAAAAAAATGTTTTTCAATATAGACATAAACGAATGCCAAATCAACAATCACGACTGTTTAGATACACAGCGTTGCGACAATACTATTGGATCGTATACCTGTATTAGATTACAGAGCTGTGGCACTGGGTATACTTTGAATGCTGAAACTGGCAATTGTGATGGTAAGCGTTTAATTTTACAAATAGTGCACTTTTATTGAATACATTATCGGTTCATTGAATTTGAATTCGAAACCACATTACACCGTACTACATTAATAAAAAAATCTTAATTGAATCATTTCATTTCAACGGTAGAGTAGGGCGCGTCAAAATTGTTTGGAATTAAAATTCCATGAATGTAGACCATTTTTAAATGAAAATGTTTCAATTTATGTTATAGACGATGATGAATGTTCTCTCGGCCGCCATAACTGCATAAAACCGTACGAATGCCGCAATACCAAAGGATCGTTCCGATGTGAAAAACCACGTTACACAACGACAACCACAACAACCACTACGACGACAACAACCAAACGACCTTACGTTCATACCCAGTATTATCCACAGTACACTCAATCATATAGCAACCGATACAGTGCTTGGCCATCAACACCAAATCCACGAAATGTCGATCTTGACCAACGACTCGGCCCATGTATGGATGGATTCCAACGAAATAATCAAGGCGCCTGCTCTGGTAAATACAAATCCAATTAAAGTATTTCAATGAATTAAAACCATTATTATGCACCGATAGATATCGATGAGTGTGCACAACAGAATCCGTGTCGTCGCAATCAAAGATGCATCAATACAAATGGATCGTATCGATGTCAATCGCTTCTGCAGTGCTCTGGAGGATACACATCAAATGATGAGGGAACTCAGTGCATTGGTACACCAATTCAATTCAATTTAAGCACTCTTATCAAATTCTTGCCTTGGATTTGAGGTGATGGAGCACTTTATATTTTTTTAGATTAATTCAGAGACGGGTTTTCAGAATAATATATGTAAGGAGGAGCGCTCTGAGGAACTGGAGGAGCACTGATGAGAAAAATATTAAAATAAATAAAATTTGCTCCGCGGTGCCCCTCCGATTCCTCAGAGCGTTTTTCCTCATATATAATTGATCTGAGAAACAGTGTCTGGATTAAGGAGTTGGTTTTTCCAATATTTTTCAGTAGCAGATAAAAATATTTCGCTTCTAGACCTATTGGTATACTTTCCTTAGGTAAACTGTAAACTCCAAACTCAAACTCAAACTCAATACTTCACAATTTCAATTAAATTCGAATAAGTTTATTTATGCTAGCTTTCTATTAAAAAGTGATGGACGATGGTTCGTAAAGTTAACAAGGTGAAGGGTAGTTTTGATTTTAATGGTAGCATTTGGTATACATATATCGAAATTTTCATGCATGATTTTTTGAAAAAAAAAAAAAAAAAAAAAAAAAAAAAAATTCTGATGATAATTCCACTTAAAATAAAGACATCGATGAATGTCAGCAAGGCACGGCACACTGTGGCCCAGACGAGATTTGCAAAAATAAACCGGGTGGATATACATGCGCTTGCCCTGCAGGTCACGCTTTGAATGCACAAAGACGATGCGAAGATATCAACGAATGCGAATTTTACAAAGGACAGGTTAGTGTTGACCAAGACCACTTGTCGCAATATTTTTGGTTATATATCGAATTTACAGGTTTGTGCCAGCAACGCGAACTGCGTAAACACAGTGGGTTCATATCGATGTGAATGTAAAGACGGTTTTAAGAAGCAAGATGGAGTCGACGACAAAAGCTGCATCGATGTAAATGAATGTGTAGAAATGTCTGGACTATGCGAGCAAAAATGTATCAATTATTGGGGATCCTATCGATGCGCTTGTGAGACTGGGTTCCGTTTAAGCGAAAACAATCGAACATGTGAAGGTGAATTTCTATAAATGGAATATTGTAATATGAATCACGGAATGATTACTTTTTCCCAAAAAATTTCAGACATCAATGAATGTGAAGTGCATAAATCGTACAATCTTTGTTTGGGAGTGTGTGAAAACACGCGTGGCTCATATCGGTGCGCATGCCCCGCAGGATATACACTCGGTACAGACGGTAGATCATGTCAGGACATTGATGAATGTGCCACACAAAACGTATGCACGGGCACCGATGCAATTTGCACAAATGTCAGAGGTAGTTATCGCTGCACATATAAAAATTGTCCTCCGGATTACATGAATGATGCCTCACATAAAAAGTAAGAAAAGCATTCGAATTTCGGTGTAAGATTTAAAATTATAATTGTGAATTTTTTTAGTCGTTGCAAGCGAATTTCGTTGACGTGTGAACACGGGGACCAGGAATGTTACCGTAGACCAGCTTCAATCACTTTCCACTTCATCACATTGGTTGCACAAATGTCGTTGCCCCCAACTGGTCGAGTACTTTTTACATACAAAGGTCCAAGTTGGTATGAAAATATCGACTTTGACATGAAAATCGTTCACACACAAGCGCCATCCAATGTCCAACTGGTTAATGAGAAATTTTTCAGGTTTGTTGGAACATTTTGAACGTTATTTTATGTAATATAATATTTAATTTGATGCTTTCAGCATGGATAAATTCCAAAATGAGGCACGGCTCAGTTTGATAGAGACTTTGGAAGGGCCACAAGATATTGAACTGGAAATGAGCATGACTGTATTCCGAGATGGACAACCGAGCGGAACTAATGTCGCACGAATATTTATTTTCGTATCCGAATTTCAATATTAGAGCTTCCACAGAAAATGTCACGTCTTTTTTTATTCAATAGCATATAATATCAATAGATTTTCCTTTTTAAAACACACTGTAAGAACTATTAAATAAGCATATCTGATTCAAATCTATCATTACGTATAAAACAATGAAAATAATTTACACAGAACAAATAATTTCTTTTACTTAATCGATCGAATTAATTGTTTTTTTTAAAAGTGATTCGATAATTTTTATATCTTATAGTAGATACGCCATCTGTTGAAAAATGGAATCGTTTTATATTTGAGATTCAAATAAATCGAAAAAAAATGTTGAGCTAATAAAAATCACTACAATTATCAATTATTCAATTGTTTTTCCCGGTTTTTTCATAGTTAATTATTTGAAAAAAATTTGTTTCCAGATTTGAAGAGTGTAAAAAATAATAGCATGTCATTCTAAAATTCATGGCAAAGATGTATAGATATGCGGTTGAAATAATTGATTTAATTGTCATTTCCAAAAAAAAAAATGATTGATTAAAATAGCGATAAAAAATCTCAGCAAAAACCTGTTAACGCATGCAAAGTGCACTCGTTCTAAAATATTCCATTACAAGTACAAAAGTTAACATACATTAATTAGTACAAAATTGCTTGTGACGTTTATCAAAGACCGCTTTATCGGTAACCAAACTACCCATCGGCATTATATTCTATTGCCGTACATTGTGCTCGTTCTATGTAAATTGTATTCAATGACAGTAATTATTTGAAAGTAAGCAAGAAAACTCTTTAGCAATCAAATCTTCAGATCTACGTTCTACGAAACAAAGGTCGAACATTCAGAAAAATGGAATGTGTGGTTATTACAAAACAATTGGTAATTTATTCTCATTTTGGGAGATACTTCAGCCTTCAATAAATCGGTCAAACTGCAAAGTTCAATAACAAACGAAAATATATTCCTTTCAGCTTAAAAGCGTTCAGCGCAATAACGCTTTAAAAACTGTGTTTAATGCGCTCAACACGAATTTTTTCAACAACTTTTTGACTGGCGTCGATGTAAGATATTTGGCCGAACTGAAAAATCGAACGTCTATAAGTTTGATCGGAAAGTCAAATTTTCAAACTAAGACATTTATTTGCATGAGCGAATCGTTGCTGGAAAAATGCACCAATAAACAGATGGTTGAAACATTGTTGGTAAGAGTTCATTTCAATCGTCGGTGAATCGAAATACTCAAATTATGTGTGTTTTATCTGTTTGACAGTATGAAATGGTTATGGTATACATCAAATTGAAATTGACCGAAAGGACCGACAAGAGTGACGAAGATGACAAGGAAAAAAACACACAGGCATTGCTTAAACGGGCTATGGATTTTTTGAACAACACAACCGGTACAATATTATCGTTCAATTATCCGCAAAGAGCCCATCAAACGGTGCACAGTTTCGATCAATGGATTGACGTCGAGGACGATGTCAACTTTCATGAGCTGAACAATAGCATCATCATTTTGGATGATGACGATGATGATGAAGATGTTAATGATTTTGACGAAATCCGCAAAGCTGGCTACGATACTATCGATAGAATCAGCGATGAAATTCATGTTGAATATCTACCCAATCGTGCATGGAGCGTTGATCACAATCAAACTAATGTTATTTGTGTCTGTTGCACTGATTATGACGATTTGTTTAAGAGTGTATTCGATGGCACGAAATTCACCTTGCATTTGAATGAAGAAAACTGTCCGGTGAACTGCCCGATTTGCTGCTGTGTGGTCGAAAATAGATTAAACAATCATTTCAATGATGTTTGTACAGCATTTCGCACCTGAGGTGATGGACTCCGGAATCAAAATCAAATAATAGGCCCATTGAACCATTTTAATTTGTTATGTAATTTGTTTTTAATTAATTATTCTCAATTGAAATTTATTTTATCATATTTAGAAGAAATTTATCGTATTTATATATTTGTGTCGAAATAAAAAAAACTGCTGAAATAAATACACGAGAATAAAGTCACTCATAAAAACTACCCATACATATTTTTGTTCAGTGAACATAAAGGTCATCATTAGCCAGTCAAAACAGTTGAAAAAAATTGAAAACATGTAAATTCTGGAATATGATATTCATATCATAGTCATGACGGTTGAATTCATTGCATTCAAATTCGAAGTCATTCATTCAGACATTCAGCACAATTTGACACAATAGTATTAGAAATCAGTGCGTTGACATAACCTCAAAAAATGGTTTGTTTTGAAATCACACATGCACTATCAACATTTGTTCTGTACGATAAAAGTAAAACAAGTTCACAATGGGAGAAACGAAGAAAGGAAGCGAATTGATTTGTGTTCCAGGGCAGCGGCTATGTTTATCAGATGAAAATACCGTATCAGGTGAAGGCACCTATGAAAGACTTGGTTACATATACTCACTTTTGGCCGGTGTCGTGAACATTTCGCAGAAAGACAAAGTAAGTCATTCAAATTGAATGAAATCATTTCAAATCAGTCAGAAATTTATAAAATTCCCGATTATTTTTGCAGTCAAAAATTATTGAAGTGAAAACGCTTGGGAATCAAACAATTGTACCAGTAGCTGGTGATGTGGTGACTGCTCGCGTCAATGTGATAAATCAACGATTTGCGAAATGTTCGATCATTTGCATAGGCGATGTAACACTGAAACGTGTTTACCGTGGACTCTTGCGCAAAGAAGATGTTCGAGCCGAACGAAAGGATGAGGTTGACATGTACAAATCATTTCGACCAGGCGACATTATACTAGCTAGAATCGTAAGTGAGATGTCATTCGTATTGACATTTCATATTTTGAACAAGTATTCTTTCTATTTTTCATTTAGTTGCCACAAAATGAATTGCATTGCTATCAATTGAGTACAGCTGAAAATGAATTGGGTGTCGTCGTTGCACATGCCGCTGAATCTGGCCCTCAAACTGTTCCGATGGTGCCTGTATCATGGTCCGAGGTACGAAAAAATGGCGTAAAATAATAAGAAAAATGTATAAAACTAATGCAACGTATCTTTTAAATCTTATTTATTAACAGATGCAGTGCCCAAATACATTAGTAAAAGAATTCCGAAAAGTTGCAAAAATCGTTCCAGAGAGCGCCGTACAAGAAGCAACTAACAACAAAATGACCGATTAACTTTGCTTTGAATCAAAAATCGTTTCGATTAGTTTTTAAATTGCGTGTTTTATTGAGGAAAAATTGTAGAGCTACTTAAGTTCAGTAAAATTTTAAATTTATTTCAATAAAAATAAGGACAGCAGAAATCATATCGGCTGGAAAGAAAGACCAAACGAAGTAGACAAATTATACATTCATATATTTGTAAATAATCACAAAAACATGGAATAATTTTAATAGTTCGTTGTGATGATTTATTCCGTAGAGCAGAATGAATGTACACGTATGACTTTGCCCAGTTTTTTTTTTTCTTCAATCAAATGGATCCATTCTTGCAGAGTATGAGGTACAGAGTCCGGAAAACCTGCGTTTTTTAATAAAAAAATGTATAAAACTAATGCAACGTATCTTTTAAATCTTATTTATTAATAACTTTTCAAAAAAAAATCTAAACTAAATAAATCATGTGTTAAGATTCCGATTGATTGGTAATATTTTTCAATAGCTCTTCCAATTCATCAGGAGTATACTTCTTTTTTCGTTCTTTTTTTATATTTGGCATATTATCAACATTTTGGATGGATTTATTCTGAAAATGAAAATAATATTAGAAAATGCATCATCAACAACAGTACTCAGGTCAATAATTCTTTTTTTTTGTACACATACCAAAAAGTGTGAATATTCTGGCGACAGTGTTTCCAAGTACAAAATTTTCTCTTCAATTGCTTTCAGACGTTCGAATACGGTTTTTGTCGTTACATTTGTCGTCATTATATTCAGATGAGTTTCCGCGTTTGAAATACGTTCTTCAATGCCACTTGATAATGTTTTTGATGGCATATCGGGATCAGGTTTAATTTTAATTGGTGAATTATTTTCCATAAGTTTGTCCAAAGCGCCTTTATAATTTGTGGTCTGTGGTCCGCTTTCGTTTTTAACACGATGAACTTTTAAATGGCCTTTTGAGCCTTTGATGCGATATACCGTGCTATTAACTCGCGCACATCTCATTTCATTATCATCATCGCCGCTGTGTTTTGTATCAGTAATAAAATCATAAACATTACTGCTGTTAATCTCCTCCCTTTTACGGCCAATAAACGACGCGATGCGTCGCTTTATCTCCGTTTCATCGGCTCTTATTTGCAGTAGATTTTTCGACACAATAGTATCATTGCTAATGGGACAGCAAATGTCGAAATTCATATGGGATTTAGCGCGCTTCAGGCGCTTTTGTGGCTGCTGCGCATGCGCTGTAAATAAAAGAAATGCAATTCAAAACGGACATTTAGTAGAGTAAAAAGAAGAGGGTGATGTTAAGATTTGGTCCAATGAAATTGTATATATTTGTATGTTAGTGATTTTTACAAAAAAATCGATATAGTTCTACTGATATGCAAATTGAACTACTACTTTGCTAAAATATTTGGTTAAAATTGCTTGGCATTTTGTTTGGCAGTTAAACATCGACGGGCTCTGACCATTTACATTCTTTGTTCTCTTTCCATGTCTCCTCACCTTCGTATTCACCGCCATAAATTTCCTTCTTCCAAATCGGAACGGTTCGTTTTAGTTCATCGATGGCAAATTGGACGGCCTCCAACGACTCTTGACGATGCGGTGAACTGATTGCAATGACAACGCTGCTCTCTTTGATCGGCACCAATCCCAAGCGATGATACAATGCAATGTGCAATACATCTGGCCATTTTTCACGAATATCATCACAAATTTTGTTCAACATTTTATCAGCCATTTTATCATAGGCCTCATATTTCAACGACAACACCTGTGTAAAAAATAGAAAAAATAAATAATCTGAAAATGTTTATTCGACAAAAAGAAGATTTGAAAAATTGAAGTACTAACGGGTTTATCATCGAAATTGTCTCTTGTTGTTCCGACAAAAAGTGATATGGCGCCACACCTCTCGTCCGTAACCAATTCGGAAATTGAATTAATGTCAAGCTTCTCCTTAGTTAGTTTGGTAAAATTCATCTTAAATTCGCCTTCTCTTTTCACGTTTTCCAAAATTAAAATATTTATCCGCCACTTATCGGTGGAATTACTGCCAATTCGTCTCCGGTTTTTAAGTGAAACACCTCAGTCGATTCGTCACGATAAACTATGTCTGTGTTGTGGGCAATTAAAAATCTGTTTTGCAGTGATTCCAAGTTGTACGTTTTGCTTAAATGTTCAGTAAGTTTTGTGTATGAAATTTGTGCAGGTAACTCGATTTCACATTCACTCAGACCAGCAAGTTCACGGGATTTGGCAAAAAATAGTAATTTTACACGAACAAAATCTTCCATAATTTTCTCATCAGACAGTTGCCATTGCAGATGTCGATCTGAATCTTTGATACACAGCAAACAATGTTAAAATGATAAGAAAATTGTCACAGACATTTGTTGATATGGTACGGTAATCGAGATAATTGAATCAACTGTCAAAATGTCAAACTTCATTGCGTTCGACGTGATTTACAAAATTACCAACACGCTGACATCCCTATCGAAAACCAATGATGTTATTTTTATTTCAGTTGTTTTTGTTTTATTTTTATTTTTTCATACATATAAATAGATTTCGTTTGAATGAGGAAATTCTTTTATTCAGCAAGAATTGTAACAATTTATGCGGAAAATATTTTTTATGTGAAAATATTTAGAAATTAATGTATATATGAACACAAATCCGAACCGAGCAACATTTAATGAGTATGAATTCTCTTCTTTTTAGCATAATTTCTTTCATAATGTTAAATGATGAACCTTAAGGCGAAAGAAAAATGAAATTCCTGTGCGACCATTTTAAAAATATAAGACGAATAAAAAAAAGCATTAAAATTCCATGAACATAAATCTTAAAAATAAAAACTAAAATTTATCCATTAAGGCATTTTGAACTTATTCACATGCAAAATTAATAGAATTCGTTCCAAGCAAGAATCGGATTATTGTTCTTGTATTGTAACTCTACGATGTGGGTGTATAATCGGAGTGCTGGGCCCAATTTCAAGCTAAAACGATTCAGTACATCTTCGCGTCTGATCAGCAATAATGCATCGCCATCGATTTGATTATCTTTCAACAACTGCACGTACTGAGGTGCGATTGCCATGAAATATGTGCATACCTCATCACAATCCCATTTCTTAACGTCGGGCACACTTTCATGCGGTGTGATTACCGTTTTCGTATCATAATCGAATGCAGCACCACTTTCTGGCATTTCCACATCGGTTTCCATGAATGTTGGTTCCACCAAATCCTTTCTAACCGCTATCTTCTTTGTGTTTTCGACTTGTGATGGTGGTTCATATGATTCAGTATTGTTAATATCATGATCCGGTGTTGGCGATGCCTTTTCTTTCTTTATTTCTGACTCCGCTTTCATTTCGACACTTTCGGCATTTGATGTACGATTTGATGACGATTGACTTGCTGTTTGATTCACCGGGAAGGACATTGCTTTCTTTGCCTTTGCCACCGCAGTACTTGTCTTGACCTCAATTTTTGTGGCTTCTTCATGGGCAAAACCGGGAAAACCATCCGATTTTCGATTTGGAATCAATGAACGTGTAGTCGATTCGACGATCGTCGGTTTCGAAACTGTTGTGCCTTTTGTACATATGCCACATGTAAACTTCTTTTTTACCACATTTTTTGGCAACGGTGCAAATTTACTGGAACAGTGTAAATGATAGGAATTCAAGCAAATGATACATTTGTAAAGTTGTTCCTATTTAAAAGACGAGAAAATGTATTTAAATTCAAATATCAAGCAAACAGAATAATAATAATAATATACATACAGTGGGTTTAAACTTGCGACAATGTTCGCAAATTTTACATGCTGGACACTGCCAGTTATTCTCTTGATCGGCGGTCTTGAACAGTTTATCATTTCGTAGGCACGTGAAATGTCCTCGTTTGATACAATCAATACAACTGACGAATCGACCTTTTTTTATATCAGCACGGCCACAAACGATGCAACCGGTTCCATCATCAGGAATGATAAAAGATGCTGCACATATTGTACGTCGTCGATTATTGATCGTAGCTGCATTTACTGGTGGAGTTCGTTTTGTTTTTTCCACATTCGTCATTGGCTCAGATTCCGTTGCTTTCGTTGATTTTTTCGACTTTGTTGTTTCCATATTTGGCAATGATCGACGTTTATCAATCGAATGCGATGGATCATAAAATACCTTTGGCTTGCGAACACGACCACTTCGACTCAGAGCCGGTTCGGGTGAATTTTGTTGATTTTGCGAAGAAGATGACATTTTTATGTTGCCTTCACACCAGGTATTTCAAGTGAATATGAATCTTTTCAAGAAATCAATGCTTATTTTTATGTTCGCTTCGTCGTTGTACTGTTCCTAGTTGATACGAAAATAACGTAAGTTATTTATCCTTAAATTTGCTTGAATTTAATTAATAATTAAGAAATTCAAATCTTATTCGTAAAACTGTATCTGTATTATGAAATAATTCCAAAAAAACTCACAATTTTATCAAAATTTTTATGTATTTCATTTCAAGGGTCAAACAATTAAAGAAAAGCATTGACAGCTTGTGTTATTGAGACAATAAGCCGGAATTATTTCTTAAAAATACGTTATTTGTTTGAATTTATTTTTAAACCTAGTAAAATCCCGTGAAAACTTACCACTTAATGTTTATAAAACACTCAATGGAATGCGTAAAATATTCGTCGATCTGCAAATATTTCAATTTAATATTTGAGACTGATTGAGACCAGTAAGCGAATTTATTCTTGTACGCAAAGTACCAACGAAGACCGAAATATATATTTATTGCTGAGTTTGACGATAGGTTGCGTTCCGGAATTCACGTATGCCATAGACACCGTTCATTGAGTGTGTGTTTCGAACGTTTACAGTAAATTTAGAAGAATAAAAAATATAAAATCAATAAATATTGTTGGAAAATAACCCCTTGCAACTTATTTTATCGAAAAATTTAACAATTATTGAGAGAATTTGCTTGAATCAAGCCATGAGCAAGATGTCAAATATCATATATGTGTATTGATGTATTCACATGTCAAACTTAACGTCATGTATGCCAAAGACCGCGATAAATGTGTTTTTATTTACCTGAAACCAATAAACAATAAAACGTGAATAAAATTTGAGCTCTCATGTCGTGAAAATTGCACCTTCACATAACGAATCATGGACGATGAATCAGAGTTAAATTTGTACAATCACATCGATCCATTTAGTTCTGCACCGGGTCCAAGCGAAAAAGTGAATAAATCAAAGAATGCAATAGCCAAAAATCATCAGAAGAAAGCCAATTTACAACGTAGCCCAAATAAAAACAAACAACAATTCAAGGTATCTGCTTTAATATGATTTTCAAATCACCTGTATTTTTACTAATCGCAATTTTGTTAAATGTTGTAGAAAAACCAAGGTCAACAACACCCTCAGCGAATTGAAAACAAGCTCAGTGCCGCTGAATTGTTATTTTTCCCAAAGAATCATGTGGTCACTCCGATAGATTCGGCACCAACGTGTCCAATCGATTCGAACCGGAAGAAAAATTATATGGAACAAATTTGCAAAATGACTCCGGACGAACGACGAAAGTTAAGAGGGAAACGGGATGCACGATATCTACATCAAAATGCAAACAAACAATTAGAAACCGATCCAACGGTAGTAAATGATTTGAAACATGAGATATGTGTGGATCATATGATCGGCAAATGTCGAATGAATGCCGCTGATTGTTCCAGATCACACTACATGAGATATCCACGTTTCTTTGGTGTGTGTAAATTTTATATAACCGAACGATGTCTTCATGGTGACTTGTGTCAGTTTATGCACGAAGAATTTCCATGTCGTTTTTATCACTTAGATTTAAACCATCCGAAAAATTTGGATGCAAATAATTGTCGATTCAGACACGGCGGACCACTTTCGGAGCAGTTGAATCGGTATTTTAGGAAAGAAATTAGACATTGGGTGGTTAAAATGTGTAAAGATAAACCAGAACAAGTTGACAACATGCTTAAAGATTATTTGGACAAGTTTGCAGAGAAACAAGACCGATTGCAAATGGAATATGGTGTTCAGATCAATGATTCCGCCACAATTATGATGTCTAGCGATGATGGGTCGAGACATGATACCTCTCTGTCGAGTAAACAGATATTAGAAGCGAAGGGCATCACAACCATTGGACAGATTAATAAAATCCCGATCGATGATTTGCTTGAGTACGGATTGATAATGGATCAAATACTTGAAATTACCACAAGCCAATCGGGTGATTTGGAATTAGTCGATTCCATTGACGCTATTGACGAACCTATGCTTGATGAAATGTCAACAAGCTCCTCTGACTCCGTTATGTATGGCTTCTCGGAATACGAAATGAATGAAGCCGAAGCGAACATACGAATCAAACGGAGCATACTTCAGCCGATAAATGTTGATTTTTCGGTGTCAAATAATGACCACCAAACAGAAGAGCCAAATATCAGTGAAACAAATGCCATTTGCCAAGAACAAAATCACCATTCTGATTCGGACGACAGTGATAGTGAACATTTAATAATAAGCGAAGAACTTTAAAGAAATTAATATTTATTCTTAAGCAGCTTTATTTTAAATAAACAGTTTTTTTATAAAAAAAAATACAAAAAATGAAATGGATTAAATGAATTTATATTTAGAAATCATCTGTCATCATTTCGTTCATGAATTTTTTGTAGATGGCCATGAAATTGGCGACAAATGCTTCGAGATGGAAAATATGTTTGCTACCCTGTTGCATACGATGTTCATAAATGCAGGCAAATTCGACGGTCTTTGCTTTCAACGACATATCACATTTCTTCACCAAATTTTCGACCAACGTCTTGAATATTGTGTCGGCCGGAATACCTTGTGCCAGCAATTCGTACAAACGTTCTCGAACCTTTTCTAATTTGGACGGAGTTTGTTCGGAGAGTATTTGATTGGCCGTTTCACGCAGGAAGATTTGCCATTCAAGTTCCATGATCTTTTGATTGGCGGTGAATGGATACTGTTGAGCTCGGGTTGCTTCAAGTAATAGGATGGCACGGCGAAGATTTCGATTCGATTGTGTTGCCATGCGCTCGGCCAATTCACGCGGAATGTTCAAACTTTCTTTCTTGCATATTTTCTGTAAAATAAAGAATTCTTTTAATCACAAACTCGGAAAAACAGCCGAATATCAATTTTGGACAGACTATCTTTAAAGAGTATCGGTTCGGGTTTCTTTTTTCTTAATTCTAAAAAGCAACTCACCACCAAAATGTCGGAAATCTCTTCAATCTTTGGTGCGGATACACGAATGCCCAAGCAACGACTTCGAATGGCCGGAATTACGCGTGACGTTGAATTTACGCACAAAACAATACGACATGTGCTCATGTATTTCTCCATGGTGCGACGCAATGCGTGTTGTGCATCTTTGGTCAAAGAATCCACTTCAGACAATACAATCACTTTAAATTCCCGCTGTCCGCTTTGATTTAAATTCCGTGTTTGAGCAATTTGTTTGATGAGCTCAACAACAACGATGCGATCATGAATACCGGCGTCCGATGGATTTATTTCCAAATGATAGTTGCTGCCAATGGTGAGAATTTCCATTTTACGATTTGATGCCGTTGTGAATTGGAACGTTTCATTTTTGATGTGCTCAACACCTTCACCGTACAATTCTCGCAACAAACATAAAATACGCGTCTTCTTACCCGCTCCACTCGGTCCAAAGAACATTAAATGTGGAAAATCACTTTGTTTCGCTAAATTTTTCAATTGTTGTGCCTGATCTTGATGATAATCCAATTCGTCAAGGACTCGAGGACGATATTTATCAACCCACAATGCCATTTTCTTCGTAAATATTTAAAGCCGGCAAAAAAAGTTAAAAACAAAACGATTCGGTATGAACGAGATGCAATGAAGTGAGTATAAATGTCAACGATGCTCACAAAATTTCAGCGCCAAAATCTGTTTACAAGGTGGTAGGTACTTTAAACAGCGGTTCAGCGGTAGACATTTTAAACGTCATTTTAGCTGAACCACAGCACAGTCGTATGTTTGACAGATAGACCGACTATGACAACAAATTTGTTGTTAATATTATCGCCGACGACGACTAACTATACTCGTTCCTTTATTTTTAATGCTTTAATTTAAAAAAAGTTAATTTTTTTTATTGTGTCTAGTATAGTAAATAAACTTTTATAAACGATTTAAACTCGACGAAATCAATAAGAATAATTTTTAAAATACGAATAAAAATGGGTGACGGAATGGATCGTAATATGCCAGAGTACGAGCAAATGCGGTCGCTAAAAATCTTTTCCGACGAAGAAATTCTGTAAGTATTTCACCATTTTTTGCCATTTTTTATATCGTTAATCAGTGAGCAATGATGTTTTATTGTAGAAAAATAAAAAAGACGCGAGAAAATTTTGAATACAAGATCACACAACCATCCAGAGTAATCAAAGATTATGTCGAATATATAAAATATGAACGAGGTTTGATTGCAACGACCAAAGAACGAATAAAACAACAAAAAATCAACACCAGTCATTCGATTATAATGCAAATTGCCGATCGCATGAAGAAATTGTATGCTCAAGCTCTGTCAAAATTCACGAACAACATCCGCTTTTGGGATGAATACGTTAAATTTTTGCAGACATTTAAATATATCAAGGATATTTCGCCAACGTTTGAACGAATGTTACAGGTTTGTCCGATGCGAAAAATGCTTAATTTTTGAGGTTTCAATGATTTTTTTTTACCGTTTTCAGTTCCACTCAGACAAAGTCGATGTGTGGATTCGCGCAATTTTGTGGGAATTTAAAGAGAATTTCAACGATGAACGCGTCAAAAGACTGCTGCTACGTGCGCAACAACGCCACCCAACGTCTGAAAAACTCTATCTTACATTCTTCCAAATCGAATTGGAGAATAAGTGTCAATCGGATGAGTTGGAGGCATTGCAACATGCGGATGTTGTTTACAGCAGCAGCAAAAAGAAATTCACCAACATTGATTTTTACATTGAGATGCTGAACATTGTCGATAAATTCAAGTACGCCAGCTCAATTCAACAGACCATATTGGAGGATATGCGAGTAATGTTTCCGCGTGAAGAAATTTTATGGCATAAATTGGCACAGCGTGAATTGAATGGCCTGTCAACGGTTGATTCTACGATGGACTTTAGTGGTGTGATAAAGACGGAAGGCGGTGAATGCAACGGCGAAGACAGTAAAGAGGGTTTAAAAAAGCTTAAAATCGAAAATCTATCGGCTCCACCACAGCACACACTCAGAAAACGCATTGAATTATCGACTTGTATTTATGAAGAAGCTGTTAAGCAGGTATGTTTTCAGCTTTTAAATGCGACATTGACTTGGAGCTCAATTTTTAAATAATAATTTTTCATCATCGATTTAGATTGATACGAAAAAAATGTGGAACTATTACATCGAGGCCATGATGGAATTAAATAGCGATTTATCCACACAGCCGGTATTGAAGAGGTACGCTCTGCGAAGGGCATTCGAAGGAGCAAATGAATCAAATCATATGTCCGAAGATCATTATTTACAGTATATTCATCAATTAATCACAAACAATCCACAAGATGAGGCCATTGAAAAGGTCTTCCAAAAGGCGACGAAAATGTACGAGAATTCATTAGCCATATGGCTTCTGTGTTTGCGCTATTACATACAGAATGAAAATGGTTTTTCAAAGGTCCAAGAGAATTTCAGAAAAGCTAAAATCGTGCTCGGCCCAAGGGGCGCAGAAGTATGGGAATTGTATTTGATATACTTGAAAACAAACTGTACCAAAGCCGAAATACAACGCGAATTCAAGGCTTTCATTTTGGAATTGTCACTTCTAAAGTATGCCACATTCAATCAATTGAAAGCGCAAGTCTTGGAACTTGTAGCAACTACAGCCAAAATGAAACGAGCCCGTGAGGTTTATGAAAAATTCATTAAAGATCATCCCGATGGCTACGAATATCATGACATGATGGCCACGTTGGAAGCAAAACAGGTAATTAAATCGATCAGAAACAATGTGAAATTCAAAGTTAAATTGAGTTTCTGTTGCTTCGTCTTATAAATTTAGATGAAACGCGATGTGGAGAAGGAACGAGAATGCATGGATAAGTTGATAGAACATTTTGGTAAAAGCCGGGCTGATGTATGGTTGCGTTATATGCGCTTTGAACGTAATGCTGGTGAACCGAAAAATGTGAGCAAATTGCATAAAACTGCATTGGCCACACTCAATCCAGAACTCTTAGATGATTTCAGTGCTCAGTACAACTTTTTCTCAAACGGAGTCGTCTAACATATCTTATATTTAATTAGAGACTATCAAAAACTGACATAATAAATGACTTTCTATTATTGTTTTATACCAATTGACAGTGAACACGTCGATCTTTCAATTTTTGTCAATAGAATCCAAAAGACTTGCAATTGACGACTTTAAGTTATCATAAATCAAAAAAATTGTTAATTAGTTTCCGATTTTCAGACAAATATATAGTATATTAGTACTGACGATCCTAGGCAGAGTTTTTAGGCATTCAAATAAATTCCAATTAAACAATGAACAAATTTCATTTTATTTATGCAACACAAAACACATCAAAATAGATAAAATATGAAAAAAATCGGTTTTTAATAAACATCTTGTTGAAATATTTCTGGTGTTGGCATAGCTATGGTTGCAGCTAGAATAGGTTTGGCTTGATTTGATTTCAAGATCATAACTCGAACATTGGCTGTTTCCGGCGTGAGATCCGATGGCTGTAGACCATCGTCCGCATCAACAACGGCCGTCACCGGAAAGTTTATCTTGATCGGCGCACCCGGCACAATCAATGGCAACTAAAAAGGAACAAAAAAATCAGCAACTAATCCAAACAATAAATGTGTACGTTCATACCCTCTGAAACGCTTTTTTCAAAAGAAAATGATGATGGTTACTGTGTAGTAGCACGCATAAATCAGATGCAATTTTGCGCGATGACATATTCTCAATAGTTAAGAAAAGTTGAAAATCTGGTCCCAAACCACACACCTCTGCCGCTATTTTAATGGGCGTTTGGCCAATATCACCCGATATTGTACTTTCCGAAGAATTGATTACTTCAACTGTCTCCCGAGCAGCTATCAATCTCAAACGCCACAGTTCAGTTAAGAAATTGTTGTAAATTGCTGGAGCATTTTCTCGTTCCCGCACTGTTTGTTCAATAAAAACCTTGGTCTTTTTCGGGATTTGCAGTGAACCCGATCGCTCGGTATGCCGGTCATAGAAATCAATGGTCTCCACGGTAAATTCAGCCGTTCTTTTTAGAATTTTGATAATTAACGATCCCTCTACAAAATGAAAAAATCATGTTATTTTTTCCCATGGATAATGAACACGTCTTACCGATTGTAATTAAAACCAATACATGATCTTCTTGACCCAATCGACCAAAGGACATTGCCGACACAGTTTCTATATAGTATTGAAGAAAGATATTGTTTAAGGAAAAATTGTGTTTAGAATTTGAGCATCCGACTCTCATTACCAGAAACGGTAAATTGATCAACGATGACTTTATTCGAATAGATCTGCACTAGGCCGCCGCGCAACGCCACACAGACCAAAGTTTGACCAACATGAGATAGTGTTATTGATACCATGCACACAGCTGGTTCCGGCAAAGTTACGCCCCATAATCGTTTACCTATGTAGGGAAATTTGGAGAGAAGTTGTGAGAGGAATTCGAGTCCAGTCATTTAGTAAACCGACCACAGGTATAATCTATCTATAAATGATTGTTGCTGTAATCGTTTACCTTTCTTCGAATAGCATTCCAGCGTTTTGTCAATGCAAACAACAATTATCGTTTGATCAATGGGCAACAGAGATAGACCGACGGCTGGATAATCGATTTTGAAAATGGATTTTCCTTCAAACCAACCTTTTCGTAACATACAAACGTCTCCCTGGCGTGTTGCTACAACAATACGAAAATCATGGTCATACTGTCCACTCACAGATATCAAACTCGGTGTTGCGGTTATCGATGAAAAGGTACGAGCCTTCAAAAAAAAAAAAACAATTAAACATTTCGTGAATTTTATGGTTGAATTCGTTCATTTCAATTAACTTACGTGGTGCAGTACCGAAAATGATTGCGTATCCAGAATAATAATTTCACCCGATTCACTAGCTATAATAAGATATGAAATATTACTTGAACTGCTCGCATTCCGTCGAATCGTATCCATAGCAACGATTGTTGGTAATCTCTGTAATTCTTTTTCTGCATTTTTGGCAATGAAATCCTATCAAAAGACCGAAAAGTTATAATTTGCATGAAATTGGTCAAGGTTGGATGTGTGACACAGTACTTGCTGTTCATCTTCCGGTAACGAAATCAATTTCTGTGACATAAGAGTCAGTTCGCTAATTCGAATTGTTTTCAAATTTTTTATTAACTCCGGAATTTGTACCGATTTTTCAAACGGCAACTGTAAGCAAAAGACCACGATTATACATACACACACACATTCAAATTATAGTGCAGTGATTTATATTACAAATTTATACCTTTTTCCATATATCTTTTTCAAGTGGATCTATTTTTAAACCGGGAAATGTGTACTTAAAAAACGGTTTCATATTTTTGTAGAAATAAACAGCTGGTCCGATGGAAACGGCAATCACTGTTCAATAAACCAAATTCAGTTAGACCATTCCGATCTATTTTTAGATATACAACATATGTACATAACTTGCCTGGTAATTTTGGATCGTTATCATCAACATAGAATGATTTTAAGCTTGACGGAATGCCTGGTAGCGTTTGTTCGCTAACAAGTTGAGTTCCTTTGTATACTTTTAACTTTGGTTTTTCATCCGTTTTAAAACTTTGCGGAATTTCCACAATGACCAGCTTGAAATACCCATCATTTCTCAAATCAACCAATGTTAAATATGCTGGAAATGTCCGAAGTATGGTATTTTGCTCGGATTGAGCGTCTAACCACTTTTTTGATGTTCTATCGAAATACACAAATTTTGTTCTTATTTAAATAATTTTGAAAATTGCGATAAAATCACTCACCTCATTTTGTCAATCACTCTTTTGTAGAAAAATTCTGAACACGTTGATATTTCAATGTGACGTTTTTGATTCGTGTTTAGTTGCCGTTGGCTTGGCAACCAATGCTTGTCAATATTTTTTTGTCACTATGTTTGCCAACGAAACAAATAAAAACAAAAGAGATTCAATCAATTTGAAATAAAACAACCACAATTGATGACTTCTTACAACTTTTTTTATTATTATTTTTGACTTTTTCTTTCATTTGTTTTTTTTTTTTTCATCTGCAGTTTTTGAAAAATATACACTCAAAATGAACATGATTTTTTTTACTTAATTAAATTTATCGCATTAATTTTTGGTCATTTCCCGATTGCGAACCTTATGAAATATTCATGGTGGTTTGTTTAGTTACTCTTTTCTTACCTCGAAACACACTTATTAGTCAAATTTAATGTATGGGATAAATATTTGCTTTCAATGTTCTAATGTCTAATATTGATGAAACCAGTTATTTGTCTACTCAAAGGATAGTGAAGATAAGAAAGTATGAAGAAGTGTCACCCTTCAAATTCCATGCCTATCTATTTACATAGTTCAAAATGCATTGATAATACCTGCTTCATTCTCTTTTTTTCTTTTTTTTATATTTATATTGTTACCCATTTGATTTTAAAGTTTAAATTTTCTGATTTTTTTTTTATCTTTAGAATGTGTTCGTAAATATTTGTTTCAGTCACATGGTGCTAATATAGTTTGCTTGCATTAGAAATATATATCTATATATGTAGAGTTAGAGGTTGATAAAAATTATTTTCATTTGTTAGAGACAACATTTACGACGCGCTCGTGTGTGTTTTTTGGGTGTGAGAGGCGAAAAATAAGTTAAAGCTATACAATTCATTCTAAATTTGCCTAGTGAAATGACACAAAATCAGTCAGCGATACACAAGTACACAAACAAACAAAATGAAAAGTGCAGAAGATATCCAAAAATTCCGGAAGATTTCGTGCAGTGAATGAATTTAATAGTTCGAAAAGATCAAAATTGTGTCTAACGTTCACAAAAAACATTCAGAAAAGAAAATACCAAAATTCGAAATCATACAATCAATGAAAATACAATTTCACAAGGTTTTAAATACACAGTATCAATCTACACACCACACACGATATAGTAATTTTCTTTCTGATTTTGCTTGATGCTTCTTTTTTTTATAAAAAAATATATGTATATATGTACCGAACACTTTTTCAAACGATTAACACTCGGTGAGATGCATAAATATGTGACTTGAAAACGTTAAATTTTTCCATGTTTCTTATTCTTATTCGATTCCTAACCGCCCAATTTTTCTTTATTAAGTGACACAATAAAAAAAAAATGTTTGGAAAAGAAAATGTGATTTTTGTTTAAATGATGCTTTTGTTACTGTTGCGTTGATTATGTTTGTTATTCATTCGTGGTAATTGTTGGATGCAAGTCTTTCATAAACGTTTCAAGACTCGTTTTTTATCTTTTCCTAGTTTTTCTTTTCGCTTATCTTGGGCATTCGTTCGATTGTCAAGCGCATGCTTTTTCGATTGTGGACCATCATCTTTGATTGAATCACCATCAATTTTCAATGCTTTCGATGTACGTTCGGTTTGTGCATGAATTTCCGTCATCATTTTTGCACGTGACGAAAAATTATCGTAATGTTCAAGCAATAATTTACCAGCCTCTTCATTCAATGCAGACTCAGCATTTGGGACGATCAACAAACACTTTATCGTCTGCAAAATGGGAAAAAAATGAAACTTAGTATGCAACATATTGTGAATAATAGTGATGAAATAGAGATGCATACCAAAAGAATGTGTTTAATGCCCAAATCTGGTTTCCAGTCCCTTTTCAATGTATTAACGCAGATTTCACCATTGGCAGCAACATTTGGATGGAAGATTTTTGTAAGAAAATATGCTTTTGGTGGTGTTGCTGGAAAATCTTTGCCCAGAACTAATTTCACCCGGAAAAATCCATTTGCATATGGCGTACCAGCTGTAATAATAATTCACTTATTAATATTTGGCCATAAAATTTGAAAGCGTCGTTCTTGTGACATTGCCAAAACAAATATCACATTACATATGCCAACAAAAGAAAAAAACAGTGTTTACAAACCTGGTCCTTCAAGCACAGCTTGAATATCGGTTACGTCTGAATCGTTGATTTGTACTTTAATGCCTTCGGGTGAATTTGTATGGATCTCGTGCATTTCTTTTACCACTTGCCGAATGATTTGTGGCGATAAATTTTCTACATTTGATGACTGCATAAACAGCATTGCAACGATGAATCAAAAAAATAAATAAATAAGAGAACGTAAGTATGAGAAGAAACAAAACAAAAATGAGTATGAGTATGAGTACAATTAAAAATAGCCAACTATCATATGAATTTTGTGTGGCTTTTTGGAGAATGAATGATCGTGCAAAGCTGCAAATTTGATTGCGAGAATTTCTATTTAAAAACAAATTCACAACATTTGCGCTAAATAAATAATTTAGAAACACAGTAACTGTGCATACAATTGTCACTTCTTTTTTTTATTTTTATCTAACATGAATACCAAATCGATTTTCTATTCGAATCATTCGAAATTGTGCAAAGCGGATACGCGATTTGTCGATCACAATGTTAAATGTCACACAAGAAACACGGTAGAAAAAAAGAAAATATTTTATACTTACGGCATTCATTTTGTTGTTTTCGTTCTTTTTTTGGTTAATTATTATAATGAATTATTTGGAGATTTAAATTTAAATTGGCTTGGAATTGGTTTTTGTACACTTGCAACAGAAAACCGTTGAGTTTTTTTTCAACTTCGTATATGCTTTAGTTTTGTGTATGTATCAATATAAACTTGTTTCACGTTTCTATATTTTGGTTCGGTTGATTCGAATCTGCGACTTGTTCTGATGAAACGTCGTTCTCTCGCTCTCACACAAATGTACTTTTTTGCATTTGTTTGTATTGCACGAATTATGTACGAACGATTATAACTATATTTCGAATTACTTCTGTTTCTCTGGTTAGAGTTTATGACTGTTGTTTATTACTTTTATGCCACTATTAACACGGTTAAATAATCTATTAATTTGGAATACATTGACTAATTACGAAATGACGAAACGAAAAAAAGTCAAAACTATATTTGATTGAAACGTCGCTAACGACAGAGTTGAAGACAGAACAAAATAAATATGTCTATTTGACTCTAAGATTTAATGAACGCTGTGTGTATGTGTGAATAAAGAAAAACTCATGCCAACCGAAAAATAGTGTGTATGCGTGATAAACGAACGAACGACTAAACAACATACAATGCTTCGAGACGTTTTCCAATGTGTTTTATTGTTGTTGTTGTTGCTGCTACTGCTGCTTTGCTCTAGTCTAGTAGAAACAAATACACACACGCACCATAGACCTATAGACCGTATTTCTTAGATTTGAATTGAATTCAATGCGTTCTCTCTTTTCAACTCGCTTCAATTGAATCAAGTGCTTCCCATACTGTGAATATGATGAAAACGACGCGCTATACTGTCAAACCATGTTTTGACTATTCGTTAAACAATCATCACATACATTCGTCTCGCTCACTCTTGCGCAATGCCATTGTATAAACATACCACATTTGAAGCGAGACACTATACCATGCCGTGCAGTACAGTCAGAGCATTTGTGTATTCAACGGTTTTTGGCGAATTCGATCAATGTCACATCTGCATCTCTTTTCGCCACCACAGCGAAATGCCGATTTGAAAAAAAAATTCTGTGCAACTGGCAACTAAAACCGAAATCATCACCTTCAATGCTCCGAGAAAAACACATTTCGATGATGAATGTGCTGTGTGCGTAGTTTACACAGACGAATATAAATATGCACGGATGTCAAACATTTACCGATATTTACACGGAATGACACTTTGAGACAACCTTTTTTTAAACATTGCACATCACAATTTCACAATTTCACCACTATTACTTTTTGATTGATTTTTTTTCGGAAAAGTGAAGATTTTCTTAGTTTTAAATTGCATTTCGCATGAAATTACATTTTGAATTAAAAAAATGGTACGCGAAAGACGTAAATCGTTTTATGTGGCACGAGATAAAATTACCAAAACTTGTAATGTTCTGAATGCGCCATCACAATCAACTATTGTGCAAAGTAATCCACAAAAAAGGGCACGGAAACGATTAGAGCAAAAACCAAAGCCACAATCTCAACCGGTTCGATCGAGCAATCGCTTAAAAGGAATTCCTGCTACTTTTGTTGACATTAGCTCGAGCTCGAGAAAGCAATCTACCAAAACATCGGATAATTCATCAAGTCAAGTCGAAAGTTCTGAAAATGTCGACCGGCCACAACGAATTCAATGTCGACGTTTTACCCTGGCATTGGAACGACTGAACTCAGATAAAATCAATGAATTAATTGGCGCCGCACGAAAACGACAAAGGAGTTCATCTCTATCAGATGATGACGTCGTTCAGCCAGATCGAAGATTGAGCTCATCGGAGCCATCGAGTAGTAATATCGCACAGTCATCAGCGAGAAAAATAAGAATGCGACGGTGCACGGTAAATATTGAACGAATTGATACATCACACTACGAAGATGCGCCGCCGACAATCGAAAATCGTGAAACCTTGCCACATGATGAGCCAGATGCAACACAATCAGTTGCATACGATGATATTGAAGATGAAATTGACTTGAACACATTAACAGTGCCGTTGGGGGATGGAAATGAGCCCGATTTGTCATATGAACTTAATGAACAAAATGAATTTGGTGATGATCTCAACGTGGTTTACCAGCAATCGACATCAATGGATATATTGGGACACTGTGAAAGTGCCACTTCATTTGTTCACGTACGGGGAATGAGCTCAGTCATTTCCGATCAAAATATTCGAAATAATTCAAGGATGCCATTGTGTGATCGAACATGGACCCCGGCTGCCATTGTTTCTCAAGCAGCAATTGAACGACGACATCGATATTCACAGCACTCCGGAGATTCAGATATTCCATTGAACCAATTGAAACATTTGTTGGTAAGGGATGATCAAGAAGATATCACTACCTACTACAATGGATCATCGGATGACGATGAAACCACACATTATTCGCGAGCTTTGGTGCCATATGAACCGCGACAACATCAACAACAAGAAGAAGTGCAAATGTTTACACAAAATTCATGGGATAATTTCCATGCGGTTAATTCCACTGGCGTTGAATTTTCACGGTCCAGTAATGAACGTGATTACTTCAGCGAAACTGGCTTCGTCGAACCAAAAACATGTTTTATGGACTCGAGTAACATTTCATATGGTCCGTTCATCAAATACAAAACCATCACATTTGCAGTCAACTGTTTTGATCATGGCGACGAAAACATTGAACATCATTTTCTGAGTAAATTCAATCGCAAGCATTTCGCAGCTCTAAGTACACAGTTCTCAGGGTATTTGTATACAACGGATATAACAGGTGAGTTTGAAACTCTTACAGATCGGTATAGAGAAGTTGAGAAGTATTTTCACTTTTAGCCCGTTTGCTGTTCAAATATTCAAACGTGAATACAAGTCAAATTCGTGTATTGAAATATGGCGAAACGATGGTGATCCGAGGTGCAAATGTGACGGCAATTGAAGTGCCACAGTAAGAAGAATGAGATTTGTTTTTTTAATTGACATCAATTACCGTAACCATTTTTTAAATTGAAACCAATAGATTTCCGGGCGGTGCATTATTCTTGTTCGAAGCCACAGACGAAAAATCAATAGTGCATGTTGGAGATTTTCGACTAACGAGTGAACTAGAATTGGATACAAAACTAGTGAATACCAGCATCAACCATGTTCGATTTGATAAATCGTAAGTGTATTTTCCCACAATTGTCTAACGTGATCAATGTCAGTCAGCGCTTGTTTTAATATGACTTTTCTTTTCGGTGTTTTTTTTTTTTAGAATTTTATCGCGTTTATTTTACCATTTCAAACCGGACGGTACAGATCGATACATGGATTTGCTGATTGAAACGGGTGAATTCAGTAAGACTAGCAAACTGAATGGTCTGAGTCATATTATTGCAATCGGAGCATTTGAGATTGGCATGGAATCATTAATTCTTCGTTTAGTTGCTAGTTTTCGATGCAGAGTATATATGTCCAAGGAACAACGAGATTTCCTCCAAAGCATGGAATTAGGTGACGATCCCGATTCTTCAATTCAAAAGCTATTCAATACATGTGTTGATAACCCAAAGGATGCATTCCTTCACGTTCTGCCTGTTGAAGACATAACGATGGAAGTGAGTCATTTATTTAATTTTCATTCTAAAAAAGGCGGAAGTAACTAATTATTTGTTTTAACTTATTGATTTTAAGAGACTGATAACTTATGTAACCGCACATAATTTTCATCGAGTTCTGGGAATTCGTCCTCGTGGATGCGACATATCTTCACAAACAGTCATTGAATCGGTGCATAAGATAGTGGGTAAGATTAATGCGTACAGTCTCAATGAGATAAGCACACACTTACAAGGTCGCTGTTATATACAGATATGAAATCATGAACAAATTATTGAAAAAAAAAAATCATTTCGTATATCAGCGGCTAAGATTCACAAACTTTGATGATGTAATCTCTTCCATTCTTTTAACAGACATTCCAAATCCATTGATTGGGGACATCAGAGAATATGATCGATTCGTCCGAATGCACGTAGACCAAGACCAGATCATTAATCCACACGATTATGGTAGCGAGAATCCTTGTCGTACTGTTGTACGATCACAACAAAATCAAAACCAAAACTACGATTATTATTAGAACATTGAAATCAAATCCGGTAGCAGCGATATATGTAAGTCATTGTATATATTTTAAAAAGTGAAAGTAATTTGAAATTCCAAATAATACTTAAAATTTATGCATGATTATCGTGCATACAAAGACCATTATGATGTTATAAATACTGGTTTGAGAGACAACGCAACATCAGTTGTGTGTGATTTGCTGATTCCAAAACACTGTTGTGTACTCTGTCGAGTGCAACTTTCTCCAAAATGTTTAATGATATATTTCGACAATGAGACACACTCAAATGGAATGTAAACATGCGCCCGTATTAGCGTACACATCAGACGGACAGACACTTTGACTGTTTTTGCCGTTCTCAATTAGGCGCGTCAGAATTCATTGAACCAAGCAATATTGCAATGCATTTAAAGGAAAAACGTAATTAGTTAGGAAATTGAAAAGTCGTTTGGTCTTGAGCCGCACTCATAGCCAGAACCAGACACATCAACAGTCCGTTGAAACTTCGCTTATTGCTTTTAACTGTGTCGCAACGCAGTAATTTACCGTTTAAATTTTCATCGCTTACCACACAATATAGCGGTATTGTACGAAGGTAGGGATAGTTATTTACATTCAAACTATATACATATTTCAGTTGTAAAAACTCCATACAAGTCAGTCAACTGAAAATTATCGAACGATCGACATAAACTATTGTCGCCGACACAGTTCATTTTACCGATTTTCGATTTCTTTGGTTTTGTTTTTCGATTGTAGATCAAAGTATATAATTCATTCAAAATGATCGAAAGTGTGAATTTATCGAGCATCCATTCAAATAGCCAATATAACAAGAACAGTGAATCGCTCATCAACAATAATTATCGTCTTACATTTCCATATAGTATTAAAACCGTCGATCCGATTATTAACCAAAATTTACTTGACGACTTCACTGGTACATCCATTTTGTTTATTTTTATATTTTAAGACAATGAAGTAAATTAAATTAAGAATCACGAATTTGTATTACAAATAAACAAGTGTATGAAAAAAGAAACGACCGTGTTTATAAAGACAGAAAAAAACGTTATGTCAACACGTTGTAAAATGTTAAACGGAAAATGAAATTTGATGATTTAATATTTATTCACGCCATTTAGTTATGCAAGCAACTTTCAAAATACGAACATTTTTTTACTTGAATTTTTATTAGTCGGAAGTTACAAATGCACAAAAATAATGGGTGGCGCTTTGTGGTTTTTTTGTCCCATTTTTGAGGTGATGAGAAAATATGCATCGAGCAATGAAATGCATTAGTATTTGTATAAAATGTGATTCTTGTGAAATTCAAGTAAAAGTAAATATTTGTCTAAATTAACTGACTGACGAGGTCGTCGCTTCAAAAATCATATTTTAAACAGATGAGTATGATTATTTCCAGTTTGTTTGGTGCAATTATTTTTTTCATATTTTTGATCTCATTGAAAAATCGTTACTCCGTAGAACAAAACAATTCATTTGGCTGTTAGCTCTCAACCATTTTTTTTTTTAAACAAAAACAGTGAAGTCTAAGCAATTGATATTATTATTATGAATGAACTGAACCATAACAGCTTATATTTCTTATGAAATACGCTTTCGACTTCAGTATTCTATTCAAGTGCAGAATGCAATTTGAATATTTTCGTTATATGGAAAATTTGTTCAAATAACTGCGGTTTATTATTCCGAATATTCTAAGAAAACTATAATAGTATTTATTTATGCTTTAAAATTTATAATGTTTCGTTTACGATCTTTGCTCAGTTAGTTATTTGTAAAATGATATTTCTACGGGCAAATGACTATTTGCTTAGTTAGATGTTATCGAAAGCATTGATAAAAAATGAAAACCACACATGAAAATCACACATTTTGTGAGAAAATGTAGTTAAAGATTCCGCATTAGAATTGATCTTCTTTCATGCATCTAAAATGCATCATGTTATCTATTCGGTTCGATAAGACCGACATTTATTAGCATTTCTGATTAATCTTTAAATCTTGCAAAAATAAACAAGAATAAAAAAAACTTAGTTATTCTGATAAAAATTTACGTGAAATTGCTTGTGTTCACAAGAATGTATATAGGATTGTGAATAAAGTGCATGCATTTAAAACAAGTCATTTGCCCCTCGTGATATTTCCAATGAATATTGAATGAGGTGTTTGAAATGAAAAATAATAAGATTTTTGCATCGGAATTGCATATCCGATTTGTTTCGACGCGAATATCAAAAAACATCTGGATTGCAGTTCATAAATATTAACCAGCAAACCAGTTATGATTACCTGTGTCTCATGCACACAACAAGCTAAGCTCTTTGTTGAATAAAAACTTTGCATTTTATGTACTTATGATCGTTGAAAGGAAGTTATTGTTTTACAATTACGTGTAAAATAGCACACTTGTTGTAGACGATATTATTTGAATGATTCCAAATGAGATTGTTTTTATTCTAACTATAGGTGAAAAAGATGGATTCGTACAGGTCGGTCCAAAGAAGTATCTATTTCCGGGTACATTTAAGAAGCATGCAGAGCATTTTTACAATTTCCAAGCACGCAATGATGACATTTGGATTGCCACTTATCCTCGTTCGGGAACCACATGGACCCAAGAATTAGTTTGGATGATTGCCAACGATTTGGATTATGAAGCAGCACAACGTGACTTTCTCACCAAACGATCACCATTTTTTGAGTAAGTATTTTGCGGCAAATATTTATTTTTTTCGATGGATTGCTGATCAACTGACTAATTCAGTGGTTTATTTAAAGAGTCCGACCATTAATAGTAATTTGTTTATTTTTATTTAATCAGATTCTGCGTTTTCATGCACGATAAAACCAAGAAAATGTTCATTGAAGAACACGAAGGCAATGTACAAAATCAAGATATGATCCGAACTATAAGCGTTCCCGGCTATGAATTCATTCCGAATATCACTGAAAAACGATTTATAAAAACACATTTGCCATTTTCATTAATGCCACCGAGCGTGATGAATGAACGTGCGAAAATAATTTACGTTGCTCGTAATCCAAAAGATGTTGTCGTTTCATATTATCACCTTTCCCGTTTGTATCGAACCACCGGCTATGTTAACGATTTTGATAAATTTTGGGAGTACTTCGAAAACGATTTAGGTAAAGCAATTTCTTACTTCTTTTTTTAAAAAGTCTCTTTTTCTTTGAAACGAAAGAGAAAAGACATCATATTTATCTGAATAATCAAAAATTGTTTTATTTTTATCTGATCAATTTAGTTGCTTGGTCTCCATACTGGGATCACATTAAAGAAGGATATTCGCATCGTCACGAACCAAATGTCTTGTTCATGTTCTATGAAGAAATGAATAAAGTAAGTTAAAATCGTTGGTCTTTTCTTGCCGATTTTTATTGAAAACCATTTTTACAATTTAAATGTTCATTAAATTATAGGATTTACCAGCGACGATTTCAAAGGTGGCAAAATTCCTAAACAAAACCATGAACGAAGAGCAAGTGGCAAAATTGGCTGACTATTTAAATATAGAAAATTTCCGAAATAATGCAGCTGTAAATCAGCATGAATTACGCGAGCTTCGCATTTTAAATTCAACCGAACCATCGTTTGTTCGTAATGGCAAGTCCACACGGAAAGGATGGCAAAAAGAATATACACCGGAAATAATTGAACGGGTAGAAAAATGGATTGAAAAAAATTTGGCCGATACAACTCTACGCTTCCCGGATTTCTCTTAAATAAAACATTTTGTTAATGTTTTCTCCCCAAATTCTAATTTATTTTTTTAATAATTTAAAAATAGACAAAAAGTATGCATATGCCTTAGTTTGTAAGTGTTTCGATGTATCGTCGATTGTTACCGGATTTGGTGATTTTTTTTGTAGCATTTTGATTATGATTGAATATATTTTTAGTTGAATAAAAACGCCCTGTGTTTCTTCTTATTGAATTCGCCATTGTACTAAAATCAATAAATGTATGCGCTGGCAATACTACATAGGAATCGAGGCACCATCGCGTTAAATATATACCAAACAATAATCAAAACAAAAACAGCAGTTCATTAGCAAGCGCCAGTGTGCCATGAGTATGTATGCGTGTGTGAGTGTGTGTGAGAGTGTGAGCACTAATACAAGCCAACGGTTTATTGTAGTTTTTAGTACAACTGGCACCAATACAGCATTAGCGACGCTATTGTACGCATATACACTGTCAGTCAGTTGAAAGAATTGAATCGACGCATTAAGACGGGTGTTGCGACTACTGCGATCAATTATAAACAAAACTTGAGTGAAAAATTCGAATTGTGCTGGTGAATCTCGTTGCGAGTGAAGTGAATTCAAATCAATATTCTTTGTTAAAAAGTTTTCAATAATTCAGAACCAATCATTCCATTTGAATTTTTGCGCATTTTCAACATAATGGCCGAAGCAAATACTGAGCAGGTAATATTCGTACATACATGGTATAGGGCTGTGCATAGGGAAAATAAACGCAAAAAGAATTATCGATTTTTCCCCCAAGTGATTCATATTACGTTAATTTTCTGTGCATTGATTTTTAACCGATTCTGCTTTCGTTCGTTTTCGTTTCTTTTTTTCTCTCTCTCTCTCTATCCACACATGCAAACAAAATTTGAATGGAATTAGGGAAAAGAGTTTAATAAATTAAAACATGACTTGGAAGAGCATCGAGAGTTAATTTTACTTCTCAGTTCCGTGCTAAAATGGGAGAAGAAATTCTATCCAGGAGTTATATTTGGCGCAATATCATTTTTGTTCCTGATTTTATGGTTTTTGAATTTGTCGCTGTTGACATTGGTCGGGGTCATCGGTGTCGTCTGCATTCTTATTGATTATGGATATCCAATCGTTTCGAAAATCATTTTTAAACCAGAAAATTGGACTGGCGCCCAAGAGAAGGCCTACGAAGAGGTCGTCAACGAAATTTTAGCCATCAAATTGAAAGTATGCGGTATCACCAAATATGCATGCATACCGAAAGAAGAAAAAACAATTGTGGTGAGTAGACAATTTTTTTTCTAACGAAAAATGTGATTTTATGTGGATTAAAGAAAAATTCCACGTAATTTAATCCATTTAAGTTTTTTTTTTTGATGACGTAATCATGCTTTACATGAGCTCAAGGTCTCTTGGCACGTACATGATGAGAGTTAGAAAATGGAATTCATTGTGATTTTTTTTTCATTCATATTGTACCACGTATCATTCGAAATTGCGGTGCGCGTAATTTGTTGCGCGATGCGCAATTTTATTAAATTGATTCGTGTTGTTAATTGCTAAAATGTGTTTGATTTTATGACTATATATATGTGTGTTTTTTTTCTCTCTCCTTTACAGTACTACCTCGGCGCTGCTGGTGGTTTTATTGCGCTCGCCTATATTGGCTCAGTCATAGACAACTTTTTGTTGAGCTATTTGGCTATACTCGGTGTTGCATTGTTCCCCGGTCTCAGTCGTCATGGTGTCGGTAAAATTGTCATCGAAAAATTGCTGGACCAAGTAAAACAAATCAAAGAAAAAACCATCAAGAAAAATTAAACGAACAAATAATTAAGCACGCGCTCGACGCACCTTGCATTCCCAATAATCATTTTATTTTTCTCAATTTGTGTGCGTGTGTGTGTATGTCCGTAAATGCGTTTCCGCTTTTCCGATGATAAAAAAAAATCAACGGCCCAATAATAACAACACCGATTTATACACACATAGACCGATAAACAGTAAAAAAATAATAATAATAAAAAATGAAAAACCAAAGCAACCATCGCATGAATTGCTACATTTTTTTATTTTTCGTAATGGCGTGCGTTGAGCAGTGATTTTCAATGCTACAGCACAATTTAGACGTAAATTATTATTTAACAAGAAAAAAAGAGACAAAAAAATCTACTAAAAAAATACATTAAAGATATTACATGTGATTCATAACATTTAATCTTTGATAATTTATAAAATGATGTTTACATGACCCACACAGAGCAAAACATTTGAGAGCATTGTACGATGAAATTTGATTGTTAGAGAACGTTTTCTTTTTTCGTTTATAGAAACCAGACAATGGAACACATACATATTTAAATGGAACATATTTATAGAAAATAGTAAACAAAAAATCAGGCTCCACTTGAAAATGTACAACACTTGTACATTTCATTTGGGATTCTTTCTTTCAAAATTTATAAAAATTATTGCTCCTCATTCCATAGAGGAATCACCCAATCTATATAACAAAACTTTTCTAACTATTCGTATTTATATAGCTAAATGACATTTTTTTCCCGTACAAAAGAAAACAACCACAAAAATTTACTACTCGAAAAACGTAAACTGACTTATTCAAGCATTAGCTGCTCATGTGTTATGAACAAATTTGAATAATTGTCATCTCAAACATACAAATGAATCGATACACAAAAAAAATATTATTGAAATACTTTCTTGGAAACATATTCGGGACGTTGCGCACGATGAATTCATCATCAATGGTCGAATTTATCCGGAGAATTTATTAGATCAATTTTAAAACGCATCTGCAGAATATTTGTACTGCAAGTGCGCCGAATGAAGTTAATCAAATAAATTTATCGAACATACTCAATTATTGATTATGAATTCATCGCACCGAATGCCCTGAACAAAATATATTTAAAAATATTTGAACATTTTTTATACTGATATAATATGAAGGACGAGAATGTTTGCTGCATTTTTCACATAAAAACAAAATTTGATTTTTTTCCATCAAATTGATAGATTGTAAAACGAAGAAATAATCGTGTTTGTGTCCAGTATTTTTTTTCCTATCATTTGCGCGCATTTTTAAAATACGTTTTATTCCACTTGAATGATTTTTTTTCGACTTCTTGATAATGGATGACATCATTTCTTGAAGAAAAATGTAAACAAAAGCTGCTGCTTTTTTCATTCATCACCAAGCAAAATCTTTAAAAATTTAAGATCTAAAAATAAATTGTAATAATTCGGCAAATGCTAGCAGGCCATCAATGTTTTTTTTATCGCATTTTAATATAAAAACAAAATACAGATTACGAGAAAGGGCAAACTGCATTCTTAATTGATTTATTTGGCCTGTTATTTGCAGCTACCAAAGAATATGAAATCGCAAATTACAAATAAATTAAAAATTGATAATAAAATAAATGTCCAGATGATAATTATTTTGCCGAATGACAAATAAAATACCAAACCGAACCGAACATGCAGATTATCACAAAATTGTACTAAATGCATGACGACAAAGTAAACAAAATGTTTGTCACACTAACTAACACTATACTAGATGTATCATCCAAAGAATGCCATATATTATCTCTTTCTGTTCCTCTATCTCAAAATAGAATGCGCCAAATGATCTCATGCTCGGGTTTATTTGCTTGACGAAGAAGGAATGAAATGAGCGCTCGACAATTAAAAAACTATTGGTTTTGCAATATAGTTATTTTTATTTAATTTCTATTTCATACCGCTCCCGCTTGACACCGTCTTTTTAAATGGATAGAATTTTTATTTTTGTTTTCTCGCCCACTTTGTTTATGTGTATATATCTATAAGTGCATTATGATTCCATGTACCTAATTTTATTGATTTATATTACTTACAATGTTAAAGTTCGAAAAATTGTATTTGCGGCGGCATACGTTATCAGACAAAAGAGAGAGAAAAACAGAGAGTTAACTCAATATACGGTCACTATATTCATAAACAATGGACTGTGTCTCCTTCTCATTGATTTGGGGGTCATCAATTGAACTCTCTGAATATTTGATATTGGCGCCAATTCCACTCGATGTTACGTCGATTCAAGTGTATCGAATGAAAAGAAGATATTTTTAGAAATTGTTCTTTTTTTTGGTTCAATTATCTCTACGCGCAAATTGCAATGATCCCTGATTTGAATGTGACCGATGTCGATTGGTTGAATCGCACTCGTACTTTGGCATTTTGTTTCGGCAAAACAGATAAAATTTATAACAAATGAATATTTGTCAGCAAATTAGGTAGCATAACGTTAACGTTTCCTTTTTTCTAGACTAATTGCAATGTTATTTGGTTTGTTTCGATATCGATATTTACCGTATTCAATGTACCAGTACCTATATTTTAAAACGAATATTTATGTATTTTAGAAATCATTATATTTATATTTAATTGTGTAAGTGATGCTAAACAAATATTTTTGGTTATCCTACAGCACATCATTCGAAATCGCTTTAAAAAAAACAATGAAATGATTTGTTCCATTTTGGAGATATTGTAATTTTTGTTTGTTTGAAGAAAAAAAAGAAGCGCTTTCCAGGCTATTGTTTTCGTTTTAGAAAAATGAGCATTAGTCTTTTGTGTCACATATGGATGATGTGAAACGATTGCTACAAAGCATTTTAATGCGTAATTGATATAATCGAATGCTTTGAGGTTTTTTTTTAAGTTTTACGATTGATTTGTGTGTGATTCAATAAGATAATCAATTTTACTGTATACTCACTGATCCTTTTTTTACCCCTCCATCAAGTACGAAACAAAACAAAAAAAAAAGCAAAATCCAAATATACTATCAAACTGTGTACAACTAATAAAGAGCAAAAAAAAATTTACAAATGATATTATTCAAATATAATCACTTAATCAATAGAATGAGTAATGAAGTAAAATTAAAATAAAAAAATCAAGAAGAGGTCACGTTCTTATACGATGACCTTAATAAACGCAGAATAAGGAACTTTATAAACGATACAACATTAACAACAACAACAAAACAACCAATTTGTCTTGTGCATTTCATTTTATATACACATAAATAAATAGAATTGATATTAAAAGCTAAACCAAAATTATTCACTATTTCATTTTGTCTCAATAAATAGCAGCACCAAACGTGATGCAAGTGATTTTATTTCAGGTAGACAGGCGGATGGCAAAGGGAAATATCTGTCATTTCATTGAATGATTTTGGAATTTGTATTGTGTGCATTTTCTCTCATCAAAAACTTTACAAACTAAATTATAATCGGAAGACATGATTTTGTTCGATTTCACATTGTTTATTGAATGCTTGTCATTGAAATGTAATTAAATGAAATGTAATTTCTATGATGGTTAGTTAGTTACGCTCATTGAGCGATGGTTATACACAGTCTGTGTTTTGGACCACCGACTTCATCTCCGCTTCAATATTCATCATAACGTAGATAAAATCCAATAACTATTCCACCAAAACTATGAAAATGTTCGTGTGCGCCAGCAGTTCGTCAACCTTTTACTGATAAAATATGTCCTAGTGAGCTATATCTACCAGATTTTTTCCGATGTAATCAACTCCAAAAACACGAATATACACACATGTAATACACAGTAGCACATCGGCGATTCACAAGGGAGTTACTGGCCATGCATTCAAAATTCGAGAGCGCAGAGTGTGCGGCACCGGCAACGACGACAATCAAATCTCCAATGCGTGTTTCGCAACCATTCGTCGCTGGGGTACATTTTGCACAATCCGTTCTTCAACAGATTCTTTTTTTGCACCATTGTTTGTCCATCCGTTTCGATTGTGGCGATGGAAATTCGTGCTGACATAATCATTGAGCGCTCTTTTTTTTTCATTCCATCATAGTAATATGGAGACTAGCAAACATTTATCCATTTAATGCAAACTCATCCATTGGCATACATTCAACGACGAATATTTTCTACTTTGTGTGACAGATTCGGTGTGATGGCAGTTAGTTTCATTGGTACGGCATCCATTCGCATGCTGCTGTCTTTCGATGCATCTGTCTCACAATGTTTGTGTTTGTTCTTTTTGAAAATGTTAGGTTGGTAACAACATTCGCACACACATAGCAAATAAATTTCCTCTCCGCCAAAACGACACACACTCTCTCTTTCTCTCATTCGTCGAGTGTGCACGTTTTCCATCCTTTGGAATCGTCTATCCACTTCCCCAACAACAGAGAGAACGAAAGTTGCCAGAGAGGGCATGGTCGTGAGAGAGATTGGAATGTTTAAGGGAAACAAATAACCGTTTTCCGTCGATAAAAGCTACAGCACGCTCAGCATCTCAGTTCATTATCAGTTTGGCCGATGATCAAAGTAGTCATCCCAAGCAAACAGTCTAGAGTGTGGTATGGTAAACATTTTTTTGCTTAAGTATCAAATATATCGCTAGTTAATCAGCTTAAAGTGAAATAGTACGTAAATTTTTTGGTATTTTTGAACCAAAATAAAAATCGAAAAATCCAGTTCAAATTCGACAAAAAAAGCATACATTTAATGAAGTAGTGATTTTGGAACCTTTTTTTTGGCGGCGTTTAAATTGATGTGATTCAAAAAAAAATGTTCGATGTTTAAATGGTTACACAATCGAATCGATTTTCATTCGATTAAAAGTGCTTTGACGATTGAAGAAACGACATACACTCAGAGAACGAGAGACTTGTTTACATGCACTACAGTTCGGCACATGTGTGACACGCATAACGAATTTTAAAATGCATAATAAATTTAATTACACTCGTATTCACTTTTGAAACGACGACGACAAAAGTCAATATAACTGCATAGAAACACAAGCGATTGTAAATGTGAAAAAGGGGATCCTCGGTTTAAAAAAAAAGAGCCAACTCATGTACGCTTCAGCTGGAAATGCTTTTGACATTTTGCTTTATTCATAGGCAACTCAATTTTCCGACGGTTTCAAGCTTCGAATTAATGTTATTAAAAGATCCATTAGATAGCGACTGTGTCATGGGTTTCAATGTTTTTTTTTAATTTACAAAAGCATGATCTGTTTTCCTATTTAATTCAAATCAATCTCGTTCAAAAGCGGGAATATCATATCAATTTTTTGCCCCTTCCGTTGTCTCGCATATCCGAGAGTAAATTGCCGTGGTTGGTTGTCATATTCATTTTCCATGAACTCGATCATCATAAATGGCCATAATCGGTTGGTATGTATTTGTTTAACCGGCGGACGAGGCGACTCTTTCTACCTTAATTTGCATCGTTTTTTTATTCATTTATTTTCTCTTCTGAAATTGAATGAAGCAATACATTTTCTAAAGCTTCGTTTTTTTCGCCACTCGGCTCATCAATGTTAATTTCTATCTCTCTCTCCAATTTTGAATCTAATGCAATTATCTTGTTTCCTGTATAGCGAACAGGTAATTTAAAATGAAATTGTGGACGAGAAAAGAGTAGAAGAAAAAGACCGCTATGAGTGAAACGCCACGAGGAAAGTTGGTGTGAAGCGTTAACGAAATTGAATACGAGACGAGAGATAGACAACTTAGCCAATGTATAATGAAAAAGGGTTTCCCATTCTCCATCGATTTTCGGGTGGGCTGTTTTCAATGAAAATTGTTTGTTCGTGTCGATGCCATTGGGTTGGTTCGGTAATTGAGGTTTTTCATCGTCACTCTTGCGTTGCGTGCGTATGTACACGAAATTTTTCGTACGTGCAACATTTTAAAATCCCTTTTCCAATTCCTCCCGGCTGTTCTATCACAAGTAATCACCGTTCTACATTGTGGCAGCTTTCGAGCTCTCCGTTTCACAGATTAAAACATAAATCATAATAAACGAAGTAGAAACTCTCTGCCGAAATTTTGTTTGTCGTGCGTTTGACGTATGCATGTGTGTATGAGTCTCTCACCACTTAGTGTTATTAATGTTAATCAATATCAAAAATTTAAAACTTTGTCTAATTAGAGACAGACTGCAAAATCAAATACAGTGTTGCATTTATAAAAAAAACTGGGGTAAAATAACAAAACAAAAACTACGATCCACAAGAACGAGCAAACGAAGTGTGCACGGGACAACTTGGCAACCCATTTTCGGAATAAAACAAATCCACTTGACGGAGCAGCATTATAATTTTTCGGGTAATTTTGCCATGTTTATTATTCTGTTGCATGTTTTGTATTATGAATTAGCACCCATAATAAGCGACGATAACGATGAAAGAGCGAAAAACTGCCCGAGCTAAACGGTATTAAAAGTTTTATAGCCGTTTCCAGTGTATCAGTGGGTCGTAATGAATAATAAACGTTGACGCTTTATATGCAAATGTTAAATCAACTTGGCGCAACGCACCACACTTAGAACGTCGTGACCGAATAAGAGACTGAATGCCGATAAGGATAGGAAAAAGAACGTACGACAGTAATGAGAAAGGAGCGCGACACACACACATATATAAAAATGTCTCAGTCTCAATTATTTATTTAATCATTGAGTAGTGACGGCGTGTATGGTTGAGCCTAACTGCGCTTTACATTCAAATTTCAATCTATTGTATGTGAATCAATGGAAGAGAATGAGTAAAAGCCGACATGACCTGAACCATGTACATTTATGAAAGTTGTCTGATTCCATATGCAACCATTCACTGTTTAATCGTTCACGTACTTCATTTTCCATCGTTGGATTTCCTTCTATCGCATGCCAAATGAACACTCAGTTGCATACACACACACGCACACACACACACATACATTCTCCCTTTCCCCATCGCTGTCTCTTTCTCAAAAACATATACACGTTCTTCGCACCGAATGTATCCATGGACGTGGAAAGGAGCAGTCATTGTGTAGAACGCGCCCGTTATATGTACGTGATCGCACATGAAAATAGTTGAAGTGAATTGTATATGTGTGTGTGTGGCAAAGGCGATCCTTTTTGCTATTGTGTATAATGAAATCCAATTAATTATTCATATGATGTTCGCTTTATGGCAAAGATTTTCACTGTGTTACACACTACTTCTCATTCGAATCATGAGATACATATAGTCCCGTTTCGTAAATGAGTGACGTAAATGTCAAGCATAACGATGAACGCCATTTTTAACATTTATTTTCTATTTATGCTGTCTTTCTATTAGCCTCTCTCAAAAAAGCTTTGTTTAATTTAAACTCATCTCTTTGATAAATTAAACAAGTTGAATTGTTCATATTGTTCCATTGTAAGCCGTAAGCAAAATGGTGATTTTGCTTGCAAATCGTATGAAAATGGAATTAAAATGAGAAAAAAGCGTCTACAACTCAATTATTTGTTCGATTGATTTTCGGGGTAGTCAGCAAACGAAACGAATTTAATTGACTTCCATGCATCAATCTCTGTGATTGATCTACACCTGAGGCCAACCAATTCAATCCACTTACGAAAAAAAGATTGAAATCCATTTTTCATAGTTATTTAACGATTCCATGAGCCTCTTACCATTGATTGGTAATTTCGAAATTTTAGGCAAATTTATATGCACCGTTTTTTTGCCCTCTTTGCCATCTTTTGTTCATGCACATTGTTTTACACGAACAAAACAAAGCATTATTCGGATGATATATGAATGAATAATATGTTTCGGGCAAAATTAACACAAGTAAAAGATAATCGCCGACAAAATGGATCGACAGTATGTCTGTCTGTGTGTGTGGCATCTGTGGAATTTTATCAAAGGTACAACTGAATATTTTATCTTTTCAGTTTGTTAATGTTTGTTCGAGCGTTTATTGGATCAAATGTCGATGTCGTTATCTTGTACAATGGGAATTGTTATCGCTATTGCTATTGACCTGTAAATGTCAAACTGTGTGGAATATGCCATGCAAACTGAATTATACACCATTTTGAATATGCATAAGCAAACATTGCTCTTTCTCATTCTCAACCTCGATTTTCGTTCCCCTCATGTCCTTCGCTCTTCCATCTCCGTGTTCAACTTTCAATGTTTACTAACTAACGGTGTAAATGGAGCGTGCAATCATCCCTGACGAAAACAGATAAATCGCGAACTTATACTTAGATAATGTAACTATGATGGTGTTTATGATAGTCGAAAGCTTTTGTGATATGTTTGCAAGTAAACAATTTTCATCTCTTTCCATTTCAATGAATTTTTGACTGCGAACAATTTTTTCAACCATATTCAGCATATTTTTTGTTCTTTTTGGCCCTGGTGTTCATATTGCATATTAAAAATCATAAATTGCGTGATTTCACACCTAAAATAGAGCAGAGCGAGAGAGAGAGGCCAATTCTAACATTGATTTATAGGCAATATAAACCGAATGAATGGACCAGCTTTTAACTCTTTTCTCATCGCATTAAATGAAAATGGGATTCGGTTAAGCTAAGAAAACCACTTTGCAAATGCACCACCGTTGATTTCTTGTTGCGCTCTGTATGCAAGAGAAAACTTTCAATTCTAAAATTGCGTCTCTAAATCCCATCTTAATATAGAGTCGGAAATTCGGCCACTTTTTGGAATCAGTTTTTGGTTTCGAGATTATATCGAATCTACGATGTAAAGTTTGCGGGTACGTCGGTTCTTTTGTGGAAAAAGTCGATGGAAAGCGGCGTCATCTGTTCCATATTTAAGCGTTTGAAAAAAAGTAATTCGATTCACTTGCATGAATCGTTTTTGTCGATGCTTTTGGCGGCGGAGAGTTTTAAAAAAAAGAAAGGAAAAAAACGAACCATGATGGTACAAGTGAAAATGTTACACAATGTTGGCATATTGAAAATGGAAACTCGGTGACAATGTTCATATTATATTCACAAGTTGTCAACAGTTCATGCATATGAAAGCGTGCTCATATTAACTTCCAGCGCTAGTCGAAATGAATTTTTCGTTGAACGAGATGTGATTTTTTTGCTTCTGATGAACAAAAAATCCACTTAAATTTTGGGGAAGAGAGAGCGAGAGAGAGAACATAAAAAAAATAGCAAATGTAGCATAATATGCTATTTCCTGTACGCCTAACATCATTTCGGCCGAGATAAAGTGGAAACACAGTCATATTCATAATTTGATAACTTTATTTTAAAGCCTGTGTGGCGACTTTGTTGTGCGATTTTTATTTCAAATTGTTCGCTTCAGGCACGCACCCTATACAGTAATCCAAGCAGAGATGAGGACATGCGGAAAAATTGAATTCAAACAAAAATTATCATAGTATTTTAAAAGGTATCCTGAGAGCTTTAATAAAATCAGTTTCGACAGCATCAGCGAAAAAATAATACGGGAGACCTTTTTTTAATAAAAAAGTCAACCGGTAGAACGAGAAGAGGAAAAGTGGATACAAAAAAACGATTTTTTTTCTGTGATGCAATATATCCACTTTGAAATTAATTGAATTCATTGAGATTGGATGCGCATTTCAAAATTAAGTACGAAAGCCCATTTGAACAATCAATGCATTCGAATGAAAATTATTATCATATCCGTCACATTGCATGTAAATGTGATTGATTGAAGTACGGGCTTTTTTTCGATGAAATTTCTCAATTAAATTTTTATTGTGGTTCAATTTAATTCAATGTGGCGCTGCTGGCAACAAAATGAATTTCTCGTTAATCACTTTTGTTTAAAATCGACCGAGAAGATGAAAAAAAAGCACAATAGATTTAATCAAGTCATTTACCATGAATACGCTATTAATTTCAGCCGATGCTTATGAATGCACATTGCTCCCTTTCGCGCCTTCATTTATGGTAAACTTATTGCAAGTAATTATACATTATGTGACTCTTTGTCATTTTTCAATGTTGAACATTATCTCGCATTTAGTTTATAGTGCACGTTTCATTCGGCGCTTCGAACAGAGTTAAGATCGGCTTTTGCATACACACATGAACACCAGCGATACGATTGAAATCCAAGGATCGTTTTCATAATAAATAATAAGAAATAAATTAGAATTCTTCTGTGGAAAATTTTAATGGGATAAAATGGAGCCCGATGTATGCCGTTGCTCCTATTCATTTAGAGACAAACCAAAATAATAGAATATTTTCCGTATGAAATGAAGCATTTCTCATCTTGTGTGCCATGGCTTATATTCGTCTGTGTATCACACACAATATCTCTGTTACATTCCATGGACCGTGGCGTGTGTAAGATGAGAACTGCGTACTTGAGAAATATTTCTTTTGCAAAGCGCTTGGCTTATGAGAAGATTATTTGGTGTTGCTCGTGTTGCCATTGTTTGTCATATGTATGCATTGGTTGTGCGTCGCATCGCTCAGAATATTGGAGAGGCGTGTGTGTACTTAATATTGAGCTGATGATGGCTACACTCAAGAGCATGTGTGCGCACATACTGAAACACAGTGCTTGCGACAAATGTTTTCGGTAAAGCATTATGACATGATTCCATTGCATTTTATTAGTATTATTATTTAATATATTTATTTCTGTTGAACATAAATTCCATCGATGTAAGTTTGTGCCGGTGTGTGTTGAAGGCTTTTCCTGAAATAAACATAAACTTGACGAGAAATAAACTTTCGATCGATTCAAGCAACTTAGATAAAATGACAGTCAAGTATATAATTCCCCAAGTATATGGTTCCCGACGTGAAAACACCATATTTGAAACAGCGAGCAATTACATTTTCGACAATAATCAAAACTAACATATTTAATCCGAAATGTAGATGTGTCAAGTCAATCGATACATATATTTTTCATTTATACGGCACACCAAGATTTAATATGCAAGGTGCTCATACGGGAATGAGGTACGAACGGCAGAAAAATGGGCGGAACTATTATACATCACTTAATCGCTTTATGTCAATCAGCAGAATACTTCACATATTTCTCTGAGAGATATAATTAAAGATTTCGTTACCATCTAGCTGGTATTTTCTTGTGTAAAATTGAATGTGATTTTTTGGAATGCCTGTCGCATTTTTGAAAACATTGTACACATGATTCTTGTCCATAAAATTCCGTACACTCCATGGAAAATGCCACCGAACGCAAATTGAGTGAAGAACACAAGCAATAGCAATTTAATTTATTCCTTTGATGCATCAGCATCGTTTGCAATGACAACATTTCACTCGCATTTAAGGACAGAATCATATATTATGGAAACAGGTGTTTGGATATTTTAATAAATGCCAAGCGGTTTTGAAAGTGTTGCACACATTGAATTTTTATTATGAAAATTTATGCATGGCAATGTAGCGTTAAACTTGACGCCTATCTCAGCTTTTACCTATATTCCACACCCACACCCACACTTACATACATGTGTAAAAGTTGTGTTTTACAGTTTACCATTGAATAAAACGTATAATAATGCTATATTGGTGTTGTGTGCAATTTATTGCATTACCGCATCACTTTGCCAGTGAACTGCAAGGATGAACCGAATTAAATGGAGTTCAATTACCATGAAAAAGCATTTCAGCGGTATTGTCTCATCGCGTTCGAGGTTTTTGCGCGCGCACGCATCAAATTCATACCATACACACACCGGTCTGCTATCAGTGACGCGTTGACACAACCGATAAAATGAAAACATATTGCTAATGAGCAATTGCTAATGAATATATTAACTTGACTTAAATAATGAATAGCATACGATGCTTCTACTGTGCATATATATAATATATCGTGTCGGTCTGACGATGCCATCATGTGAAAACATGTGGAAACATTTCACAATGTATCAAACGATTTAAATGAAGCGACGCATTTCAGAAAAACTGATCACTTTACATGGGAACGAGAGAATGCGAATTCATTACGTGCAAGCGAATTGTGCGGGCTAATCCAATACACCATCATTTTGCATCAAAAATAGATATTCAACACATGCACATCGGTTAATTTGTTGCACGATTTTGATCCATTTTCTCGCTCCAATTAATGTATTCAACGTACCCACAATGAAAATGATTCGATTAATCTCTCTTTTTTTAATTACATTCTTCGTTCAGCTTTTTTTTTCATTTCAATTTTTTTTTTGTTCTGCATGAAAAAACAAAAAGACTCAAAGGGGTTGAATCGAAAAGAGTGAACAAAAGAAATATCACAAAAGGAGCATTATTTTCTTTATTTTTTATAATCTTTCGGTCTCCCTTCATTTCTTTATCTCTCGAAGGTGGGGGTTTTTCACAAGAAATTTATGACAGACTAAAATGCCTTTCAAAATGGAATTTATACAAATTCCACTTGAAATATAATCATATTCTCCATAGATGAATTCAATTCGAAGATTTTTAAATGTAATTTGGTTAAAACATTTATGAGAGAAAAAAAAACCTAGAAAAAAATGTAGCAATGTATAATGTAAAATAATGGCATCGAAAATTGATCGCCGTTTTGATTAAAACAAAAGAATTTTTCATCTTGTTTGTATATAAAAGTCCTGTTGACCGACTTTTCGCCAAAGCATTTTACAATAATGATGCGGTGCATGGGAGAACACAAGAAAATGACAAAAAAGAAACGAGAATAAGAAAGGAAGTGTGGATACGGTATAAAGGAACGACCGACCACGCTCCGTGTATTTCTGTTTGGTAATCTGATTCTGTGGGAAGCACTTACTTTGTTTATTGTTTTGATTAACGGTTCGTAAAACATGAAAACAATTGAAGAAAGGACAAATGCGCTGCATGAAAGCAGCAAAAGAAATGTCACTGCAATGAACAGAGACATTTTTTATTTGTTAACGAAAAAAAAGAAAGATCTTTGTCTTTGTATGAGTATAAAATCGAAATATTTTCCGGATTTTTCCTTTTTCGGGTGATTCTTTTCTTTTCCATTTCCGAAACGAAAATGGCATTTGTCTTGGGAAAATTAAATTCCTCGATGAAGAAAAGAAAACCGCATCGGTGTGATTACATGCACATTGTACACACAGAGAGAATTAAAGCCGTCCAAAACCTCCGGTAATCGTATATAATAGGCTGTTAAATGGGCAGACCGAGAGTCCTAGACTAGATGCTAAAGTTGCAATGCCGCATTGAAAGTGTGCAACAAAGTATATGGCCTCTCAACAAGCGCGTTCAAGTTGATGAAGTGCCGGAGACACGGAAAAGAGAGAGAGAGGGAGAGAGAGGCTAAAGGAAAATTGTATTACGGTGGTGTAGTTTGTACTGTGCGATACGTTTAGATTCAATATTGCCTCACGGAGACTTAAGCATGAGATGAAAAAGTGACTGCTTCCCGTTGAAACAAAGAACGTTGATGTCTATATTCATTAAATCCCGCACTTTATGCTTTTCTACGCGCTCAACCACACTTGTTTTTTTTTTTGTTTTTATATTCTACTGCTTTAGCTCATTCAAAGGCAAATAAAAACGTGACAGTACACAACAGCAACAGCAGCAGTGGCCGCGTACAGTTCAAGTTCTGACTGTTCACTTTGAAGTGTGTACACTATATATGATGTACTTAAACAAAAATGATTTTGCTCGACAACATAAGCGGTTAAGTAGTTGTTTGCAATAACATTACATATACCAGATGAACGCAGTGACACATAAACACACTACAGCGTTTTTTTATCGTAACGATAGTGGGTTCTTTTTTCATCTTGTTGTTTTAAAATCATCAAATAAAACGCTCATTTCATTCGCACAAAGCGACATTTTCTTGCAAAAAAACAAAAAATAAAATCATTAATATTGGCACATGAATTTTATATTTTTAATATAAAACAGTGCGAGAATAGCGGCAAATTTCCGACGCATAAAAAGCGGAGAGCTTTAATTTCTTTTTTAGAATGTCACTCGAAACAAGAAAAAAGGATGCGAGAGAGGGAAAATGTGAATGACGCTTTTGGCGTAGACAAAAAAAAAAGTAAGCAAAAACCAAAAAGTACTTAAACGGATTAAAAATTCTGAATGAACGGCTTTTTAAATCTCATAGAAATAGCACAAAAAAATCATATAAATGCGAATCCTTTTTCAACGTCTGCAAAACATTCAGACCATGTTATATCCGTCCATTTCTTTGTGATTAGAGTAAAAAAAACTTACTCAAATCCTCTGCACCATACATGGTATGTAACCTTTTATCGGTGGAATCTGCCCCTGATAAATTGGCTACAATACAACTCTCGAACACTTCTCAGAACGAAACAATTTTTGTAATAAAAAGTCTCAAACCAAAGACCTTCATTAAATATTACAAATTGATGGGGGGCGAAGATTGAACATGAAAAATTTACTCGAATATAGATCGAAATGAAGAAATAAAGAGGGCTCGAAAAACTTTTGACTGCAAACGCAAAAAGATTAAATTGAATGTTTAATGCGGTCAATAATTTTTCAGAATGTCCTTTGTTTCGTTCCTTTTTAAGTAATTTGATAAATGGCTTTTTTCCAAGATGGGCATGACAAAACCCAATGACAATAAACAAACGAATCGAATTCGTTTCGATTGATACTGGCTCTATTTCGTTAGAGAGCGAGAGAAAAAGAATGAGGAAGTGAAATAACAGCTTATCATTTGAGCTCCTTCACAATTTTTTCTCTGGCTTTGATCAGGCAATCAATTCCAATGACATTAAATAGACACTCTGCTTTTTTTTCGATAAGTGATGCATAGAAAAAGCAAACAGACAGCCACTTTTGCTATTAAATATGCTAATGGTACATTTTTTTCATGCTCAACATCAGGTTTTTTCGTGCACTTCACTTTTTGATCGGAAGAAGACAAGCGCAGAACAACAACGAAAAAAAAATCTGGCATCGGCTGACAAATGTGCAAAAAGAAGACATCAAATGTAAATATTTGACTGGTATAGTCGTTTTCAATAAGATCTGTTACAGCGAACTGTCAAAATTTTGAACAAACAACATACCCTCAACAAAATTCAAACCAAATTGGCACGTTTAACTAAGGAGCCTTGTGTACTTTTGAATGGAAATGCGTTCCGAAATTCATTGTATTAGTTTGACAACACAGATCTTTTTGGAAACGACTATACTTTTATTCGGAATTCATAATGGATATTGAGATAGGTTGACTAGGATGCGTGAGCTGTTGCCGCTACTTCATGGCCATCTTTTTCCATTTGCATTTTATCTTGTGTACTTAACATGAAACGAAAGCAAGCGGCGCACACCAAACACCATTCATTCGCTTATTCAACACCATATGTCATTCTTCATTCTTATCATATTTTCCTCTTTCATTTAAATCACGCTCCATATTCTGCCTCTTTTACGGTGTGTCTATACTGTCTAAGTTGTGGCTCCGACTGAATGTCAGTTTTTTCTCTTTTGCTCTCTTTTTATGGTATGTGCCATTACAAAATTGACTTGAGTAATGTGCATTGCATGACGACTTTGCTCTCGAACCGAGAAATCATAACGGAAACCTCTTGAAAATAAGCTCACTTGAACTGTATCGTCCAAAGAAGCAGCATAAACGCTTTCAAATCATCGAGTAAATATGAGTGAATGCACCCTACAAGTAAACGAAACGAAAAAAAGAGAGAAATAAATGAGATATTTTGTCCCTTTGAATTTGAATAAGTTATTAATGTTGTTTCGAGCATTTTCCACTTTGATCTTTGACTTTTTTTCCTTTTTCACATACATGTTCTATTCCCTGATGTTGCATGTGTGTTTGATTCGAAGTGCTGGAACAGTGGCGGTGGTGATGGAAACCTTGAACTTTATATAAATAGAAATTGCATACATGGTTTAAAAATGACAAATGAAAAACACATAAGAGCACATATACACAAGTTATATTGGATTATTTATGTCTGCAAATCAAGCGAGACACATTGAATTGAAATCTTTACCGAATGCAATTCCCAAACTGTGCATGTAAAAGCCCATATATTTCTTTGGAAATCTCTGGTGTAACAATAAGTGCACAGATTAGAATAATGAAATAGACTGAACGACGAAATGTTGCATTTTGAATGTTTAAATCGGTTTCACTCTTAACGGCTTCAAGCCCCCTCATTCTCATTCAATATATTTGCGGAAGTTTATATGTTCCACGTGAAATTTGCATATTGCAAATACTAATAATATTATTCCGTAAATTTATTCAGATACTTTAATTGATAGAAAAAAGCTCTCTTGGGCATATGAAATGACAGCATCATCAACATCGCTTTATTACTGCAGTTAACGTCTGAAGCCTTTTTATTTAACATAAAATTTACTCTGTGTATACTCTGTTATTGAATAAATACAATTTTGTTTGAATAATAATAAACCATGCTACTTTTGTAAATGCATCCACAAACCAAAAAACACAAGTTAACCGAATCCTTTAACGTACACCGAGTGTTGTTACTTTGGCCCAACTAGATCGGGAAAAGCGAATCAGTTGTTTTCAGTCAGTTTGTGTGTTGTTCGAATATAAATTCGTGTGCATATCTTTTAATTAAGTGTAAGTCATAACGTTGTAAATCTCTTGTTATTCTTGTGCAAAAGGAGAAAATCGGATGCGCTCAAGAATTTATCACACTGGATGCACTTCCACATCGCATATAATTACAGTTTATTTATTTACTTTGATGTCGTTAAAATTTTGTACTCTTCTTCATTTTCTATACATTTATTTCTTTCTTCAACAATTGTAATACTGCTCGTAGTGAAAAAGTGTGGTTTCAGAAAAAGAAAAAAAAAAGTTTTCTGACAAAAGGCATCTCGAATATTTTATGAAAATGTTGAGAGTTTACTCTGAAGGTTTAAAAAAAGTTCGAAAAAACCCCCTTCGACGAATTCCACAAAAAATTGTTTCAATTTGTTCTATTCGCATGGATTTTCCGTGTTGTTTCGTTTTGCTTTGCTACAATTTATGAGTATAATTCTTCAACATTTTGTTTTGACTGGTATATTTCCATCGCAACGAATGTGTATTTCTTCGTTTCACCGAGTTTTCCAGCACAAATTCTAATGAAGTCGACCATCTTTTTTCCCTTACATAAGTTAAATATTAATTTATACGAGTGGAGCTACAAAAAAAGCACTTCCACCAACTAAGCAATCTCATTTATTTAAACGAAGTGATTCAAAGCTTTCTCTCTATCTCTCACTTTTCATTTGGTCGGCAGAGCACAAAAAACGGGGGGCAGAGAAGAAACATTAAACAGAGAGAACCGGAGTCAGACTAATTCACAATTCGTATGTGAAACTTTTTCTCGTTTCGTTGGATTTGGATGTCATTTTTTCTTGAATCTCAGTGTGATGATTTTGGCATTCAGTCGTTTCGCAAATCAAAGCATTTTACGGTATAAAATGTTGCCAAAGCTCATACACAGTAACGAATTCACAAATCGTTGGCTGCCGTTAGATATCACGACCGAATGATAATTTTCATGCTTTACTCGTTTTTTTTTTTCGAAGTGGTTCGCATTCTTTTTTCGCCTTCTTCTTTGCACAGGAATAAATTCCAATGAAATCCGTATACTGCAGACAAACGATTTGTAGTAGCATCAAACAAATTACGGCATTTTTACTCTGTTCACTGATTCAAAATTCACGTTTGACTGTGAGTCAAGCGGCACCGATGGAGATTGAAGTTGGGAGAAAGGGTAAAATGAGCAAGCGAAAGATAGACATTTCGAAGAAAGTTGTTTGTTACGAATTTGAAATTTATTGTCACAATGCCAATTTGCTCGATTTGCCATGAACTTTGAAGACTTTATTATTTTAGTTGCAAAAGCATCATTCGAAATGTATCGAAGAGCTCGTCTTTTCTGCAACGAAATGAACGGCGCTCGCCGAGCGAAGTGAGTGTAAATTTGCTAAGCAATTGATATTGCTTGCACAGCATATGAATCGCAATTGGAATGAGTCGTATTCAAACTGACGCCATAAAAATTGAAATTTATTTTTCGTCTGTCAAACGAGAGAAAAAAATATATATATCACAATCTAAATGAATATGGAGCACGAATGATGCTGCATATTTTCATTTAGAATTCTGAACGAATGGCCAATTTAAATTGGTGTATGCACTGTGCAAAGCTCTATCTGAAACTGCATCTAGTTAAAATTCTCAAGTGTCTTTTCGATCAAACACAGTAATTGCCAGTTGGAGTCGGTGGATTGTGTGAGCTAAAAAGCACATTGATAAGACACGCACACACACATGCATCCAAACAAATAATGCTATCAAAGATCGTTGTTCACCACAAATTTGCACAAACAAACCATCGACTATTGGTAACCATCATCAGGATTTTCAAATCCTTCGATTTATACGCTGAATTGACAGTTTTGGTCGCATTTCTCAAATCCGGAATATTCCGATTTTCACACAGATATCGCAGAGGATGCGATATGGCGCAAAAAGAGAAAGGGAAACAAGCAAGAGCAATTGGATTTAAGAGGCAAACGATATAATTGAACGTTGGCGCTGAATTTTCATGCAGTGTCCGGATTTCCAAAGATGTCAATGTCATTTGCGTTTGAATTAGAAAATGTTGTCGTTTCAGCTCTGTATTAAATCAATATGGCAAATAGACATTAAATTGGATTACAGAACCACTTGATATTTGCATATCGATTGCGATTTATCTCTTTTCCATTTACACTGTCTCTACTCGTTTCCTGTGTGTGTGGTGTCGAACTCTCTGTCTATCCCAAAGCGTACTCTCCACCAAATTCAAATTTTGTGGTCGCAGATTATTTAATGTAAATCGGCTCGATATATACTTTCAAATTTCCGTTTTGTTTGCGAATCGAAGGTGGAAAATTTGCATCGTAACCAAACTATTTGCCAGGAAGCAGATAGACGAATGTTTCGATTCAAAATCGAAGTGGCATTAGTTTAATATTGCATACGGGGACTGAGAGATTGTGGCAGAAAGCATACGGGGACTGAGAGAGTAACAAGAATTATGGAAACAACGTGCGTTTACATTTTGACATTCATAATCAGAATGGTAATTTATTTGATTATGAAACAACATTGAGGTTGGAATGTATTAAATGGCAGTTACCGCTGTTTCACTCTACCCGTTAATGCGCTAAACTCAATTTATCTGGTTTGATTTATGCAACTTACGGTTGTGCATAATACGCTATGCGATTCCAACGGTACACTTTTGTTGACTTTTCCGTTATTGTTGTTGATTTCTTATTGCCATTCGGGTTTTCATTTGCAACGACTTTCTCTGTCTCTCTTGCAGTCTATCTTGGATTGTTTAAACTAATTAACGAAAGTACTTGAGTCTCTATCTTTTTGGCATAACGAAAAACTGTCAAGTAATTAATTTTCACCGTGCATACACTCGATGGCACTCTAAAAAAACAAGACGATCGTGCAATGCTGATGTCGCAACTATGGAAAATATTTATTCATATTCAGACGAGAGACGCATTCGGTCCTGGAAACCATCATATTGAATAAAACATTTTCTCTTAACTCGAAGATTAACTTTGTTATCATGTCTGTCTGTCGCGCATTCTCCCTCTCTCCCCAGAGTATTTCGTTCTCTTTCTCGCCAGAAAATAAGATAAATTATGTGCATTTGTACGATGTAATCACTAAATCCACTGTCATAAAAACCAAAATAATAAAATGATGTATTATCATTCGTCTTTTGGCTGTCATCGTGTGTGTAGTGTATTCGTCACGCGGGCGATAAACTAGGCAAAACAATGTGCAAACATTTTTTTCATGGTGCGACGGCAAATCTAACAGAACTTTTCCTTGTTACCAACACAACTCACTATCACTTTGTATAATAAAACTATTGAAATTCACAGTGCATATAGTGCTGTTGTATAAAATTACATTGAATTTCAT